CCCAAATTTCTGATACCCACAAATCCATGACTGCTTTTTGGCATAATTTTTATTTCGAATCCCTCATATAATCCAATCTACTTTAACACTGTTTATAAATCAATAAGCTCTAAATTAAAATTCTATTTTAAATGTTGTACGATCAGACGATAGACAATCTTTCTGCTTTCCGGTGATTTGCTCTTTACATAATTTTAAGAAATTTGCTTATCAGATTTCAATTGAAATTGAATCAATTTCAAGTAAAATAAATGTACTGCATATAAATACCTTATCAACTAAGTTGTTAGAATAGAGGAGTCTACAATACACAAACTTTCTAATATCGAAAGTAACCCTATATAAGTTTTATCAGTTGAAAAAGTTACTCTGGATTCATTTGGTTCATAGTCGTACAATTTTAAGATTATGGTATTAGCCAATTCTTTATCACTATGTTTTTCTTCCAATATTAATTTGGCCAATAGATCAAAGTAACATTGAGAGTCCTTGTTCTCTAACGATGGAAATATATCCTTTAACATTTGAATTAAACTCTTATTTAAGATTGTTTTTTAACATCTGTATATTAGATATAATGAATTAATAGTGAATTTTCTAATCAGCAACTATTTTGGAGCAAACAGCAATTATTTGTATCTCTACTTAATTTAGTTGATCTCTTGGATAAAGAAATTTGTGCAATTATCTAAATTAAATCCAATTAGAGTGGTAATTAGTACAAGTATATATTCAATGAGTTATCTGTCTTCATTGATATCGAGAGGTGTGTTAATCAAATACTTCAATAAATTTGCGTAATCTAATTTAATATCCAAATCTGATATTTACTTAACTAGTTCTAAGAATTCTTCACTCTCTTTCACTTTCTACTAGGCCTTATTATCTTACACTTAACATTTACCTTATAGTAATTAACCTATGAGATCTAAGGATACTGACATTGGCTATTTAACATGTTGTTGAATCTCAAAGATCTTATTATACTTAGATCGAAATTAGGCTGCAATGTATTTGGTAAAGATATTGAGAATTGTAAGTTAACCTAGTTTTCTAATAACACCCTCTTGATTTTGTAAATTATTCAATATAAATTATAACTACATAAAGCCTTACTTTATTATAAAATGTCGACAATATTCCTGATTCTAAAGAAGGTACTCAATAATTTTTAAGGAATATATTAATTAATAAGAGGTGTCTTATGAGAGATCTTCAAAATTAAGGATTCTCTCTTTAGCAGCCCCAAAAATAGGTAAAGAACACAATAGTTTCCAGCATTCTTAAGCCACTTTATTAGTGCCTGCCATAAAAATACGAGTTTATTAATAAAACTATTAATTTTAAGCCAAATAATGACGAGGTAATTTAGTTTGATCGAATCGAATATCATCTGCATTCATCAGAGAGAGATCATTCCTATATCCAAATGCATATAAATTCTACCAGACAACTTATGAATTCTACTACTATAAACAACAATCCTAAAAGAATGCAATCAAATTATTCAATGTAAGATATTCTCCCTAACTACTATATTTAACAAAGATTTCATAGATCTTTTCATCCTACTTAATGCTCTCATTCTTTGAAGCTTTGAATCCAAACTAAGCAAATTGATCTAAGCTCATCCTTTCATTCGTAGAATACTAATTGAAGAGATCCATTATGACTTTCAAAAACAAAGGTGATAATTTTGTATCTTCAATTAGAGGTACTTTCGGTATTGGTTTAGTGTTTCTTCTGCATACTTTAATGAAATCGCTCTTTTTAATAGATAGTTATTTGAGTGTTTTTCCATTATCTGTCTCTTGGATGACAATGCCATTTCTAAACAACTTAATTTACTCCCAACTGGTTTTAATTTCTTTAGCAATTAGTTTTCGTAATTCAAATATTGTTAAACTTTAATGGACAGTTATGGTTACATTGTTAGATTATTGTGCATTATCTATATCACTATTGATGTTTATTTTAAATGATTCTCCCTTTATTAGCCCATCCAAAGACAACAATTTGCCTATACCTAATTTTTCTGTTTCATTCAATAATTCTCTTAATATATCAAAACATCTGAGAATTATTTGTTCATCTTAAGTGTTCATTTTGTCAAGGATTTATTTTATAAATTATTCCTATTATGACAAATTCAATTTAACTAACAATTTTATGGCTGAATCTAATGAGGAATTGAGAACAATATGCCACAAATATTATATGCCTAGAATTTCCTTTACATCTACCATTATTTAAAAATCCATCTGTTCATCTTTTTCTTGATTGTTCGCATTCGTTGTGCTCTACAAATTGCCATGGTCATCACAAATTTAATTTAATATTAGGGATTACCTTTGTATTCTATAATCTTTTTAATTTACATAATAGAGGATCAATTTAAAACATTTGAAAGCATTTTCATTAAGATGAGAATCTGATCTGAGCAATCTGTGATAGAAATCATTGAGTTGTATAGAGCTGAAACATTCATCTTTTTCAATCAAATCACGCAACCAAAAGCTGACTATCTCACTTTCTAATTTGCAAACAGGTTTTAAAATATGTTTATTCCAAATTAAATCTAAAAATTATTAATCAATCATATCAGCAGCAGTTCCATAAATCATAATTAAAGTTTGAATTAAAATAAGTCTTTCTTATAATTTATTGATATAAAGAGTAGTTTCATTGGGATCATCAGCATTGATACCAAGATTTTAACTATATAAATTATCAATGCTTTCTCGTAATGTATGATGAACCTATTATTATTGAATCAATCCTTTAATAAATTCCTCATCTAAATCTTATTCTTATTTTTAATCTGCAAAATTATTGTTCGATTCTTGAAGAGGATTTTTTGCTTCAGCTGGCTGATATCTATACTTACCCTGTTGTAGTTTTTAATAAGGTAGAAATGTGCAAATGATTTATTAGAGTACTTTTAAGGAAGAACTTTCAACCTTTTATTATTTGATGTTAGTAATCAACTTTTGGATCATTTATCGTTTGATGTCTTTATCATTGAGAAATTGTATTAATTCAATAAAGTGTGTTCTTGATTGATCCTCTAATACTGTTTTGCCTTATTATCCAACATACTCAATGATATCCCATAAAATCTCAATTACTTAACTAAAAAGATGTTGTTAATTGATTCTATTTTTATTCATTTTGCAAAGTAATTGGACATGTTCAATCAAAATAAGATCTTTACTTAATTGTTTGATTTATTCAAGAAAGTATTGAGCCTAATAATCAGACATAAAAGTAGCAATATCATTAAATAGTTTAAAAATGATGGATCTTACTTCTTTATCATTGGATTACATGAGATCCCAAACAATTGACAAATATTTCAGCTTAAATGCACCATCTATAGTTAAATAGATTTTGATCAGATCTTTAGTTCTTTCCAATAATTGCAAATGAGTACTATGATGAAATAGAGACTCAAAAATTCCTTGTCTTTCTATCCATTCTAAAATGAACTCTGGAGATTTATCTTGATCTGCCTATTTTAATAGGTCTGTCAATAATTTAAGCCCTATTATTTTTTTATCCAAAAATTTGCCATTAAAACAAATTACAGCAAATTCTAGTCCCAGACTTTGCAACCATTCCTTTCTTTAATCCTCTGTCATTATCCTATCTAATAGTGATCTATATGCTTAAATGATCAAATTAATTTTCTCTCTGCCCATATTACGAAAGGATTACTCATCAGAATGAAGAATTGCCTATTTTAATGCTTATAATTTAGGAACGTATTCTTAACAAAAATATCGATACAATTAACCATTTATATTACCCAATCCATGCATATAATTGGCCAATATGTCAACTGATTACACAGCTAGGATTTGCTCAAAACCTCCAAGAGATCCAAAATAATTTATTAATCTAATTAAAAGCAAGCTCTATGAATATCTAGGTCTTAAGATGGCATAGAACTTTTTGGTTTTATAATCTTCTTCATAAAGTATGTCATATGAGTCATCAATAAAGAATTCATTTGAATTATTTTTTCTGGGTATATGATCCCCACATAATGCTAATCTAGGATTACAAGCAGTTAATTGTTCATCGTGATAGCTGCTTTACCCTTTGTAATTCTTCTCATTCTCTTTGCTTTCATCTAAAATAGATTAAAAGTGGAATCTAATAGTATAAGTTATAACATTTTCAAGATGTGAAGTCTCAATTCTATTAAGAATAGTACTTAAAACCCACTTGTCATTTTGAGTTGCTAAAACTGCCTGTTTCTCTTACAAATTAAACATGGAATCCAAGCGTTGTGAACGTGATTAATAGGGCATCAAATACCCACTCTTGATGTTAAAGATTTATTAGTTTTGCTACTCGTTTAAGAATCTTACAATCACAAGATCTTCCTATATTTTCTCTACTATTGCTCTATTCCAATTCAATCGACTTGTAGTTTAACAACTGCGAATGCAATCTACATAGGTGCCTTCTTTGAGATTGTCAACGAACTATTTGTATTCATTATTTTTGGTATAGGAATATGTAGTAAACTATTGTTAAATTAGAAGATTCTTACTTAATCATGCCAATTAGTTGATAGATCCTTATTTTAATAGATAATACTATTCGGATCCATTATTTTACAAAATATTATACTAATCTTCTCATCAAAAATGTTTTTATTGATGTACAAAAGCACAGACTTTATAAACTTCTCCACCATTATTAGAATCTAATCTGGGTAGTGCATGTGATTCATGATGTGACTAATACTCATGCTCACTAATTCGGGGACATATTGGCCAACCTCGTTTGTTCTGCTCTCATTCATATATTACTGCACACCTTACAAAGCTTATACAATTGGTTCATATTATTAGTAGGTTTAAATGTTCTATATTTTCTCTATTTCAGAAAGTAAAAGCTTCATATTTTATAATTCTCTACTCATTTTATTTTTATTAATATATAACACACATATAACATGAACTCAATGTTTAAATAGTAATTAAAAATCAGAACAATTGTTTAAGGTACTCATACATCATATAGACTAACCCAGAATGCATCGTAACCTTAGCAATTCTAGGCTGATATCCCTTAAACAATCCCTTCAAACCTTCCTCATTATAAATGTGCTACAAAATCTCCATTGTTGCCATCTATCCACTCTAACCCAAATCGCTTCTTGTACTAACTTGCTTTCTTGTTTTCACTACATCCAAAGGAAGTGTCATTGTAGCAGTCACACTGCTGGCCATCATTGCTGAAAGCAGATTCACTGCATTTGGCAAATCGTGTAAAACCTTTCCTAATTCTATTTTCAAATTTTCTAGAAGACTCCAATAGATGCACGAAAATAAAATATCTCTTTGAATGGTTATTAGATATGCTGAGTGTAGTTGAGTACCTAATTGAATGTTCTTTAGCTTCGAATATCCCACTGTGGATGACTGTAATACTTTCCAATATTCCAAGGGAAATGTGACTAAAAATATACTTCAAATATCTTACTTGTTGTTGTCAATGCTCTACTGAATGAGCTGGCCAATAAGGGAACCACCAATCGACTTGAAGGCAATTCCAATTATTATAAGAATTTCCTTGTTCTTTCGTAAAACATGAAGTAGCATACATTTGATGCTCCTGCTTATAATACTGCATATCTCCATCCGTTGAAGAATGTCGATGCTCCTTCATGTGCGTAGATGTGTTAAAAGGCCTAAACCAGAGAGTTTGTGGTAATGCAAGTACAATTCTAATAAATTTTAATTAAGGGGTTTGTGGCCTAAGATTTTCCGATAACATTAATCATTCTATGCGGTCTCCATAATTTCAACGATTTTGAGAGCATCCCATAATGATTTAATTAATGCCTTGTTGATTGTCCTGTTAATGCTATCTCATGAATATATTTAAATTTTGGTTTGCTTCTCAGGGGATTGCGTTGATGTTAATGTTCATGGCAATGCATCTTGTCTACCTGCAATCTTATTTTCAACACTTCAAAAGGATTACTTATGATTGTGCTAATCACGCTAGCCAATCCAGAAGAAACTATGATTGTTGTTGAACTTAAATGATCACCTTATTTCATTAAATAAATATTATTTTTTATTATGCCATATTATTAATGATATTTAAATTAGATTCATTATAAAATTATTAAGATTCTTTCTTTTTTTACTAATATAAATAGTTTGACATAATTCTAATTCTTTTTTAACAATAATTATATTTATCATTCAAAATACTTAATTAACAAAACTTTTAATAAAGGAATTACAAATCTGCTAATATATAAAAATATATTTGTGTCTTTTTTAAAATTGTTTCAGTTTTCGAAATTGATCATCAAAATGAATTACTACGTTGAAAGATTTAAGATTAGTTCAAAAAGGAGATCATATAATTAATAATTAAGACCAAGCATGTTATAAATCAATATTATTGTAAAACATCTTAACCTTAAGTCCTTTTTGTTCATGTATATACAATTTGAAAAATCATAAGAGAATATTTGAGTTATAACCTCATTTAGAATATTTATTGTATTATTTAAAATCTATTTGCTAAATAGCAGTTAATTAAAATCCAAATATTAATTAATAAAATTAGCATTTTCTAATTAATGTAATTGTGTGTTTTGAATTATTTTCGCAATCTTACTAAACTTGAAATTTTTTCTATTTCTTTCTAAAAATTTATTGAAATAAATTAGATAATTTCTTGCTTTGCTGATTAAATAATTGTTTAATTTCACTATTATTGAATGCTATTATTAGTTCAGAGTATGTTGGAGTTCTTTTGATTCAATATTGAATAGTAAGATGATTTTAGTTACAACGACAACCTGATGTTAATCTATTCAAGTACAAATATATATCTTCATATTATTTTGAAAGCCCTAAAAAATTTAATAATTCTTAAAATTATTTATTTGATTAAAAAAAATTAAATAAGCTCATTATTAATTAATTTTTATGTTAGATCTAAAAAGCATTTCCATCAAAATTTTGATATGAAAAAATGTTATTTGTGTAATAACTATAAATGAGTATATTTATCATATTATTTAATAGAAGAAATAAAATAGGATATTAAATTATTTAGACAGAATAATTTAATAATCATAGATTAAATTGTAAAGAAGTAATTGATTTTAGACATTATAATATTAGATTAATTAGTATATATTTTAATAGTATAAGGTTATTGTAAAGCTTATTTTTTAATATTAATCATTGCATATAATAATATATTTTAGGTTTACCTTAATGATTTATTATAATAACTTTTGACATGCTATTTTTTTTGAGCTTTCTTTATGATGTGAAATGCATTTTATTTACAATGTTGTTATCACACAATTATTTGCAATTAATAGTTTGTTTATTAGAAGTTCTTCTCATTTGAATCTCTTCAATTGTGTTCATCTCCCAATCATCAAGGGTCTGCATATATTTAGTTTATGATGTTAATCTTTTGCAATCTAAATAGGTCCTATTCTTCTGAAATCCAGTTGTAACCCTGCTATAAGGTCGTTCGTCATGTGTTTTTGGTATGATAGAGGAGATTTTCATGGCTGATTCATTTGTAGTGAAAGACTGACCTGTGCTGAGTGTAGCTTTTGAGGGGAAAAGTGGTGATAATTTTGGCTATGAGCTGCTGCTGATTTTGCTTGCTCGAAAAATGTTTTCAGATGAGGAAGTCTTGTTCTGAGGAGTATAAAGTTCTGATATTAATCTATAGTGTTTTACTTGCATTTTAATTTTTATATATAAATTTTAAACATATAAAACATAATTAATTTAATCATATTCAAATGTCACAATACGGTAAAGCTGAATACTGGGAAGAACGATACACAAGGTATGACAATTGTTATGAGAATTTAGAGATCCCGAGCCATTTGATTGGTATCAAAGATTTGCAGGCATCAAGGATCTTGTTTAAGCCTGTTTCACTCCTGAAAGTAAGCTACTTAATGTTGGAGCAGGGAATTCAAGTATAGAATTGTTGTAGAGTGATTTTAGGGTTGAGTGAAGAGATGTTCGATGAAGGTTATTAGAACATTACAAACATCGATATTTCTCATGTTGTAACAAAAGCAATGTAAGAGAAGTACAAGGATAAAGGGCCAAATTTCAAATGTAGGAATTTGATTAAATGTAGATCTACATATGGATGCCAGAGCTATGGAATTTGAAGATGGATCATTCGATGGAGCAATTGACAAAGGAACTATTGATGCCATATTAGTAAGACATATAATTTACATAAGTGCGGAGAGTCATCATCATCTAATGCGTAGAAAGTTATTCAAGAAGTTCACAGAGTATTAGGACCAAAAGGTGTCTATTTTGCAATTTCTTATGGTCTCCCTGAACACAGACTTTAATACTTAGAAAAGCCAGAATATGATTGGTATGATTAGATTATTAACATTAAATTAGGAATGTAATAGTTAAATAGGTTCATAAACCAACAATTTCAACCTCAATCGCAATTACTAATGAGGATAAAGATGCCCCTAATGTTCATTATATCTATATATGCACTAAAGTATGTTGAAATAGTTATGTTTTAGGGATAATAAAAAGGAGCTAAGCAATGAATTGAATTTGAATTATATATATATATAATCATTTAGGAATAAATTGTGTTATAAAATATATCATATTTGCAAGAATTATAAACATTTTTCATAATATTTTAGCAGTTCCTACATATCTTCATAGTCTTGTTGCTATTTGTCTGGATTGCTGCTAAAGATGGTATACCAAGGATCTCCGGAGTCGAGATCTGATATAGTCATCTTAAGGTCGTCAGAGGCAAGTTACAAGGAGCATAGAACTAGTATTTTTGGTTCATAGTAGAGACAAGCATTGGTGAAGAAGAGATCATTTAAACAGTTTTATGCAGCCTCATGTAATTTAGAGAGTTCTCCGTGTTAAACTGTAATTTTTAATTTTGCTTCTACAAAATAGACTTAGGGCACTATGATATTGAGATCATATCCTATCATTTATAGTATGTGCGATTCGGCGTCCACTATCTTCTCTATCAGGACAGATTGCAAATCATCACCTTCTTTAGATTTACAGTGTACGATAAAGCATTTAACATATCTATCTATTTCAATTGTATGATCGAACATATCGTTATCTTTGGCTGATAGATACAGCGATGCTAACATGTAGATGTGACGATTGAATTTCTTTAGAGAAACTGAATGGGCGAATCTATGGAATATGGACAAGGCTTTTTAAAAGTAATAATTGAATGTTGGGTGATTGCCATTTTGCAATAGGGTTTCAAGTTTCTAGGAGAAATCATAGACTTCCTTGTACAATTTGACTTAATTTTCCAATTGGATGCCGTCCTTTTAAGATTAAGATTACAGCCAAGAATTGTATGAGAATAATTTCATGAATTAATTATTTAAATTCTTATGTCTTTAAATGATTTTAGTCACATAATCAGGTAGCTTTTGGGTTTTCTTTTGATTTTATGTCTTATATACTTGGGAATTCTATAATTAATTAAAGTTATGGGAAATCTTTGCGAAACAAATGAAACAAATAAACTGACTTCGGTTTAGATGCCATCCAAATAATAAGAGGAGACTATGGGCTATACTTCAGAGAGGAATTTAGTCTCCTCCAATTAATTGGAATCAGCATAGAAGAAATTGAGTATAGAAGATTTTGTGATGCTCAATCAATTAGGAAAAGTAAGGGATTATAGAATACGATAGATTTCTAGGGTGCATTTGGAAAAGTGTTCAAGGTGAAAAAGAAAGACAATGGTAAAATCTATGCACTAAAGGCTATGAATAAAAAATAAATATTTGATAGCAATTTAGAGCAAAATGCCGTTATCGAAAAAGAAGTGTTGAATAACAGCAAGCATCCCTTTGTTGTTAATCTAAAATATTCATTTCAAAGTCAAACCAAACTTTACTTTGTGCTGGAATACATTGATGGTGGGGAATTTTATTAGATACTTCAAAGAACACAAGGACTTCCTGAACCTGTTGTACAATTTGTAGCAGCAGAAGTCATTCTAGCTTTGGAATATCTGAATATGAAATTAAACATTATTTATAGAGATTTAAAACCTGAAAATTTACTACTGACTAAATCAGGACATGTGAAATTAACTGATTTTGGTTTAGCTACCAAAAGAAAAGAAAACAACCAAAAATCTTATACATTAGTTGGTACAACTGAATATTTGGCTCCGGAAATCATAAGAAAGGAAGGACACTCATTCGAAGTAGATTTATGGACTTTGGGGATTCTAATTTATGAAATGATTACTGGCAAAACTCCGTTTGCTCATCCTGAAAGAAATCAAATGAAAATTCAGTATCTCATTTTAAAGAATAATCCCTCCTATCCCCCAACTATGTCTCGTGATGCAAAGGATTTAATCAACAGTCTTTTATAAACCAATCCTCAATTAAGATTAGGCGCAAATGTATTCCATTTCTGATATATTTTCATAGGGATATGATAGTATCAAGAGTCATGCATATTTCACCAAAATCAATTGGTAAGATCTTTATGAACAGAAAGTCAAATCTCCACTAAAAACCTTTGCTGAAGAAAATTCAAACAGATTACAAAACTTATAGCCTATGCAAAATTAAATTAAAGAGACTCCTGGTAATAATCCTATGCCTTAAATTAATGGAATAAGCTACTCAGGAAATGAAATGGATAGAGGCAGTTCGGTAAAGAATTATTGAAAGACTATTTCAATAATAAATATATAATTAATTAATCCTTCTAATTTCTTATTATTATTACAATTGATTTTCATTATCTTTTACTCATCACCCAACTTCTTTATTGTGATAAAATGCATTTTCTTAATTTTTCCCCATTCTTTAATTTCATCCTAATCTTTTTTTAACCAATTGTCATTAAGTTTTAACACATTCTGTTTTTTATTTTCAAATATTGTTCATCCTTCTTTTTCATGCTTTTCAATTGTAAATCAAGTCTACTGTATTAATATTTACATGATCTTAATAATCCTTTGCTAAACTGAGAATTAAATTACAATGATCAGTAATTTAGAAGAATGACAAGGCTCCTTTATTCAATTGATCTAAGCCTAATTAATTTTATCAAAGAGGGATTCAATTATTTTATAAAATGAAAAAGTCCTTGCAATCTTATTCTTTGTATAAGTAAATGATGATATTCTTAAATTAAGGTTCCTAAAAACAAGCTTTACAATCAAATCTTCTTTAATTTCGTTCTTTTTTCATAGATTTTCATTATAATAAAATTCCAAAACCTTATTTCATCAGACTGAATTTTATTATAACATTCAATATACAAACTCAAGTTCCTATTAACATACGAAAGGCATTGTGAGTCCACCTCAAATACATTTAGAGATGGGGATTCTTTAGCTTAATTTGTATTCTAAACTTAAATTGTAAATGTGATATCATTTTTCTATTAAAGAGAAGGAGTTGAGTATTAGGATTGCTGTGATGTCTTCTAAATCTCATAGTTTAGGAAAATAAAGGAATATTGGGGATTTTGGAATTATTTTTAATTGAATAATTATACGTGAGTTTATGTATTAACAGGACTTTGAAAACAAATTTTTAAATTAAGATTTTTATTTTAATGGCTGAATAAGAGCAATAATAAGCACCAGCAGCAGAATAAGAATAAGCCGCCCCAGTTGAAAAAAAGGGATTCGGAAGAGGAGGAAGAGGATAAAGAGAAAGAAGAGAAGGTGGAGCCCCAAGATAAAATAGAGGTCCAAGAAGATTTGGAGGTGAATAAGAATGGGTACCCTTAACCAAATTGGGTAGATTAGTAAAGGCAGGCAAAATCAAGAGTCTTGAGACAATCTTCCAATTCTCAATCCCCATCAAGGGTAATTCTAGATTATTATACAAATTTAGAATATTAAATCGTTGATCACTTCCTTAAGAATTTGAAGGAAGAGCCACTTGCCATTGGTCCAGTCTAGAAGCAAACATGTGCAGGTTAAAGAACAAGATTCAAGGCATACGTCGTAGTTGGAGATTCCCACTAACACATTGGTTTGGGATGGAAATCAGCAAAGGAAGTGTAAGGAGCCATCAAAGGTGCAGTCATCAATGCTAAACTCAATTTGATCCCAGTTAGAAAGGGATATTGGGGAAATAAGATTGCCTAACCACACACAGTCCCATGCAAAGTGACAGGAAAGGAAGGATCAGTCAGAGTTAGATTGGTTCCAGCTCCCAGAGGTACTGGTATTGTTGCTGCCATCACATCAAAGAAAGTGTTATAAATGGCAGGAATTTAAGATTGCTACACCTAATCAAAGGGAAGCACAAGAACAAGATCAAACTTCTTGAAGGCCACATTCCATGCCCTTAAAGAAACCTACAATTTCCTTACACCAGATCTTTGGGGACACACAAAATTAGAATCAACTCCATTCTAAGAACACAGCGAATATTTGTCTGCCTTGAAATGAGATCAATTTATCATAAGTATATTAAAAATATAAAATACATGCTCAAAAACTTATTAATTGTTTTTTTGTATTCTCTTCTTATTGCTGTGAAGGCTGAGAATGTATTAACTATAGCATTTGGCTCATGCTTTAAATTTTATAGATCTCATGACACAGATGTTTTTCTAAGAATTTAGTAGTTTAATCCATAATATTTTTTATGGTTGGGAGACGCTGCTTATATTGATTATTCTCATGTTTTAGGTATATGGAAACCTGAATAGAATGAGACTAGAGTAAAAGATAAATTTGACATCACCAACAATGATAAATATTATGCTCAATTCAAAAAGAGTGTAACAATCAAAGGAATTTATGATGACCATGATAGTAATTAAAATAATGGAGATAAATTCAACCCTTTCAAAGAAAGTGCAAAATAATTATATCTAGATTTTATTGGTGTAGACAATAATTCTCCCCTTAGAAAATAGGATGGCATTTACTAATCATTCTATGCTGATCAAGATAATCAGATTCTAATTGTTATGACAGATATAAGATATAATTCCGATAAATAAACAGGTGATTCCTTAGGAGAAAATTAATGGAAATGGTTAGAAGAATAATTTAAGAAAAAAAGCGAATTGATCATCATGACATCTGGAATCTAAGTTATGCCTGATGATAGAGATGGATCAGAAACATGGTTTAAATGGTCTAAAAAGAGATTATATACTTTAATCAAAAAATATAATAAGCCTATCATCTTCTTATCTGGAGATGTGCACTATTCTGAAATTATGAAATATCCATGTCCCCATAGGTTAGGTTAAAATCTCTATGAATTTACTTCAAGTGGAATGACATTTGCTAATTCTGATCATATTCCCTTTTTTGGCTTTATTTCCTAATTTTTTCGTCCAACAACTTTTAGTAACAATTAAGATCACTATTACAAATCGAATTTTGGAATCTTAAAAGTAATTACTAATAATCGAAATTCACCTGTAAGGATTGATTATGAAACTCATTCTAGTGATGACTCTAGTGTTGTTTTGTAGAAGACTATCTATATTGAAGAGCTACAACAATAATTTTATGATGACTCTTAGTCTTGTATATTAGATGTATATAGAGAAGAGAGATAATGGTAGAATTATTTATTGAGAATTAATGAAAGCATTTTTATAGTGAGTTGCTCGCTATTGGCAGTATTGTTATTCATTATATTTTTGATATATAATTTTATATCCTATATTTCTAAATTTTTAGAATTATATAAACAGATATAGATGAATAAATTAAAAATTAAATAAGAATGATATATAAATATATATTAAGTAAGTACTTAGAATTAATATCCAAAATATTTTTAAAGATAAAAAAAAGAAAATAATATAGACACATTTGCAATTGTTATTAGAGTGATTTATTTGTATTCAAAAGATTATTATCTCTCCCTTCTATCATATATGGCAATAAATCCTTTATACTGTATGATTCTAAATTTATTTTACTTAATGAAGATATAAGTATGGTTTGAAAAAAAAATAATTAAGTTCCTCACCCTTTTATTTAAGAATATAAAAATTTATAAATATTGCATACTTCATTTTATTCTTGGAAATTACAATTTTTATTATTAGGAATCAGGCTCAATTCTTAATTTAGACAAGGCTGAATTCTTATATGTTGGAGCACTGGTTCTGCTTTGATTTGTTTTAGAGTATTTTGGATTTGTAGTTGTTTTTGTTAACCTCTCAACGATTTTACCCATCTTTTACTGATTTTATTACGAATATTTAGAAATTCTATTTTTTAATTCCAATGTTCTTGAACATATATGAGATTTTTACTTCTTATAGTCCTTTAGTACAGTGTCCTTATTTCTAAAGGATGATGGAGTTCTTTATAACCGCTACATTAATTTTTCATTTTCTCCAACAATTTTTTTAGCTTCTTGTTTCCTATAGGATAAATTAAGAGATTTGATAGAGTTGGCTGAACTTTGACGAGTGACAGATCTTTTTGGCATTGATGAATATGTTTTTTAATTTCCTATATCCACAATGCGATTTAAAATCTTGGCATTCTCCTTAAAGAGACGTTATTCCTTTTGTAAATCCACTTATAGTTTGGTATAAAACTTGTTCGCCCTTATTTACTAATACTTATCATTGTCTATTAAAACTTGCTAAAGTTCGAGAATGCTATACTTTTTTTGAAAGATGGGGATCTGATCTTGTATTTAACAATTTGAATTTATGCTGTTGGAACTATTCAGCATAACACACTTTTTTTATAATATCCTATTCCACATATTTGGGACCTCTCATAATTTATGATTTTATAATATAAATAAATACTTATTAGAGTGCTATAAATTATTTTTTAAAGGAAACGGGAAATGGTAAGGAACTGTAATATTTTTGAATTCCATTGATTTTGGAATAGTGGGGTTGATAATGGTATTAGAAAATGATGAAAAGTGTTAGAATTTAATGATTATATAATAATAAATTACAGAAATAGAATTTAGCACCTGTGTTCTAGTTAATTTTGTTATTGCTAAGTATTTTGTGATGAGAATATCATTTTGAAAATTTATTTAAATTAAATGTTTGAGAAGGAAATAGTGATTGATGGAAAGGGTCATTTGTTGGGTAGATTAGCATCTTATATTGCAAAACAATTATAAAGAGGATAAAGAATAGTTGTAGTCAGAACAGAATTGATTCAACAATCAGGTAAAATGATCCCATGATTTTAGGTTCTCTATTTAGAAACAGAGTTATTTTCGAGGAATATTTGAACAAAAGAATGGCCTTCAATCCTAGAAGAGGATATAAACATTACAGAACACCATCAAGATGCTTCTGGAAAGTTGTAAGAGGAATGCTTCAATACAAATCAAAAAGAGGAGCAGCTGCTTTAGAAAGATTAAAAGTCTTTGAAGGAGTTCCACCTCCTTATGACACAAGAAAGAGATAAGTAGTTCCAGATGCTCTTAAATTAATTAGACTCAAGAATCATAGACCTTTTTGCTCCTTAGGAGATTTGTGCGCTTCAGTTGGATGGAATCAATAATCAATTGTAAATAGATTAGAAGAAAAAAGAAAGATAAGGTAGAATTTGCATTTATAAATTGTTAGAGGTGCAACATATTATAAGAGAAAAATTACCAGAGAAAATCTAAGAAGAAAGGCAATTGGCGCTAAAGAACTTACTGCCATAAACGCAGAATTAGAGAAATTGGGTTATTGAGAAAATATAATAAGATAATGTACAATTAGAAAATTAAGTAATATTATCATCATTGTGATCTTTTTAATTTCAAAGAGAGTTTTTTAGTTTATTTTTAAAAGGTTGATTATTTTTCAAATTGATCAATCGTATAAACAGAATGCAAAGGTTTTAAATCCGTTGTTGTATGCAAGGATTATAAACTAATTGCTTTCGAATTTAGTAACCGATTCAATTTTGTATTTTAATTCTTAAATTATTAAAGATAGCTACTGTTTTTGCAAGTATCAGCTTTTAATTTTTATTAAATGATTAAAGTTTGAATTTTTTCACCAAAGCTTATTTTTCTATTTTTAATATCCAGACAACAGCTTTTATTTCTTTTACGATTGGAGGGGCTTTAAGGGTAAGGATGATGAAGTATAGAGTAATGACTAATCATCATTTTAGAAGGACAACTGCTCCGAATTTTAAATTCCTAAAGAGCTATTTTAGCTATATAGATGATGCATTGAATAGCAATTATTAATTTTCTCCATTTTTTTACATAAAATTGCTTTCTTTGAAAAGAAGTTCCATGATAGGGTATAGTTTAAAACATGAACTAATATCTTTTATTTAAAGTTCCCTCGTAAGAAGACTCTGAACTTCGACATCGTTTATTGCTAATAACCTATAATATTCAATAGTACTTTTAATTTTCTTATCTTCTTTTACTAAACCATTTCAACTTAAAGAGAGTCTATTCATACTCTACTATTTCTGGTAATTTTGGGTGCTATCTATGACTTTTTTGTTTTGGAGAAAGAGAGAGTACTAACTAATTTGGAGTTCTGGTTTTTATGATAAAGCTGTGTTTCGACCTCTGTTTTGTTTCCATATTAATGAATTAATATAACTATTATTAAAATTAATTTATTGGAGTTCTAATTAGATATTTACTTAAATAAACTTTATTGTTAAAGATTGAATTAGGAAAATTGTGAGTAATATTTTCATTATATTCAATATAATCTGAGAGTCCTTATTCTTCTTATCATAGTCGAAGAAACTCTCTTTATTCTAATGTTTTCTTCTTTGTAAGGCGCTATTTACATCAGAATAGGTAGTTAATTAGAATCTTTGATGCTTGCACATCTATTTCTTGAGAGATCAACAGTTTGATCGCAAATCTTTGATGTCACAAGCCTTTTTATTCTTGAATCGTTAAAACGAAATTCTTTTGTGATCACTGATTTCGAGCTCAACTCCTTTTTTTACTTCTCACTTTCATACATTGCTTTTACAAAATCACCAAAGCCACTTGGTTGATTCTTTCCTTCCCCTTGAGTTCTACTTCGAAATTTCCTTTTAGGAGGACTTGCAGGATAATTGAGACTTTTAAGACTGCTTCTTCGAGGAGGAATGTGAGGACATGAAGCAGTCTTAGAAATTAATTATTCTCTATAAAGTTTACCATAGAAGATTATAATTTCCACTCCTATAATCAGCCGTTTCCACATCATTCTACATTAATTGAATCTCTATTGAACAGGACAATGATAGGGCAACAATAAAAAAAACTAAGAAACCTTTTTACCATTTTGTCCTTCGATCGAGCTTTCTGAACTTTTAGCTCTAGGATAATATTTAAGCCTATGTGTCGATATTAATTCATTACTTTTTATGATATTGTTTTTATTCATTCCATTCAGATAGCTATTTCAAATTCTCATTAATTTGATATCTCGGTTATTTTTATTTATATAATCGCACTCTTGTAACTTGATTAGATTTCTAACTTTAACTTAAAAAAGATCTTTCAAATTTTCGAATAAAGCTATTTTCTAAGTCATTTCTATAAACCTTCGGTAATTTTTTCTGATTCATAAATAATTAATATATATATAATAAAGTGATCATTTGCCAAGATTTGAAAATACTCTTTGCAATCTTTTATCTAATTTTATAAGAGGAGGAAGAGTTAAATTACACTATAGTTTGTTAGTCACCTTCTTAGGAGATAGTCTTAGATTATCTGCAGAAATGCTATTGTTATTATTTCTTTTAGTTAATATTCTATTAATTCTAATTTGATTCGATTGATATTTTAGATAAATGGGGGATTTCTTGAAATTAGGTATTTCTTTCCTTTTTTATTTCGCCTCTAATTCGTCTTAGGCTTCTATATATTCACCAAAGGTTCCTAATTTTAATAGACAATCCTTTTTTCTTTTTCTTGGATTCCTAGGCAGAGTGTCAGGAGTTGGTAAAGCATAAAGTTTTTTTCTGGGAATATAAAACCTGTAAATATCATTTCTTGCTCTTTCATATCTAAATAATGAGATTATGACATTGATGTATTTCTTCCATAATTTTCTTATAACTTATCTTCTATGCTATTTACAGTGATGGTAAGGTAAATATAGAAAGATCTATTGATCCTTAAGATTAATAAACCCTTCTACATTGCTTTAAGAACTAAGAGACCTCTTATGATATTTAAGTCTAATTTAGATTAAGTTGCTTACAATTGATAATCTTAAATTCTCTCGTTAATTTCATTAAGTTCTTTCAACTTAGTTAATGAGTCCAGTTCATTATGCTTCTGAAAATTATTATTTTATTAATGTTTGAGATTCAATAGATTATTTTGAGATCTTTGAAGAAATGCAAGCTGAGTGTATTTCTATTAAATATTTTTTAATCCTTAAGCCTTCATTTTTTTAGTAGTTTAAGTAGTTTAAGTAATTTAATTAGTATATTGCAATTAAATTTAAAAAGATGCAAATAAATGGAATTATCAGACTTAAAATTGAGTTTAATTTAAATATTAATGTTATAAAGGAATTATTTAAATTATTTAGGTTCAAATTAATGCTTAAGCAGATTTCAAATTTGATAATAATGATATGACTTTGCAATAATTTTTTATTCTTTACAAACAAATATATTCTTTGTAAAGAATCTACTATTTTACTATTTTACTATTTTACTTTCTAATATTTAAATTATTATTTTTAACATTAATATTCTTTCTACTTAATTTTATAATTATCATTATAAAAGTAAAGATAATATATTGTATCATTTTCAATTTTGAAACTAATCTATCTATTTTCAAAATCATTGTAACAAAATTTATTGTTTTCATAATTGTAGTTTTCTTAAAAATTACTTGTATATTTTATTTAAATTAATTGATTTTACTTTTAAATGATCTAAGTTCATGAATTCTATCAATATCAATTAAAATATTAAAAAGAATCTATTAAAGCACCCTATTAATCAATACTATTTCATTATTTCATTTTTGCATAATAATTCAGATATCAAATATATTTAGGTACATACATAAGATTTAATCAATTCATTTAAGATTATATATTTAGTTAATCATTTATTTATCACTATATTATAATAATTAATTAAATATGAATAAAACAATAGAAAGAAATGAAAATGGAACTGTAATCATGAATTTAAGAAATTTAAAGATCATCTGTGATAGAAAAGGTCTTTATCAGACTCCAGAAAACAATGAGACTATTTATTTGCATTATTTAGGTACATCCAAATGTTATTGATATAGGATTCGACAAAATTCAAAATCTAGAACCTTATAAAAATTTAGTAGCATTATGGTTGAATAACAATGCAATTGGTAAAATTGAGAATTTAGATGAACTCACCTAGCTTGTTAATTTATATTTGAATCATAATCTAATTTAAAAAATCGAAAATCTTTCATTTCTGACAAATTTGTGCACATTAAATTTGAGTCATAATTCAATCAAGAAAATTGAAAATTTGCAAGCATTAACTAAACTCTAAAACTTAAATATTTCAAATAATCATTTAGCAGGTTATGAATCATTAGAGAATTTATAAGAATGCTTGTCAATTACTAATTTGGATTTATCTAATAATTTTATATCATATGAAAAGCCTATTTTAGAGTTGTTTGGAAAAACAAATTTAGGTTGTTTATATTTAAAAGCTAATTCATTTGGTATATTATTAAATAATTATATTTTAGTAAGAGAATGTTCAGATTATAGAAAAATTATGATAGTGACTATTAAAACTTTGAAGTATCTAGATGATAAACCAGTTACAGTAGGTGAAAGAAGAATTAGTGAGGCTTGGTAAACAGGAGGTAAAGCAGCAGAGTAATAAGAAAGAATTGCTTAAATTGAACAAAGAAAAGAAATTAATTATTAAAACTATCTACAAACTCTTGAAAGACAATAGAGAGGGGAAATGAGAAACAATCTATTGACTTAAAAAGATAATTTATAAAGAGAGATCAGTTTATTATAAATTCTATTGGCTGATGGGGATGATGTTCAAAATTAATTAGAATAAAAAGAAAAAGAATTATAAAACATAGAAACAGAATTAGAGAAATATAAAATAGATTAATTGACTCCTTATTAATGTGTGTTAACAACAAGAGACGAATTTGGAAATATCATAATTTTAAACAAATCAGAAGATGTAATAATTATGTTTTATGAAAAAGGAAGTAATATAAATTAAGCAAAAGTATTTTAATGATGATATCCAACCATTAAGTGAGACAGATTTACCAGATTTTGAAAGTGGGAATTAAAGTAATACTCTTACTGAAGACTTGGAAGATTTAAATAACAGTAATTTAGAATAATAAAATATTAACAATTATATTTATGAAGATAAAAAAGTAAAGATTTTAAGGGAAGTGAAAGACAAGAAAGAAGGATGGACTCTAGAAAATGAATAACTGCTATAAAATTTATTGATCTTTCATTAATTTGACTATTAGATTGTTAGCAAGGAACTTAAAAAAAAAATGGAAGAATAAAATTCTAAATTGAAATACTTAGATCCTGAAGATCTTAAATTAATTTGGACATATATTGAACTTACGAAGTAAAAAAACCACAAACCATAAAATTTAGATGGAATTGATTGATGAGATGATTTAATTATTTATTCAATTTGTTAATATTATTTGATAATCTTATGTTATAAAATAAGTTATTAAAATTTATAATTATAACTGTTGATTTAAATTGTATTATAATTGTTCGTTTATATTTTCTCTAATGGCCACCTAATATCTAATATTATTGATAATCATACTAAAATGAGTAATCCATTCATATTCAATTTTAATCAAGAAGTTCTATGATTAAGTAATAGCAATAGAAGGTATTACTTAATCATAAGACCTAATACTTCACATTTTATGTTTAATTTACTATCCCTATCAAAATTTATAATTGTTATATGCTCATTTAATTTCTCTGAAAAAAAAAATTTCTCTATTACTTGACTTTTTCTATATTTATTGAATTCTTGTACATATTCTTTTTTAAGGCAAAATGAATTTAGATATGCTTTTTGAAGAGGAATTTCATTTATTTACAACCTTAAGAAGCATCTTTGTTGATTTACATAATATGGAATGATTAAAATTAATTGATCTTCTATAATTATTGGATAATTTATTCAATAATTAGAATTTTTTTCTTATTAATTTTAGGCTGCCATTTCTCAACAAAAATTTGAATTTAGAGGTTCATTAAACTGGGAATACCTTAAGTAACTGAGAAGTAATTTTAAAATAACCAGAAATGATGCAGGAGGCTCTTTTTATTTTTTTTATTTGAAAAAAAAATTGAGAAAATGCTTTTCAAGATTTTATGATATTTAATTTTGGAAATAATCAAAAGATTTGTACATTTTCATTCACAAACAAATTATAATTCACTATTTAAGCTTCTTTCTATCTCTCTTAATTGAAGATAAAATGTCCAAATCAAATTAATTGGTTTCTTCATCCAAAGTTTAAATTTCTTATTAACAAAGAGGTGGTTTTTTAGATGTACAAGATTTTTCTACATTAAATAAAAATTTGATTACTTCCACTTATTTCTTTCCCATCAAATTTATCAGTAGATTTATTTTTACAAATTTCAATAGCCGCACCTTTTTAAGGGACTAGGAACTCATCTGACAAGTTTATTAAATCATTTTCTAGATCTTGTAGCAAATAGAGTAGCTTATAGAATTTATCAATCTCCTTTCTTGTATACTTTTGAACGATACTATTTTTTTTTTATGGTTTTTATGATAAAATTCTTATCATTTAATTTAATGAAATTTAATGGTTAGTATAAATAATTTAAATTAGCATTTAAAGTTAACCACCTTATAAATTTTATAATCCTTATAATATAAAGGATTTTCTTTTTTCAGTCTGTTCTTCACTTCTACTTTAAGAAATTGTATTAAAAAAAAATGTATTCAAAAAATGATTTAAATCATAAATTAAATATAATATCATAAATTATGAGGAATTTATGATAATAACATAAAATGATGATTTTGCATTCATTCAATGTTATTAAAAAATTCAAATAGGCATATTTTTTTTTTTAAATTTTAAAGTCTCATAAAGCAATTTAAAATTATTATTACTAAATAATTTAAAGGTAATATGTTGTATGTACTAATTTCCATTCTTAAAGTTCAAGTTTTAACAGTTCAAATTCAAATTTTAAGATGAAGAAGTTATAATTTAAAAATAGCTGTGCAAAAATCAAATGCATGAATATAAATAAATTTTGCTGTTATAAATAAACAATATTACCTTTTATTTTTATATAATGAAATTAATTTATTAAAAATTATTTGAAATTGAAAAATTTAATAAATTAAAGATCATTCAAACAATTACTTTTTGATTTCCTAAGGGTAATATATACCATTATAAATACCTTATAAATATTATAAATAAATAAAAACAGCATATATATACTATATGAATGATTTCAATAGAATCACTTATTACTACTTTCACAAAATTGTTATTTTTCAATTTATTGGCTAAAATTTCTACTATGTTTAGATGATGAACTTGAAGATTAATCAGTAGTTGATGAAATCTTATTATGACTTTAATTTGCATTAAATTCATACCCCTAAAATAGATCTTAATGATTTAATTGATGATACCTTAAGTAACCGGATCTTTTAATACAAGCAAGTTTTATTAGATGAGTTCATTATTTTCTTCATCCTCTATGAGAATTTGATTTTTATCAAAATTATCCTCAGTCCTCTAATTTAATAATATCCATTTACATTGGGTTTAAATGGTGGAATCAACTCGAAGTCTTGCAACTTTTACCATGGAAAATTTAAAAACCAAGGATGCTGACGGATTTCTTGACTACCAATAAACCCTAATCGCTATGATGGTTTTCTTTATAATAGCTGGAAAGGATTTGAATTAATAAAAATACTCTATTGATAAAATCAGCACCCTCCAACGACCAATTATCAGGTATTTCAGATTTCTTTATTTGAACCTATTTAGCTATGATTTGCTCCCTAATTTCTTATCTTGACCTTCCCACATAAGGTCTCTAAATAAATCTAAATTATTAATACTCTGCCCAACATGAATTCGTAAGCGATGACTCCTAAGGCATAATAGTCAACAGCAAATGTATGGTTTTATCTATACATGACTTCAGGAGCTAACTGATTGAATCATTGAGTACCCATATAGCCAGGTGTGCCACTAGTATCGCTTGAGTTCTCTGATTTCATAAATCTTGCAATGCCAAAATCAGTTAAATGCACATAACCTTTGCTATCCAAGACGAGATTTTCAGGTTTCAGGTCTCTATGAATTATGTTGTTGCCGTGAACATATTCTAAACTTAAAAAAATGCAGGCTACGAAGAACCCTCAAAAATTATAGTTACAATTTCTTACTGGTTTCTTCTTCATTAAATTTTCTCATTCTTCCAATGTGATATCGAAGATCTCCTCCTGACATATAATCCATTATCAAATAGAGAGTTTCCCTGTCTTGATACGCATAATTCATGTTAACTAAAAAAGGGTGTTTCAATTGGCTTAATAAAATTCTTTCATTCATAACTGAATTTACACTTTTTTTTGTGATAATTCTATATAAGGAAGAATAAACATACAAAGCCTTTGACATTTCCTTCATCGCATAAATTTGACTTGTCTTTTTATGTTCTACTTTCCAAACTTTTCCGAAACCTCCTATTCCAACAACAAAATGGAAGTGAAAAGTGTTTCTACAATACAAATTATTATTAAATAGTTCTTTTAATTAGTTGATCGATTATGTTTGAATTGCCTGAGCCTATTATTTTACAATTTACGGTTTTTATTTATTCTAAGTAATTTCTCTTGCTTTTGCTAATAATGCTTGTAATTATTGCGAACTTGAATTCTCGTTATTTTAAGTATCAAATGCTTCAATAGTAGGAGATTTATTGTGTTTAATTAATTTTGTTAAATTAGTGACATCCACCTAAGATCCTTTATGAGAATGCAATCGTTTTAGTAGATTTTGTTCAGAATTTTAAGGTGATACCTATGAGCTGTTCGGAACATTTATAGGAGCTCTGCAATTAAATAGTAATGAGGAAATCATCGGCTTTTTAATAGAACTTGGACTATTCACTTGGCTAGGTTTTCTCGAACCTTGAAGATTCAAGCTCATATAATTTTAATAAAATTTGATAATCAAATTATAGAATTAATGGAAATTGTTAGATCGCTTGTGCAAATGATGAAATACACAGTCCAAATGAATTCTGAAAATTCGAACATAAATTAAGGTAATTCAAAATTATTGTTACCATAGTTATACTAGTCTTTTCTAAGTATTTCTCTCTTAAATTTTATTGACCTTATAATTCAACGAAGTGTTATCAGTATCATATTACCCAGGACCAGGTCTTGGTTATGGCATGCTTATTGGATAGATTTATTTCCCAAAACGATCTCTATCATCTTCAATAAACATGTAACTAGGATTATATTTTTATTATGTAAGTTCAGGGTCCAAGAATTCCTAATTTTACTTTTTGGGCGAGCATTTTTAAAGAGCCTTCTCAATTTCTTATCGTATTGTCAATATATTAAAAGGTTAAGTTTCAGTCCATTCTTCTTTACATAAAATCGACGCTTTAACGTCAAAGGACCTGCCTGCAATTTCTTGAGGAGGATCAAGTTTGACTTTGCTTTTCTTTCTATAATGCTGCATCTCAATGTAATACGGTCTTTCCTTGTAACTATATGACCTTTGCTCTCTTATAGGATTAGCAGGCAAAAGAGATAATCCAGGATCAACCGGTTATTCTTCAGGCTTTATTTTTGGCATTAAGGTAGTTCTAATGATTTTCTTATCCATTGGCATTCTATGAACTCTCTAGATATTTGTGGCTTATAAATTGGCTTGAGGCTTTTGAATATGATATCTGAAGTTATCCTTCTTATGGGGAGCAAAGTTTGGACCTGCCAAATTCTTCTAACTGGATGAATCTGTTGAAGTTTCTAAATTTGAGAGATCACAAACAACATTGGTAAACATAGAACTAAATCCTTTTGTATGATTCATGGTTGTCCCTTTATTTTAAAGTAAAATCTTTTTCATAGTGCTTTCATTTATGTAAATTTTTGAATTGGGTATTGATGAAAGTGGCATTTAGAACTCTGCCATTATAATAAATTTAATATGCAATATAATTATTACTAATTTTATAATTCATCAGTTAGTTATTATCATGTGATTTAAAGTGTTAATAAATAATCTTCTTTCATTTCATATGATTTTGGGATAATTTATTCCTATTTCAAAATTTAAGAAATAATAAGTCAGATTTCTTTATTTTAGCTATTGATTGAACAATATATCCTCTTCAATATAGGAGTAAGGATAATTGAATTAAAAACTATGAGTTTATTCTTAAATCTTTGAAATTATGGATTTCAGTTTAGCAAACATTAAAATTAATTTAGAATATGTAATTATTTTATGTTTAAACCCACAACTTATAGCGAATTATAAAAAAGAAAGAAGATGGTTATTGGAATGCATATGATTGACCCCTCTGATAGATATCATTATTTTAACTTAGTTGGAGGAAATAATTAATTCAAATAGAAAACAAGTTCCATCAGTTAATAACATAAATATGAGAATTATACTCCTCGACAAATGGTGACTTTACCTGTTACACCCAATAGTAAATGCCCTTCCTTTTTCGAAAAGTCCTAATTACTAGTTTCTAAATAAGTTAGCATAACCCCGAGAATAAAATAAGTAAGATAGCAAACAAAACCAGTACTGATGTAGTTAAAAACTCAATTAATGGATAAAAAAGGAAATGAATCATTCAGACTCAAAGAAACAATTACAAGTCCAGCTAAAAAGAAGTAGAATGATCTGAAGAAAAAAATCTTATTAGAGTTAGCTTAACCCTCAGACCTTGATGATTTTGTTGATTATGTATGTAATAAGAAATTAATATGATAATTTATTTTTCCATGAAATCTAGGCTAGAATTAAAAAGCATTTTTGATATCAGTTAGTAGATCTAGTTTTTAGTAAATATTTAAATTAATAAAGCCAATTCAAAAAATTAACGAGTAAACTATGTTCTATAAGCTAAGTGGTTCAAGATTCAAAATAGTTCTTTAGATATTAAGAGGTTACGCCTTCATAATCTTGGAAGTGTAGGATTAATTTTCATCATTCAAAAGCATTAAGAATAATCTAAAATCAGATACAATCCAAATCCTATCTACATAATATTATTTAAATCTAAGAAAATCATTCCAAAATAATCTATTTTGTCTATCATATTCTAAGCCTTATTTTAAGAATCTTAGTAAACATCTTGTTAATGTTGGGTTCAATTACTGTAACTTTACATTCATAGATTTGAGGAATTTGTAATCGAAAAATAACTATTTTAGAAGTACTTCTAATCTCTTACTCTCCTCAATCTTCTGAATTGAAGTTTGAAGCAACTTATTTTTAGAATACTAAATAGTCATTTCACATAATAAAAGAAATTAACAAAATAAATCTCTATCCATATTAATTGTCTTAATTCCAAAGATCAACTAAAATCTCTAAAATACCTATTCACAAATAGAAGGTAATTCAGTTTACTATTTTTAAGGTTCAGTCTTTTCAGTTTACATAGTTTTCTTGATTATCGATTAATCCTTGATTTTTGCTTCATATTTCAATTTATTTTATTCTTTTAGATATTGTTTAATTTCTTTGTTTCTTTTATGAGATGTTAATTATTAATATTTATTATCTGTGTCAAACATTTCTGATGATTCATTTTAGATTAGATTTATACTTTGTTGTGAATAAGTTCTTACTCTGGTTATTTTTTATGGTTAAATGTCTTCTATTATTTATAAGTCTATTCTTGTGTCACTCAAAAACATCATACTTTTAAATCTGCTTTTATGTATCATATTAAAGTCAACTCCAAAAACATAATTAAATTATTTCTCCTTATTAATTCTTTCTGCGAATTCAATCAACACTTCGTACATTTCTCTACTTGATGTGTTTATGAAATCAATTTTTTTCTATTTTTATGAAAATGTGCAGTAATAATAAGTTTAAGCCTTGCTTGTCGATTAAATCAATTATTCTTATAAGTATGCGACAAAGTATTTAATTTGTTGATCATTTAAAAGCTCTTTATATCTTAGAAACTGAAGATAATGTGGGTTTTGGATAAACTCGGCTATAAATTCTTCATTATTTAATATCATTATGATTAATATTCCTTTTCCTTCACCTAATGGAGTAACGTCAGCATGGATTGAATTTCTCTCAGTTGGTTTTCTAACATTGAATGAATTAGATCTTTTCTTTTATAAAAAGGGTAACATTAAAAAAGTTAATTAAATAATTTTATATTCAATATAGATGACTTTTATTATATAAAAGGCTCTAAAATAAATGTAAATATAATTAAAAGCTAAATAAGAAAAATAGAAAATACATAAATAAAAATCATATATGTTATTTTGTTTATCAAGAGTTATGAAATTTGCATCTACTCTAAACTTTGAAATATATATTAAACCTTCCATTTTTAAACTATGACAATAAAAATATAGGATATTCAAAATTATGATAGGAGTCTTTTAATAATGGGTATTATTTAATTTATAATGGGATAAGCATGCTGTTAAAAATTGAATTATCTTCCAAGCATAGGCTAACAACCAGAACCATTATATACTCACACTTATAATGATGTACTCTATAAATTTACGATACCCTAAGGCTCAATTTTTGACTCCTGAACAAACATAACCAAATGAGATCTCAAATGCATCATTCTTATTCAATTTTAATAATTAAACTCATACTCTGGATTTGGGCTTTGGAAGTAATGTCTTTTTTTGTGAATAACCTCCTTAAATAGAGAATGAAATTGTATTGCTCACATTATCAAATCGTGGTAAATATAAGTTGCCAAAAGAACTAAATCTTATAGATGTTACATTCTACCCACCTATTGTAATATTTTTATTAACCTTCAAGCAATATAAGAAAACCAATAATGTTTATGTTGGAGGTTGGAAAAATTATTAGAGAAATGGATATGGATTACAATATTGGCCTACGGGAGCTTTTTATGAGGGGGAATGGAAGGATAATAAGGCTAATGGATAAGGAAGATTGATCCATTCTGATGGAGATATGTATGAAGGGGAATGGAAAGACGACAAAGCAGATGGCAAAGGAACCTTTTATCACTTTGATGGAGTTAAGTATACTGGTGATTGGTTAGACGATCTACCTCATGGATAAGGCAAGGAAGAATGGCGTGATGGAACTGAGTATGAAGGAACTTTTAGTTATGGAAAAAAAGTTGGAAAAGGCACATACAAGTTTGCTGATGGTGGTGTGTATGTAGGCGATTTTCAAGACAATCAGATGTAAGGAAAAGGCGTCTATACATGGCCAGATAAGCGAGTTTATGATGGTCAATGGGTCTAAGGGATAATGGAAGGCAAAGGAAGTTTAATTTGGCCTGATGGTAAAAAATACGTAGGTAATAAAAACAAACGATTTTAAAGGGCAATACGTTAATGGTAGAAAAGAAGGGTAGGGAACTATGAATTTTGGGGATGGAACTTAATACATAGGGTATTGGAAAGATGGATAAATGCATGGGTTAGGAACATTTTAAGGCAAAAATGGAATCACTTCAGGAGAATGGTATGAAGGCAAACTCAAAGTAGAATCACAACAACTTTGAAATGATTATTTTTTATAGTAATTAATTGGAAAATTGAAAGATATAATCAATGGGATATAAATGAATTTGACCTACTAAATCTATTAATCTCATCTGCTGCTTCAAACTATAAATGAATGATTGCTATCTGTGAAGCATTTAACCCGTCATTCTATTTCAAATACATAACTTACATTTTTTATGGTAATCTCTGCTCCTTGGCGAAGTAGGAAAGAAATTATTTCAAATGCTCCTGTTCTTGCTGCCTATATTAAAAAGGTATTCCCTTTTTCATCTTAAGTGTTTATATTGATATTCTAATCATGATTCAGCAAGTCTTTTAAGTCTTGCAATCGATGATCCTCTATTAAGGAGAACGCTCTTTCAATATTAGATTTATCATTTTGTTAGCTTTCTTGTAATAACATACTTCTAAACAATAAAGAAGTTGGTTCCATCGATTATTGGGTGATAAAATTGGATTTGATTGAAATTAATCCTTGAGAAGATTTGGATTTAGCCTATTGTTCAGATTTAGATTTTATTTATTATTCAACTTCTTTTTATTATTAGTTTTGAATAATTTCAGAGCACTAAAACTATTATAAATTGGGATTCGACTTGTTGTCTGTATGTAACAGACCTTAAAAATTCTTAGAACTAGCAAACATAATATTTTGTGATGAAGAAGAAAATTTCTAATTTCCTAATAAATTCTTTGATTTCTAATTCTTTTTCAACATCATTCCTTTGGCAAATAATGGATTCCATTCCTTGACAGTCAACTTTGATTCATTCTGAAATAAAATAAATAGAATACAGATCCTATTGGAGATGCGAGTCTACTTTTTGAATTCTAAGGAATGTTTAAATTACCAAATTATCGATCATTAAGTCTTGCTAACTCTAAGTCATTTTGAGTACACAATTAAAAGTAAATCTTTTCCGTTGGAGTTATTTGATGGTATTTATATTCTTCAAATAATCCTATTAAAATGTTATTGTATTTTTAGGAAAATTCAGTTTTTAAACTTTTTTAGTCAACTTACAATAATTATTTATGTAAATTATTAAGAATCTATAACTCTCTATTTAATGATAGATAATATACAATTGTTTTCAGAATCATCCTCGTTTTGGATAACTAAATTAATTATTTCTGGGAATCTCATGAGATCTTCATGTAAAAACTAGTTTTTAGTTTCATCATCCACTATGTTTACTATAACTCTTAATTTCTATTGTTTTAGATCATTTAGAGATATTAAATTTACGATTTGAGAGATGTAATTGATTTTAAATTAAGTTTGTATTTCTCCATCACTGATATCCAATTAAGAAATATTAGCACTCAATATGCTGTTATCACTTGGATATCCTTAGTGATTACATGCAACAGTATAAAATAAAGTATCTATTTCGCATTACTTCTTAAATTGAAGAGATATAAATACATTTAATTTAAGATATTATAAAGAAGTCTTATTTGAACCATCTTGAAATGTTTCTGAATAATAGTTACTATTAAAAAAGCTTTATTTTGATATATTTTTATTTTGCTTTTCCTCCTAATCTTATTATGGCTCATAAAAGATTTCTAAACATCTTTGAACATGATTCTGTAGATAATATCTTGCAAATTATGAAGCTTTGAAAGAGTTGAAATTTTCAATCGCATCATTGTCTTATTATGTATTAAGGACTTTGTCTCCAAATTTCTTGACTAATCTTAAAGCGAATTTGCTAATAATATTTTTGAAATGTATACTTTTGTAACATTGATTTACTGACTAAAGAATAAATATTTGATTTTCTATTATCTTTTACATCTGTCAATTAATCATGGGCTTAAAAGACATCGTCTATATAATTTGGCATATGAAATTCGATTTATTTCTCATTTTCCTCAAAAGCAACGGTTACTTTGATATTTTTTTTTTAAACTTGTTGAATCATCAATTATTTATCAATTTTATTTTTTTCTATTTTATCTTCTTTATTTTCCTTTAGAGCATCAATAATTGTTTTAATAGGTAGATTCGATTCTGTCTCTTAGATACTTAAATTGGGATGAATTTTAGTTTGTTTTTTTGTGATAGTGCTTAACTTAAAATTAAATTTTGATTCAATAGCTTTTGGTGTTCTCTCCTCTGGCATATTGCTTAATGTTTTTTAAAATTAGGAATCTATAAAGGGATCCTTTTTCTTTTTGATTTCCAATTCTAATAAATTCTGTTTATCTCTGTGAGTATGCAACATTTATCTTAGTTTTCTCATCAGATGACAACTCTTCTCATTCAAGGATACTATCTCTGTAATTTGTTAATAAATCTAGGTTCTTTTGATTTTGTGATATACCCGAGCCATTTTTGAGAACTCATAGTTTTCTCTCAATATTTCCTCTTGATAAATTTAGGGTTTTACTATGTGAGTGATATTTTCAGTTCTACTTGATGTTAGAGATATCTACTGAATTTCACCAGCATGCTCTATTAATTAAGGAGTTTTAACTGTTTGCTAAATGTCTAGTTATAGGTTTGGTTGTTGAACTTCTTAAAATTGCTGATCTGGAAAGTCTAATTTAGAAACATATTCGTTTTTAGTATTGGCGAGAGTCTCTGTTTTGTTTCTTTAATGTGAATGAACAATGCGAAAGTCTCCAGAATTTCCACTTGCCTTTCTCTTTTTAACCGTTACAGTTTTAGGAGTATCCTAAGTTTCTGTATTCATCATATGAGAAAAAAGTGGGAGTTTTTTGGTTGAGTCGAGAAGAAATCGAGATGTGCGTTTCGAGTAAACTAAATATTTATTTCCACTAGAGGCTGTAGAGCTTGCATTTTAATAATGTTTGCTGAGTGTAGATGTTGTTAGAGAGGGCACTTGAGATACGATTTGACTTCCTGTTAAATTTGTGAAAAATTTGCTAACTTTGGATTATTTCATTAATTTTATGAAATACATGCATAAAATTGAATCGTACATAACCTTAAATATCGCTTTCTAAGGTGCCACCAATTTTTATATTATTCAAATAAATATTTCCTTTTTTAATTTGAATTTCAAAGTTGGAACATCATGTTTACAAATTTGAAATATTTCTTTGAAATTTGGAAGCAATCTAAAATGGTATTGATATAGTTAGTATTATTAAAGTTGATTGTTTAAAATAATACGTATTTTTTCAATATTATAAATTGTCAACTCGAATTCGGATAAAGAGTAATTAAATAATTGAACAATTCACTAGCAAATATGGGAAATATTGAAATGAAAGAAGAGGCAATCACAACTTAATAAGAATGTCATCATTGTAAAGGAATTGGGTACGTGACCCAAAAATTCTCGAGAAAATATTTAGATCAAGAATTATCACCAACTCAAAAAAGAGAAAGAGATTAGTGTTTAGATTGTTTAGGAAAAGGGCACCTAATACTAGAACACTACGACGAGAAAAATTTTACTTTATGACAACACAAATGATTATATATATATAAAACCATTAATAAACTAAAGATTTGCAAGATTTAATAATCAGTAATAATTATTCAGTTATTATGAGAATTAATGACTTTATAATAATAATAATCGAGGTCAACATAGACATACTATCCTGAGAGTTTTAAATCTTTAAACATTTTTATTAATTAAGAACTGCAGAAAGACAAGGAACTGTTAAACAATTCAAATTTGCTATATCAAATATATAATTTATAATATATATGCTTGCTATATTCATTATAATATTACCTTTATCAAATTCTCAAAAGTGTTCATGTAATGAAATCTATATTGAGGATTTGTGTTAAGAAGCAAGGGGATGTGCTTATGATGCTAAGTCTGGATTTTGTGAAGAAATTTAATGTATTGATAGAATGATTGATGATTGCTTTTACTTTGCAGGAAAAATCAGATGTTATTGGGATAATAAGGTTGGATTCTGTTAGGAACTGTCAAGTTGTGAGTAATTTCAAGAATTGGCAGAAAAAGATACATATAAGGAATATTGTTTAGATATAAATTGTTCTTGGGATTATTAAGATTAAATATGTGTATCAAAATCTGAATAGAAATTGTGTTAATAATATGATGCTAAATACTGTTTAGGTGCCTCATAAACAGTAGGTCTAAAAACCAGTAATTGTGTTTTGAATGGAGAATAAGGTGATGTCTGCACAGCATTTCTCAATTGTGAAGACATCACATATAAAGAGTCTTGTGATCTAGAATCTTGCAAATATGAAGATGGGGAATGCAAAACCAAGGACTGTAAGGATTATACAATTTCAACTTGTCCTAATTATAATAAAATAAGTGGTTAGCAATGTTACCCAGTAAGTGATACAGGATGCTCAGAATTTTTATGTGAGGACTTCGCTGAGATTACTGATTGTCAAAATCATCCACGATGTTTTTGGAGTCAAGATTTAAACTAATGTTATTAATAAGCTTGCGATAAAGCCACATATGCCACTTAATGTTTAAGTTTTAGTTATGTAGTTGAGAATGCTGAGTGCAAATGGGAAAACGATAATTGCTATTCTTGTTATTCAATTATCTTGTATAATTTGTTATTCTCTTATTTATTAAGTTGATCATATATCATCATTTCCTATAAATTAATAATTAATGATAATGTTATTAATCAAATCAAGAAGTTGCTCTTGCTGCTAAGGAAGTCCCGAATTTGTATGGTAAATCTTAAGTCACTTGGCTATGCAATTTAATATTCTTTCAATTACTTCATTATTGATAAATTCAACTTCAGAATCGCAATCAATTGTGAGTGCTTTCATTCCTCCAACCACTAAGCCTTAAACAAAACTTGCCCAAAGTGACAAATACTCATCTTATTAACTAAATTGAATGATATATTACATTTTATCGTTTAATCTGATTCTCCTTGTCATCTGAAAACCAAGCTTTGTTATTGTGTTGTTGCCTTTCTTCTATTCTTCATATCTATCTTCAATGTCGTAATGTGAACCAGCTTTATTAATTTAAACTTTAGAAACTGGTTGTCCGAACATATAAGTCCAAAAGTCTTTGCCAAAGAATTTAACATAATCTGTATATTTCCCTTATTCCGGATTAAGTCGAATTTTTTCAAATTGTGTTGATGCCAATGACTCCATTACATTTTATCCCAATCTCTTGCCCATCTCAACCAATCTAATCTATTTCTCATTTTTGTCTACATCAATAATTGATTATACTAAGTTTTGTATTCTTCTGTACAGTTAACATGTATGTGCTTAATAAATGATACACAATTGGATATTCAATAGTCGATTAACGTTTATATTAATTAGATTTTGGCAACTAGATTTTTTGAGTTGGTGATTAATCCATATATGAAGTTATATATAAATATATATTGAAATCACTAGAGTTTATTTTTATATAAAATATTGGAGAATTTAAGGGATCTATTTTCTACCAAGCAATTCAATTACTCATAGACAAGATTTTAATTTTCTATGCTATATTGTATTCCTTGATTCATTTCATTAATGTCATTTATAATCTCAAACAAAGAAATAGATGACATTGACAGATCATTTAACTATAATTATGAAGTGTCTAAAATTTATTCTATTTTTCTAAGAGCAGATGCCAATACAGGTAATTATTATTTTAATATATGAAACTATTTATCTATTAAGTACAATCTTTTAATTTCGAGATTGTCACAAAATTAATCCTATTTATATTTTTGAAATTCCTCTTATTACTTTTGAATTATTTATTCTAATTCTTAATGCTTTTAATCCATTTAATGAATAACTTGTTCTTTTTCTGCAATAATAGATTGTAATTGCTCAATGTATTAATTTGTTAATTCATCTGAATGCATCCTGTCAATTTTTCTATTCTTTTCCATGTTTTCTAATTCATTTTCTAATTACTGAATACGTTAACATAAACTCTCTTATAACTCTTCATATTTTAATTTCCAATCTTCATTATACTGAACAGATGCAATTCTGGATTTCTAAATAATCCCAAATTTATCCATGCTACTAGTATCATTGACTTTATTCAATTTTTTATCCTAAATGTTTTGATTAATTTCAATACTGATTTAAATTCTGTTATATTTCTTCCATCTTTTGGATTTAGATTCTCTTTTAGATAATTTTAGCTACGAAGCAGTTGCTTCATCATTACAGGACTATTATCAGAGAGGTTAATTGAGATGATTTATCGAGGGGATAATGATGCAGAGGATCTTTAAATGGTGTTTGGAGCAAAATAATTAATCATCTTGAAATCATCCTATTTCTTAAAGTACTTGGATAATCCATTTAAGGATTGAATCAGATTTTAAGGTTTATTTACTTATGATGGTGTAAAAGTTATGAGAGGTTTTGATTTAAGAAGATGAAATGATTGTTAAGAGGAACGAGGATCTATTTGTGTGTTTTCTTTGAGATTAGATATGTTTTGTTTCATTTGGATTAGTAATCTGTTATAAATAAAATAATATTTGAATTTTGTATCCGATATTATGAAGAGTATAGCGTGAATTACATATTATTTAATTTATTGTTTATCTAATTATCTTCAAATAGAAAAGTAATTCTAATTCTCTACTTTCAAATAAACAACAATAAAATTAAATTAAATTTCAAGATGCTTATATTCTTTGTATTTGCATGCTTAGTTTCAGCCTAGACTCAGGTAAAAGTCACTGGAACCGTCATGGATTCGTAGGGTATCAATATTGCAGGAGTTCATATTACATTATTGTAAGAAATTTGAATTTACCAATAGTCAGCAACAATAAACTATAGTAAGTGGTTAAACAAAAGATGATGGAAAGTACGAGCTCATTACACAAATAAACTAAGTTAGCAACCTATTTGTCGAGGCTTCCTTATATGGAGATTTACAAACTCCTTAGCGTTATGCGGCAAATCCCGACTCTAATGGCAATATAGTATAGGATTTCATACTCACTGTTGATGATGTGACAGTAAATGGACCAGCTGTTTTAGCCAAAATCAATGGATAATACTTTAATAAAAATGCCCCATTGAATGGAGGAGCCTCTTATGCTCCTTTGGAGGGAGTTAAAATCGATTATTCTATAGAATACATACTAAATGGCAAGCACTCGTATGAATTTGCGAGTGCTTCAAACACTTAAGGATTGTCAAAAATATTTACAGTATATCCCAAATCTGCTGCCATATTGAAATTCTTGGCATAAAGTGAGAATTTCTGGAATTTCAGATAAACCAAAGATAATGATGAGAATTTCGTTTTGATTGTGTAAAAATAATTGTATATCTTCTAATAGAACAAATTAGTATAAGGTGAATTATCAAGTCATAATGGAAGAAGGAGTATTCACACAAACAGTATTGGGCACAGTGGTCGATAAGAATTCTAAGAAACCTCTAAAAGATGCCAAAGTTGAAGTCACATTTAGCTCTGAATCCAAGGGGTATAAAAATAACTTATTGATTTAGGAAGTTGAGTAGTCAGAGCTTATTGACAAAAGATGATGGTAAAATAGAAGTAAAATATATAAGTAAACTTTGGTACAAATTTACAATTAAAATATCAATAACAAAAGAGTATTATGCTCTTTATGAATAATCAAAAACAATTGAAATGGATCATGACGACAGAACTAAAAATTTGGATACTTTCCAATTAGGCATGATAGAAATGCCAGTTTAACCATCAGTCACATTATTTGGGTTTGTGTTAGATCCCCATTTAAAAGACAAAGACACTAATCTAAAACCAGTTGTCAATCTGCCATTATAAGTGATAGCTAAATTTGAAAACTTAATTGAAAAATTTGAGACTCAAACAGACTCCAATGGCCAATGGACGAAAGACAAGTTACTATTATAGCCTTCAGCTAAATATGATTTGGAAATTACCTACACGAATAGTTAGAAGGAAAAATTCACTGATAAATTTTCATTTACAACAACACTTGATCCAGTCTAAAAGATTAAAATTGATAATTTGTATTATTAAGATGTCGTAAATGCTGCATTGACAGGTAAATTTTCAGAAGCACCTGAGAAGATGTAGTTCAAGATTCCATACAAGATTACTTGTGATACACTTGATAACAAATTAAATTTACCAAAGGAAATCTTGGCTTAAACAGGAGGGGATGAAATTATTGATAAGACTTGGAGTGTGGAGGCAAGAGGAGATAAGGATATTACTTGTTCACTTCAACAATAGGATAGTGCTTAATTCATTTAGCCCTTCTCCAAACAATTTATATTATAAAAGGGAATTTGGAAGGCTGATCTAAAGTAAATTGATATTAAATACAACTTGTTTGATATCGTCATAGGTGGAACAGTATTAGATAAAGCTCAATTAGTACCATTTATAAGTGGTGCCAATATGAACTTCGTGGTTTATCAGAAAGATGAGACTTTGCATACACTTTAAAGAGAATTTAATATAAAATCTGATGAGAAAGGATTATTTTCACTCAAGTTTTAAATAGGCAAAGGAGAGAAATCAATCGTAAAATTAACAGTTTCTCATCCTGATTTTATTGATTATAAGAAAGAAGAATTGCTAATTATTAATGGTAATGGTCCTTAAACCTTAAATGGTAATAGCATAACTTTAGATCGTATTGAATTTACCGATGTTATTCTACATTATAAAATTGACACATTAGAATAGCCAGCCACATTAAAATTAAATTCATGTAGTCCTTTTATGGAAGTTGATAAATTGTACAGTCCAAAATACGATTCGAATGAGTAAATAATTGTGTCTATTATTTTAGTGGATCTTTTAAGATTCAGTTTGCATGTTACTAAAATGTGATCTATAAAGCAACTCTAGAAATAACCATCAAGTCCTTCTCTGCCTAAACTATCCAATCACATTAATTCACATGTGTCAAACCAACCAAGGAGAAGCCAGAAATTGAACTCACATCTGATTCTCTCTTCATCAAAGGAAACTTAATTGTAAAATTCCTTGATGTTAACAATCGTCCTATCAAAGGGTAATAAGCAACATTCCGTACTGAACCCCTTTCCTAAGTATTGACTCAAACATCTGATGATCAAGGAACCATGAAGTTCGTTGATACCAAATTATTCAAAAATCAATAGTATACTGGTTTACTTGCTTATGGATCATAAAATGCAGAACTAAAGTTTTATCCAAAGTAGGACAACTTTGAGGAACATTTTCAAGATTAATATATTGGAGGATAAGTGCAATACAAAGTAACTGGTAAAGTCAAGTTATGTAGAGGACAATTAGTCAATCCTCTTTAAGTTAATGTGAAATGCGGTAAATATCCTGAATAAACTGGAAAAACAGATCTTGAGGGTTCATTTTCAATAAGCATCTAAGCAGTTGGCAATTTCAATGATGTTGTATAATGTACTACTAAAATATCTGGAGATGTTGATTACTCATTTGATTCAACCTTCACTAAAGGAACCTACTCCGTCTATTAAGATGTATCAGTTTGTTTGAAGGATATTAAATTAAATGTTTTGGGTAAATTCATAGATCCCATCAATTAACCTAAGCCTAATTTACAAATAACTCTGAGTGTTGTATTCCAAGAAGATCAAAAACCTATCCCAAACATTCCATCCCTTAAAACTGATGCTAATGGTCTTTGGGATCTGAAAGATTAAATTGTGAAAGCCAATGGAAAATATAAATTCATTCTCAAATATAAAAATGGAGCTGGAGATGAAAAAACTATTGAAAAAGATTATTAAACTTCTGTTTACTCTGTTAAACCTACCAGTGATTATGAATTCCCAAATACCTTCTATTAAGATTTTGAATAGTGTCATGTTTTCGGAAAGGCTAATGATTATAAATCTAAGAATATAGTACCTGCTGCTCTGCCAGTTGTGTTGACATGTGATTAAACTCTTTCGAAAGATAAAAAACCTATAAAGCAATCAGGAAAGATTGGATTCGATTTACAATATGATTTAAAGGTTGATGGGTTAGTCGAATATGATCAACCAATCCAATGTTAATTGAAATCAGAAAATGAAGCCAAAGCCAAATTCAATCAGAACATATAATTGCAAGGGCCAAAGTGGGAAATAAAACAAGATCTAACAATTCAATACATAACATGGTTGATAACTTTGAAGGGTTAAGTATTAGATCCATTGAAGATCAATACAAATTTAAAAGATGCAATTATAACCATTACTGTACATTAACCAGTACCTAATAAACTTTAATCAAAATTGAGGGGAAGATTTCATTTTGATGTCCAACAAACCCAATTAGAATCTGTTAATTCAAAAGAGTAAGGGTTGTATCAAATTGAGTTTTAAACCTTAAATTAAGAAGCCTTAAGCATTGATATTGCTGCCAAACTGACTGATTTTAATGATTTCAAGCAATTAAATGCTTTAAGTATAGCAGGAACTAAAAATGAGGAATTAACATTTAATATCAATTTACAAAGGATAGAATTTTCAGCTATTTTGAGTTCGAGTGTGGATGAAATAGGAAGCATCTTATTTAAGACAAGTAATCCACTTATGCAAGAGGATAAAGATAAGAAATTCTATGGAACCAGCGTGGTGCTTTAGAAGGGAAAGTATATAAATATTTAATTATATTTAGACCATTCTAGTTTAATGTTAAATGCAATTAGAATGTTGAGTACGTAGCCACTTTCATATTAACAAATGAACACCAATAATAAATGGAGTATATGTCAGATCCATTCAAATGTAAGGTGGCTCCTGAGTTGACAGTAATCAAAATTAAATCTACAAATGATAAATTCCTCTTAAAAGTAATGAATATCTATATAGTTAGATAAGTGGTATAATAAAAGACAAAGAAAAGCTGTTTGATGGAATTGTTTCTGGAGCAACTGTCATTATAAATTTGACTAAAAATACTAAAGTAGTTAAATCAATACAAACGACTTCCAATAATAAGGGTGAGTATTAGGGTTAATTCGAGGTAAATACCGACACGTATCAATATGAAATTAAAGTCACCCATCCTCAATTTAAAGATGGAGATATTTCAGATACAATTGTTTTCTCAAAAAATGAAGTTGTGACTCGAGATGTAATATTGGAGAGATAGACAAACACATAAAAAATTACTATTAATCTTTAAGATTCCAAGAAAAAGCCAATTAAAAATTCTGAAGTGGGAACTTCAGATTTTAAGCCAAAATCGAATGACAAGAAAATTGTGAAGGCTGACGACACTGGTAAGGCAACTATCGAAGTGGTTTGCTTCAAGGATGTCCAAGAAACTTTTAAATTGGAAATAAGAGTTGAAGATTTACGAGAGACAGTTGAATAAACAATTAGTTGTGATGGAAAGAGCTAAGATCATTCAATAATGACTTAATTACAATATGTTAATATAAATGGGAATGTGATTGATCCATACTGTAAAGGCAAGAGTGACCTTAAATTAAATCTTGATACTACTCCTGAGACTCAGAAAGTAAAGGTAAATACAGATAAGAAAGGTGATTGGGAAGGCGAATTGCTTGTTAAATTAAATCAAGAATACAGTGTAAATGTTAATTATAATGGTTGGGATGGGTAATAGTAAAGTTTGAAGGAGAAATACCAAATCAAGAGTGATTAAACTAGTTTGGATTTTCAGAAGATCTATTATTCTGATTAAGTTGAGAGTTCGGTTTAAGGTGAAGTTGTTTCCAGTGTTTATCATGTTTCCTTGAAGTTCCATAAGATATCGTTGTGGTTTGATAGTAAGGAGGTTAAGGAAAGCGAGATTGATGAGTTCAGTGAGTATGAGATGAAGTTTAAGGTCGTGGCTTAATGTAATAAGGAGTACGAGTATCAGATCTAAATCAAGGAGACTCAACATTTTGAGAGAAAGACAGTTCCTTTGATTATCAAGCCACCCAAATATGATTACAAAGTAGACATAGTTGTTGAAGAAACCAAGGCTTATATAAATGAGATAAAGAATTTCTTTTCAAAATTTTTGATTAGCGGGTACTTAGAGTCTGAGTACAATTGCAAAGACAAACTGTTTAGGGCAGTTCAACATGCTTAAGTTAAGATTGTGAAGAAGCAGGAGTCGGGTGATAAGGTGAAGGCTGCAACTCATACAAGAGAAGATGGGAAATTTTAATTATATTTCTTTTTGTCTAAATCGTAAATTGATTTATTAAATATGTTATAGGCAAGTGAAAAACAATATATTTGTTTGGCTACATTTTGAGAAAGAAGGATTTACAACTCCATATCCCCTTTTGATCATACCGTCGTAGTATGAAAAGTTTCAAATGGATGACGAAACGATCACACATATAGATATAGGCTATCAATCCATATCTCCGATTCAAGATATGGGTTGTCCAGAAGATATACCAAAGATATCAAATAATGATTAATCAACGATTTTGATTGATTACATTAAAATGGGAAAGAAACAACTCAAAGGTAACAACAACTGATTTATATATCTATATATTATTATTAAAATGAATTAGAAACAGGAGAAGAAAATTGATAATATCACTCTCTAATGTAATAATAGGTCTGAAATTAGAACTCAGAAGCATGGTGGAAGACGGGGCTGGAGAATCATTGGCGGCTAGTCTGAATTTGGATTAAGAAGATCTTATAAGTAAAAGTGTTGATTGAGTTTGCATAGTTTGGCCATTGGAGTAGGTACAAAGAAACTTCAAAGAGTTTATGAGATAGACCTCATAGATAGAAATTGAAATGGACAATGCTAAAGAAAGAATAGACTTTCCGGCTGACATGGAATGGCCAACTGAAGATGATTTGGATTAAATGTTTCAAAAATCCATGAGCAAGTAATTGTTGTCTTAATTATATTGCAGAATCCAAGGTCGTCAAAATAAAAAGAAATGGAAAGATAATGAGAAATAATTTTTAACTTGGATTATAATTAGATACTGTCTATGGAAAACCAAAGTTTGCAAAGAGCTCGTAATTCTTCTTTTCATTTTAGAATGATTAAGATTGGAGATACATTGCTTAATTGATAGTTGGCAGAAATGCAACTCAATGTAAATATAAGTGGTTGGCTCGCTCCAAATTTAAGCTCGTTTAAGTCCCTTGGAGTAAAGAAGAGGATGAGGCCCTAGCATAAATCTATATGGAATATCAAAAACAAGGTAAACATAGCAAGTGGAGTGAAATTGCTAAAGAAATTGCCTTAAGATGCAAGACCTAAATTGTGAGGTAAGGTAAACAGTGCAGAGAAAGATGGATTAATAAATTAGATCCACAAATATCGAAGTAAATGATAATCCACATCTTATAGGGGACCATGGACCAAAGAGGAGGAATTGACTTTGTTGTAATTGATTTTAAAGAAAGGCAAAAAGTGGTCAGAAATTTCTAAAATTATGAAAAACACACGAACTGAGAATTCCTTAAAAAACAGATACCATACTATCATGAAAAAAGAAAGAAATAAGCAACCAGAAGTCAAAGAAGAAATTCAATAAGAAATTGTAGATCTGTTATAACAACATAATCACATCTATTAGGCTGATAATTTAGTTCATTTATATGAAGATATCGATCCAAAAGAGTTAAAAATCATTCTTCAAGTTATTGATAAATTAAGTGAAAGTACTGGTAAATAAATTAGAGTAAGTACTTTAATTACTGATTAATAAATCTAATAAGAATAGTTATATGAAAAATAATAAAAAGTCAAGTAAGAAAGTCAAATTGATTAAATTCAACAAAAAAATGAAGAAGCAAACAACAAATAGAGATTTCTTGATACTATGGAGAAAATTAAAATTGATCTCGATCAATAAATTAAGAAACTGGGGAACAAATAGGAATTGGATTAGAATTGCACTATAAATCTACTTAAATAAATCCTTAAGCCATAAGGTATCATTCATTATTCATTTATGTAGAAACAGAAACCAATTAATTACAATTTGATTAATATTACGACTAGATGATCCTCAATTTCTAAGCAAATTAAGTGGAATTTGAAGTTGAAGCCATCACAAACTTAACAGCTCAGGATGTTGAAGATTGCTAATTTGGTATCGTAGATTTTGAGCAATCCAACATCTTCATGATTCCTTAATAGTATTTGTAAGAAGTCATAAATAAAGTTCATGGTTCTTCGACCTAGGCTCAAGTATAATAGCAATAATAAATGTTGCAACATTAATAATAATAGTAATAATAATAACAATAGTAACAATTATAATAATCATAATAATAACAATAACAACAATAATAGGTGTAACAATCACAAATTCAACAATAATAATAACAATAAAGATTAACTATTTCATCATCGCTTAGGTAATCAATACCTCAATCATAACAAGCTCAACCTCTTTAAACATCTTAACTATTTTTAGGAGATCAATTCAATCTTGTCAATAGCTAATATGATTTTGAAAATCAATAATAATTTTAATAACAAATTCCCGTATAAATTCTCTATCCGTAGATCATTTATTAACCTATTGGCTAGTCAATAAATTTATCATAAGGTCTATAGTAAAATTACTGGATGTAGCAATCTTATTTTCAGCCTTAATATTACATGAAGGCATAAGATTAGTAATTTAACAAATCGAATCTAGAAGAACCTAAATGAAATTTAATTAATTTTTATATCTATATATACATGTAGAATTAGGATAAATAAAAAGTTATTGAAACAGGTACAAGCAAAGTGGCTGCAAGATTCCCATTTACGTATGATATTCTATTCAAAAAAGAGTATTTTTAGAACAAGGAATTGAATACTATTATTGCACATGTGGTCTTGGATCTACTCAGCCTTTTTGTGATGGGTAGTGTGAGGGAACAGGATTTGAGCCTGTCAAAATAATTCCAAAAAGAAGTGGAAAGTAATTCTAGATCACTCAATTAATTAAGTGCTTTACTCTGTGGTTGTAAGAGATAATGTGATCCGAAAAATCCGAATTGCGATGGAAGTCATTCAGTAGTTAATTTGGATTGGTGAATATGATGATCAATAGCTTATCAACTAATTTTTCATTCTGAATAGAATCTAAATTCTTAAATATTAAGTTTCAAATATTTGATGTCCTCCATTCATAACATTCAGAAATGCAATTAAAACTTCAAATTCAAAAAAGAAAAAACTCTCAATGGATAGATCAATAATGCTCCTTATAAATATTGTCATTTTATTTTATTAAACGTATTATCTATGAGAATATATTTGTTATGGATTTGTTAATTATTTGTTTTTGTTTGGACTTAATCATTGTATTTTATATTATTAATTAACAGTTAATGAGCAACAAATAATAATAAGCTAAAGATTATCTCACAGCATGTTTTCAATGCAAAGGTTTTGAACCTTTCTTTGTAGTCACGAAAACATCACTTTTGCGTATATTAGATAATATGGCATAAATATAATTTGACAGAGATTTAGCAAATGAGTTATTTGAACGTTGTCCAACCAATTTCAAAGGGTTGGTGAAAATAGAAGATTTCATAGAAATTGTTATTTAGGCTGACATAGTATTGAATGAAAAAATCAACAAAGCTAATCAATTTATTGTGAAGTAAACAGAAGAATTGGCTAAATTAACAAATAAAAATCGTTCTCAAGTTTTGCAGATTCGAGTAATTGGAGCTAAGAATCTCCATTAAGGATTGATTAATGCTTCAAACAAGCCTTACGTTGTTGTACATTTCAATCAAGAGAAAAAGAGTTCTCGTTTAGCACATAATGATATCCTCAATCCAATTTGGGAAGAGACCTTTGTTTTGTAAAAATCTTTAATATATTTAAAGTCCCATCAAGTCTGGAAATGAATAAACTTATATTTCAATATTGACTTTGGACAGCACAACTAATAAAAGCAGTTTAATAGGTGAAGTTCATTTTGGATTAAGAGAGTTAGAAGATCAAATGAAGCATAATCAGTGGTTTAATATTTATGATCGCCATGGCACAATGAGTAGTGGAAGTTTGCAATTGGAATTACAATTATTACTTGATGAGGTATTATGTTAAGGATTATACATTAGTCAATGTTTTATGAATAGGCTCAGCAAGTAATGCAGCAATAAATACTGAATTAACAAGAGGAGAAGAATCAATATGAGAATGATTTGAAGATTCTTTATGCTCCTTTTTAGAATGGAGTATTGCAACCAAAAAGACTAATTGTTCCTGATGCTCCTCAATTGATGTTTGTTCATGAATTCTCTAAGCCAATCATATATCAGGGAGATAAGAAAGTAGATTTGACAGTTTACAAAACTCCACAATTGAGTGACAGTAGAGTCTTACAAATTTTGAATCAGCCTCCTGAAAGTGTGACTACAGTACATCCAGAGATTGACTATCCAGCTAGACATGATCTTAAATAAAAGGCTAATTATGGGTATGATCATGTCACTAAGGATATGAAATTAACAGCTATTTTTATCGTATTGTATGTGCTTAGCAGCATTTATTTGTGTTGGGTGAAAACTGATTTTGTTAATATTACCATAGCCTTATGTACTTCGTTGATTGTTGGTCTTAACTATTTTGAGAAGAACCATTTAAATATATTTGCAATTCTAATAATTTTGACTTTGTTATATGATGTGTCTTGGTTGGCAGCCTATTCAGGAGTATTATTTATAGTTATTTAATAGGTTTGGTGGAATCAAAGTAAATCAGAAAATCCCTAATAAGAATCTGAGCTTATTACATCTTAGAGAATAACGATTCTTGTCAGCTACTTTGTGATAGTGTTGAAGATAGCATTATCATGTCAATTATGGAATTTGAAAAAGAACATAGAACCATTGAATAATCATAAATAATTTGGAATTGGGACACATCTATATTAAGCGAATGGAGGACACATAAACCCATTTATTTAATGAAATATATATTTTTGTTATTATCAATAACCATCGTTTCTTGTGATTACATTTTTATCTTAATAAGGATAGACTGTTCTTATTACATTTAAGGACAACTTATGATCACATTATCCATAAGATTACGAATATCCATAAATTTCTATACTTGAATTGACAAATGAATGTTTGATTCTGCCTCCACCAACACATTTAAATTTGTAATTGTGTCCATTTAATTATGCCTTGATCGTTCCTTTTTCTATATTATACTTGAATTCCGACCATTTCAAACTGCTCTTTGCTTCTTCACAAAAATGCTCAAAGTTCTAAGCGTGAAATTCATATTGTTTTAGACCTCTAACATAATAAAATTCCTTATTGTTTTCTCCTTCCAACAAGATCAGAATGTATTTGAATGTGCCTTCGTTGTCAATGTTGACCTAATTTATATTTTTGGTGATTTAATTAAACGTCTCTTCTTCAGTCTATTGTGTTTGAATCATTAATATAAATATTAATATCATAATAAATATATATTTTCAATCAGAAATCATAATCTTTCTCTTCAATTTTCTGCGATTAACAAATATACGAATAGGGTTTTTCTTGTTTTTTTGCATAAACCTTTCATAAGATAGGTTAACTCGTTCGAGTATATTGTCTATATTAAATTGAGGAAAGTAATATTTATAAGATTACATAACTTCAAACTCCAAGTCAGGATTATAGGTTGAAATTTTAGAATGAGCAGTGACTATTGACTTCTCCTTCTCCTTCTGATGTATATTCAATTTCTCCACAATTTCATCAAGATATTCTTTGATATCGGCTTCCTTTTCCTTTCGTTTAAAATTGTGCTCCACAATCAAGGATTGTTTCTTGAGGTTCTTTCTGGCAAAGGTTTATTGTTGAAGTTACTCCCGTTATTAATCGATCTACTTGCAAATCAGTTAGAATCTGGAACTGTTGGTGGGAGACTTCATAATAGTATTGACATTCCCCTTGATATCTTCCTGAATGGACCTGCTGGAACTGAAATGAGAGGATTCCAAATCCTGGATATTGACTCTCATTTTTTAGGTACCCTCTTCATTTTGATCATGATTGGGTCTAATTATATTGGATATGGATAGATTACATTTCATCAACTAATTTCTGACTGATCATAAAATCTAGACAAGCGTTTTGAATTTGAAGCAATTCTGTTAAAGTATTGAACTTTTTGCATCTTCTAAAATCTTTATAAAACTTCCTCTCCTAATCCTCATTCTATGTGTGATGTGTCAACAATTTCATTTTGTCGACTTAATAAAATGTCATAGGACATTGCAAGTACCCATGAGTCCATCCACAGATTTCGCATGTCCTTCCTATAACATTTTTTTTCCTTACACTAAATTTATATTAATCTCTAATTTTACACATCTTCTCGAATTCCTATCTATCATACTATAATATTTCATAAAATGAAGCTCTAGAAATAGCAGCTATCTTACTGTATCCTTAACTTATAATTATATAATCATAGTATCCCTATTCAGTGAATTCTTGTTCTCCAATGACAGTGCCCCCAGTCAGTTATTTAAGTACAATCGGTTGTCTTGAATTGTGTCCCAACAAAGTAAGTTCTCCACTCAGGAGGAAGATTAGATGATCAGCAAATTGCTAGGTTTTAACAACTTCATCTCCAGGCTGTAATTTGATGACTTTAACTTTTGTGCACAATTGCTCTACTGTAGAATCCTTGAATTGCCTCAATAGATATGAGTTCATCAGAATGGTTTTATAGGAGTCGATCATTACCTCCTCTTCTAGATTTTTGGTCAATTTAGTCAACAATTATTCGCCCAGTGAATTTTCTTGTTGTTCTTATTGAAATAGATGCTGGTAGTATTTTCTAACTTTGATGGATAACTTATCATTCAACTTGCGTTGTCTTATGATTTACTCAATGGCCTTCATCTAAGTTTTGTATTGCTGCTTCTTCTCATTCATTGATCTATAGATTTCACCGATGTTTGAAATCGTGTAACCTAACATACCACACAGACTCATAGCCACCAAAATCACAAATAACTGTTCGTAGGCAGATTGAGGTGTTAGGTCACCATATCCCACTGTTAGGGTAGTGATTACACTGAAATATAAGGAAGCTATGTATCTTTAGTTAAATATGATAGTCTTACTGCTCTATCCAACTCTAGTGACTAATACTATAGTACTCTAACCAATTCTTTCCAGGCGCATAATGTTCCATTTCGTACACTCCCAGAAAATGCCAACTGCATGCACAACAATGAATTATGAAAATTAACATCACAATCAATTTAATTAAATCAAATACTGCTGCCAGATTTTCCTTGAAGTTTGTATTGTATTCGAATTAATCCAGTACACGAATCAAGAGAGGAATCCTCAAAAACACTGAGATCAATGGGATGAAATATCCATAAAGTATCTACAAATAAGTTGTCACAACTATTAACAAATCTAATAAAAAATAGCTTTTCACATAGTTGCTTGCAATGTCAATTCTACTCTTCTTCATTATCTGATCTTCATAGAATGAAAGGTTAAATTGAAACAAAATCCATAGGATTTATAACACTGCTGGGAATGCATCAAAAAGTATTGAGATATCTTGATTCAAAAAACTGATGTTAATTGGTACATAGAATAGGTTTAATAGGATCGAAATTATAAAGCAGAACTCATAATACATTATGAATCTTTGATCTGGCTAAAATATTGGAATGAATCCCCCATAATATTCAAAGATTGACCTAATTTATTTTTTAAATAGGGAATATTGAACTTGCAATTCTGACCTCCCCTTTATATGATATTTGTTATTCCGATATCGTACAATATTTAAATAATCTGATGAGGCATCCTGAATAATCGTAAAGATCCTTTTATTTAAAAGTTTGTATTTCATCGATTCTGTTTACAATTTCAATGTGTATAGGAATCTCATGATCATTGTGATGATGATCAAACCATTACTCTTCCACACTCTAGTTAGTCTGTATTTAGATTAGAATTCATACCCCAATGGCTGAGTTGTCGCATTCTCGATGGATTTGTTAATTAGAACTTTACTCTTGCTTCCCATCATTAAACTGTTGCTGGGGGAAAAATAACTACATTTATCTCATTAGATTACAACCTTTACAGAGAATGCTCTGAAGGACTTCCTACTTCTTTATAAATATTAGATAAATTTTGTTATCTTCCAATATTGTTTCTCATCTCCTCAACAGCATTTTGCGATTCAAATATACTCATTTTTATAATAATTATTTATCCTTAAAGATTAATATTCTTTTATTCTTGACATGTACTCATTCATTTTTATTATTATTGTATAATTTCATGAATTGCAGATTTGATTAAGAAATCGATACCATTCAGCAAAACCCCATAAATCCAAGCAACTCCCATTCCAGCAAACAAAAGAACTATCTTTGCAACCTTTTAAGTAATTTATGCATTCATATCCTCATCAGATATTTAATAGCCAATTAACAAAGAACAAGACAAATATTCAGATAATATTAAAATTTAGCAAAAATCTAATCAATCTATCAATGACGTACACAACAGACATTCCTTCAAGCCCAGAATGTCCACAACGCCCAATTTAGAAGAAGTAGAGAGAATCGATAGAATCAGCAATTAATTTTAATAAACCATGGCCAAACTGGAAGAAGCCCAAGAACTCAACTCTACCCATAATTAAGATGCATACCTTTAAAAAGTTGTTATTGTGCAATCCAAAATCCGTTCTTTTTTAATGAGAAGACAGTACCTGAACCTCAAAACGCAATTTCAATATAGAAAAAGAGTTCTTAATGAACTTTTTATAACCGAACAATCGTATTGCTAAGCACTAACAATATTGATAAATGCGTATTTAAAACCATTAAGAGAACAAAATAAATTAATATCTTCATAAGTTATTTAATAGATATTTTCTAATGTGGAAGCCATTTAATAGCTCTCTGTCGACATCCTGGAAATATTCAGGAAGAAACAAGAACAATTTACATATTATTCCCTTGTAGCCGACATATAATTGCAGCAACACATTTCTTTCTTTAAAATTTACTCAACCTATTTGGTTAACTATTAAAAAGCTTTTAGTGTACAAATGAAATTAAAAAAGGAAAACAAACCTTATAAGCAATTCTTAGATGCAATAGACAAATAAAATCAAGGAAAGACCTTAGAATCCTATTTCTTGATTTTACCTGTATAACGTATACCTAAGTATGTGCTTTTATTTAAGGACCTCTTAAAGAATACACCTCAAGATCATCCTGACTATGCTAATATTAAGTTGGTTCTTGATAAATTTGAATAAGTTGCCAATTAAAATAACAAATCAATGGATAGTCTACTTAAAAATTAAAAGCTATTTGATTTATAAAAATAGTATGGGAACTTCGTAAAAATCCTAGAATAAAATAGATAATTTCTAAGAGAAGAATCTCTTCATATGTACTTCACAAAAGGAGCCTAAATCAAACCTGTCATTGTTTATTTTCTTTCTGACTTGATTCTTGTAACAGAAAGAGATCAGACAAAATAAGAACATAACTTTAAAACTTACATCAAACTTAATTATTAAAGCAAATGTCAATAATTACCTGAAATGTACAAGTATAAGTATTTATTTCAAATTAATGGTGTTGACAACTCTGTTATCTTTGTAGTTCTCAGTTAAAATTCACAATAGGACATGTAAGAGTATATTAATTTGGTCAATCAAGAGATCAAGGAACTTTAGGATAAAAAAGCAGAAAGAGAAAAAGCACTTTAAGACATGATCCCTGAAAAATAAAAAGTTAATCAAATTGATAATGTAAGTGTCTCCATATAAATTATTGGAACTGAAGATGTCATTGATGCAACTAATAATAAATTTACTTAATATATATTTGAGATAGATATTAACAATAATATTACTTAAAAGATATACTTAAGATACAGTTTGTTTAAGAAAATATAGCAAGAAGTGAAAACTCTGTTTCCAAAAATAAAAATATCAGAAATTAAAGAGAATTCGTATTTTGATAGAAATGAGGCTGCAGTGATAGATGTATATATTATATGTTATTATTAGAGAAGGAAAATTTTAATGATAGAATTTCTTTAGATATTATTGAATGCATCTGAGTTTAAGGAGAATAAAACATAAAACTAATTAATTTTAGCATTATTGGGATTGCCTGAAAACTTTTATGATTTGCCTGCGATTCTAGTGAAATAATACAGATAATCTATTATGGGAGTTGGAATTAATTTTAGAGCATCTAAAAAACCGGCGAGTGGAACTGTAGATTTTTCATAGAACTCAGTCAGTTTTAGTTCAAATGAAAATTCGAATTTCACAACTATGATCACCTAAATTAGTTCCCCCAGGGAGGCTCATAAATAAATTGAAATATAATCATCTGCCTTAAAGTTTTCAGATTAAAAGACTGAGTAGACTACAGGCTAGGTTGCAAAAGATCCTTAAACTCCGGTTCGAGGATTGAGAGCTGCAAGCATGAAAAATTTAAGAAAGATTTCTGCTACTCAATTATTGGCTGTAGAAAGCAAAGGAAATTCTAGACAAAATTCAGTAGTAGACAAGGAGTTTTTGAATTCTATTTAGGTTAAAATAAAAGTCATGATATTTCTAAGTTTTAAATAGGTTGAGAAAGAGTTTTTTATAAACAAAGACACATCAGCTTTTAACTTAATGGAAGAGATAGCAACTGAAATATAACTTTAATCTGCTTACGATTTTAGATTATATTATATAGATAACACCTACTTAAAACCTTTGGATAATGATGAGAGGCTGTGGAATTTTTTAGTCAGATTTGATGAACCTTTTGGTCTGTTTAAAAAGTCTTAGAAAGTACCTCTTTATAATGGAAAATTGCTATAGCTCAGGAAACACTTATATGTATCGAATAAGGAAGAGACAGATTATTACACTTAGGACTTGGTGAGATTACAATTAATCAGTTATCAGTTATTTGACGATATTAGTAATCTGAGATTAACACTGGGTCCTAAAGATCATATTCTCTACACAGCCTTTTACCTGTATATAAATGGGCACAAAACAATAGATCCAAAAAAAATTCCTTTGAATGAAATTAAAAAGGTAATAAAATAATTGAGCTTGTTAGTTTCTCCCTCCGATAGCCATAAAAATCATAACATAAGACGAATGGAGTAATTTTCTGCCCACTTTAGTGCAAAATTTTCATAGCTAAATTATAAATGAGAAGTAGAATTAAAAGCAATAGATGAAATCAGAATACAATTTAAGAAATAATTAAAATGAGATGACTGAAACACATTTTGCATTATTGGTTTTTTTGAATTTGTTAAAATCTAAGAAGTTTTTTGGAGTTGCAAAATTCTCTGTGAAACCTGAGAAGGATAACATAAATAAAATAATGGAGTTAAGCACTAATTATTGGAATAAAAAGAAGTTGCAAGATAAATCATTATAAAATTATAATACAGAAAATATAAAGGGAGTGTCATCTTTATGTTTAGGAGTTGGTTATAATTCCTTAATAGTACTTTCATCTTTCATTTCATCATTCGAATTGATAGAGATAGGTTTCGATGAAATTGAGTCTATCAGTTCTTTATAAACTACATTAAGTATATATTTGGAGGAAGCAACTAAGCAGAGCAGCAATTAAAAGAGTAATTAAAATAATAAAGAGAAACTTTGCTTAAAATTTGAAACAGAAAAAAGCTATTAGATAAAATAGTTGGTTGATGAATATTTCAAACTGCAAATGGAAAATCAATAATAAACAGATGAATATATTTGAAATAAATGATTTTGATATGAAATAATTTATGTAAATTTTCTCCATTACTTTATATCTAATTAAGAATGTAAGTATTATAAATCTATTTTAAGTATCAAAGTATTTCCCATTTTAACAGCATCCTTTTTAATTATTTACAGGATCCACCTATTAAATTACTATATTTTCTCCATGGCTTTAGTCATTTAATTTATTTCCAGATTAATTCAATCCTTATTCATCATGAGTCAATAATTTGTTTTGTTCGGTATCATTAACTAACTATTTACAATTTTTCTATCTATCAGCTAGAACAGCCTATTCAGCGCTTTCTTTAATTTAATTATTCTGAGGGCTATTTTATCTCTCTCTGTATTATTTATTATTACAATTCTGGTTACACAGGTTCATCCAAAAGTATTATTAATTATTTTTTTAAGATTCTTATGGAGGATCTTCATTTGTAAATTATTGTTGAGTTCTCTAAACCTATTCTTATTCAACTTATTGTGGCTAATCAGAGACAACATAATAAATCTGTTATTATATTTCATAAAATCAATTAGATTAAATTCTACTTGATTATATAAATCATTTAATTCTTCTTCTTCTTCAATTGAAGCTTTCAAATCGTATTTGAATATCCAAAAAATCAAGTAAATCCAAATTATAAGGTGGCTTAATTTTCAAAATATTTCTACCAAAATTCGGTCAAATTTGATTAGTTTCCTCCAAATTTCTCCTTCATTAATTAGGTTCAATGAATTCTTATAATTATTTAATTTCTTTATGAGAGGGAACTAATCTTATTAATTGTCTGTGGGTTCAAAAAAGTCTTGATTTATTAGAATAAGAATTTAATTCCACTTGAAGGATTCAAAATAAACATTCTCTTAAGATACCCTAGATAGTAATCAAACTGTCTATCAATACTTCTGAGATTTCTATGGCACACCTTAACCTCCGAGATTATTAATCTCTAATAGAAATGCCCAAGTTTCCACCTCTCCTGGGATCAACATGTACTTCTGTACTATTCCCAAAAGAAATGACAAAGCTTAATAGAATAATTCCTTGTCATGCTAAGCAAGTAGTAGAAATGTAATATACCTATTTTGATCAATAAATGGGAATTCAGGATGATTGGTCTGAATTACTTATCTCGGCCCAAAAGGTAACAGATTCCTTACTTAAAAATGATTTGATTGTGTATTTATTTTATCATAAATCCTGTTATATCTCCAAAGTATATGTTCACGATGTTTCTTTTTATAAATAACAGTATTCATTTAACACTTCTTTAATATTGGATCTACCTGCATAAAATAATCTTAAATAATCGCTTTCCTTTCAACTAAATTAATTTATTAATTTGCTTTTTTTATCTCCTCCTTGAATTCCTTCCTCTTCACCATTACAAACATATCATAAACAACTGTTTCATAGATTTTCCTAACTCCCTACTCCTAATCATTATGTTTTTGATATAATGGTCTAAAAAACAAATTGAATTTGATTGGCCTCTTATAGTGGAGCTAGGTATGAATAATCAATCATTTTTTAAATTAATTATCAAAAGCCTTATAACAATTTAAACACATTTCATATTTATATCTATAATTCAAAGCTCGTCCTTCTTTTCCTTCTCCTTTTGAGACTCAAAACTGAAAATTTATCTGATATTGATGATGTATTCTCCATTTTCCACTCTGGTGAATGGGACATTAGGTAATTAGGCTAACAACACTCCTGGGTTCAATGAGCCAGTTCTCAATTCATTGACCAATCCATTCAATCTTTAATGGTTGCTCTTTAATATTTGAATCGATTAATACTCTAATAGCATTCACTAGAACATTTCTAATTGGAATCTCTGATTTCTTAATTGCAGACTTGATGATGTCCAATGATAACAATTATTTGGTTATGTATTCTATTACGACATTCACGTCCAAAGAAACAGAGCCATAATCAATCTCCACTTCTGAGCATCTGAAGTGTGTTGGGCCAATGTTGAAGATGATTGAGACAAACAAACTAAAATATTAATGCTCAAATACTCTTCTATTTTGATTGGGATAGTGTATTTATTCTCGACTACTAAATCAATATTGAAAGTGGGAGCTGAGATTTCCAAAATGTCATGATTCACATCATAATCAACCTTTATTTTATTTCTTTTTATTTACTTTTAATTAGGCAAAATTGTGAATCCTTATTTATGTAATCCAATAATCCAAAGCCAATTTCATAGCTCCCATATAATCCAAACCCTCAGCTGAAATAGCGGTATATTGATTTGTGAATTCACTTATAAAATTCAAAAAGAATGACTTAGCCTCTTCTCTATGTTCTTTATCTTAAAAGTAGGCTTGAGAGGAAACAAACAATAGTGAGAGTAGGAGTATACTTGTAATACGTGTCATTTTAATTAATTTATTATTATTTTCTGGAAAATTCCAAGTTATAACAGTCTAATATAAAATGGAACAATCTCATTAAACTCTAATACTCTTTAATTAAGGATTTTATTATTGTATATCAACCCAAAAATTAAATTCCCAGTTTTTAAGGATACTTTAATTTTAAATATTTCTTTTTAATCAAGATGGCCATAAGTCCAAATTTAATATATCGAAATATGAATGAATTTTTAAAATCAATTCTACATGATCTTTCTTAAATTAAAATTAGAATACTTTGTAGCATATATAATTAAAGACTGTTTCATTGATTAAATGAATTCATTTAGGAAATAATACTCTATAAAATTACGAAATTGATATTATTAACAATATATAAATTAAAATGTAAATAGAGGAAAATTTGCATCACGATAAGAAAGAAGTTTTTCTACCAGGAGATTTGTTATCTGATGAAACAGGATTTATTAGTGGAACCAATACTTATGAAGAGCAAGGGAAAATATTCTCCAGCACCACAGGAACTATTAATCAGACAAATAAGTAATCACTTTAATAATTCAAAGATTGATTATGATAAAACCAATTAAATGCAGTTATTAACCATAAATTGGAGAAATAGTAATAGGCTAAATTGTGTAGATTAGGGATAAAAAGTGGATTGTAAATATTGGGTCAAGTTCAGAAGCTACTCTTCACTTGAATTCGACTTATTTGCCTGAACAAGTAAAATTATCTATCATTATTTAGAGACAAAAAACAGAGGACGATGAAATGAATATGCGATAAATATTTGCTGAGAACGATCTAATTTGTGCAGAAGTTCATTGTAATTATTATAAATATTCTAAAAATTAGCTGTCAATAACGATAAATCTGTTAATCTTCATACGAGAGGACTTAAATATGGTAAAATTGAAGATGGATTACTCATTAAAGTCAATCACTACTTGATTGTGAAATAAAAAAGGCATTTTATTAAACTCAATAATAATGTCAATATGATATTGGGTCATAATGGATAGATATTCTTAAGCAATTAGGACAGGACCACAAATAATTAGAAAGTAATCTATTGCTAAAATTACACTGTTTAATAAAGAGTTGATATCGCAAACACAGGAAAGGCGATTAAATTCTTATAACAAAATCAATATAAAATCTCACAAATCAGCATAGAAAAGGTTTTAAATTATATTTCAGAGAAAAAGCCATAAAATGATTGGATAATATTAATTGAGTAATTCTTTTTAGAATAAAAGACAAAATAATAATAAGATTAATGATCTAAGTGTAATTATATTGCTAAATCAACATAATAATATATATTGTTCAACCAATTAAATATATAAACTATTTCAAGTAATCTTCTTCTTCCAATTAAATTGTTTGTCTAAAAAATTTTTTAAATATTGTTGAGAATATAGTTTCTTAATTAGTTGATAAGTATTTAAATTGGATTTAAATATAAGCTTGTATCGTAACTCAAAAACAAAAACGTTAATGATTATATACTTTGAGTTTGAAGTTTATTATAAAATCATTAATATTTATTCATATTTTAATATCAGAAAAATCAGCTGATTTAATGAGTGACAATCCTTATTAAGCTATCGGTAACTCGGCTTATAATTGATTAAAATTTTAGTTATAAATATCAGTATCAACAACATAAGTTTCATTCTCTAAATCTAATTGCTATTGATATTGAAGTCTATCAGCTTCTCTTTGGATCAAGAATTAAGTACAATCATTTAATTTTTCTAAATATCGATTGAAATATGTTACAAGTAGTTGCATCCAAATCAACTTATGCTTAGTTAATTTATTTTTAAAATTCAAGGTGTTCAACGTCCAATTGATCTAATCTTTCTAAAAATTCTTCGTAATTAAGTTATTCTTATTTAGTTAAATCATTCATAGCATCAACAATTTAATTTCTAAATTCATTCAAAGCATCAACTATTTATTTTAGAATTTCTGAATCAGCAAAATTCTAATTGAGTGCTATCTGGAGTAATGCCAGCACCATAGGTCCTTAATTAACGCGATTCCATTATTTCTATGACAATCTCTTTAAAGTAAACTTAATGTTCTTGATTTGAAATAGTGAAGGATTGGATAATGAACTTACTAAATTGATGGCATCATCTGCTGCATCGATAGCTTCATTATCTTCTTGTATTTGTTGTTAGTATGCTTAATTTTCTTAATCTCTTAGCAAAGTTATTTCATCTACGTTTTTTCTATTAAATTCATCGTTTTCAATTAAGGATTCAATTCTAGTAGTAATTTAAATTTTTCTTGGCATAAGCAAATTATCTATCACATCCATCATCCTTGCAATGTCTGAATCAGCATCTTATAATTATTAACTAACTTGAACAATATATGAGTTGTGCTCATTGGTTCGCATTAAAAATGTGTATTAAACATCTTCCATATTATTGTTGATGTCTTGGATCTATTATTATGGTCTTTTTTACTAATTCTTCAATCATTTCAACAAGTTCCTAAATCGGTCCCTAGACCTATGAGTGCAAGTTGACAAGATTTAAAATCGCTTAGCCTAATTTAGTTCTTTAGAGTTCTTCTAATTTCTTAGCATGACTGATTTTTGATGAAATTCCATAAGTGAGTCCGATTAATGCAAGTAACACCAAGGCTAATTTCATAAAATTAATTATATTTTATATCCGTTTTATTAATTCTTATCGAATTGTGCCATCAAATTATGTAATCAAGTTGATCTAAAATTGAATAAATCAGATTAACTAAGCCTATCAATCATAAATGACAAGATTTGATAAAAATATAGATGAAAAATAATAATGATAGTTTTAAATTTTTAAATTCTATTTCTATCTTTTTTAATAGTTGCCATAATATTTACTGATAAATTTAAAGATTGAATCTTCTCTCAAAAATGAAGATGGGATGAATTAATAAATGAATAGCTAAGGAGTAATAATAAATATTAATATGTAAAATCTATTTCTATTTATTTTATTAATATTTCAATTCTAAAATAATTTTTATACTTTTAAAAAGAATTCTTTGGTTGTTTCAATGTTCTCTTAGTGATGCTCAACTTAGGATTCAATAATTCCAGCAAATGTAGATTCGTATTCTTTAAGCTTGACTGATCCATCCTCTAGAATTATGTTTGGTTGCAATTCCAATCTTCTTGGGAACTTATTTTAAATAAAAATGCTTCTATAATTGAGGAACTAGTCATTAACATCAGCCAAATTACTGAAGAATTGAACACCTTCATTTCCTGCTCCTATGGACTTGAAGACCTGCAAGTGTAATATTAAGTTAGAAATGGCTTTCTTACCAGTTGTGTATAATTTAGATTAATCAAATTTAACGTGCAGATATGGTTTACCGTTTAATTGAGTTTCTGTGATTTTGATAATGTCTGGGTCCTCTCTAATTAGAGATTACAAGATGACATTTCTAGATAATGAATGTGCTTAGCCCCATTTCTTTTATTCTGGATTATAAAATTCCAATCCTTAAATAGCTCTATAAACTATAGAGATCCACCCTGCAAAAACAATTTCCTTTCTTTCTTCTTCTGATCTGTTTGGTAACATCAATTTCACTACATCATCATAAGTTGTCAAATATAATGCAGTAGCATCAGCCTTACATTCTTCCATGGCTCCTGAGAATTCTCCAAATTTGCCATGCCATTATTCTCCAGGATTGTAGTATGAATCAACTTTCTTGTTTGTCAATGGATTGACTGTATTTTCAAGATTGAAATTTAAATTTCCCTCCTTATCTTTCATGAAGACTTTACCTGCACCATGACCTATCAATTCATGAAGAGCAATAACTAAGAAAATAGCTTCTGTTTAATATTTATAGAATATCTCTTATTCCGCTTGATCCAAGAAGTTCATGGATTCCTTTGACAATTTTCCTAATGCATTGCCTATATTAACATTCTTAAACCCTTCTGTTTATCTAATATCATCATAATTAGGTATGTTGATACCCGAAGGTGTACCAGAAGTAGCAAAGGCCAGAACTTCTAATGAAGTGAAATCTGGTCTTTTATATACATCAACTTCAAATTCTTTTGGCCATGGTAAATACTTAATGATATCTTCAGCCTTGTCAACTAATCCATTTAAGAGAGCACTTTCTTCTTTGTTAACTACAGCCACAAAGCCTTCCCATTCAGCACGAACTTTAAGTGGATCCAAATAGGTCTCAATGAACCCAATGTTAGTTTCAATGGCAGGTCCTTTATCCTTGATCCAATGTCTCTATGATTATTTATGCAATTCGACATCTCCACTCTTGAAATGTTCAATGTATGCCTATATCATGTTCTTTTGATTATCATTCGAAGCATATTGGAGAGCAGCTGTCAGATGAGTTACGACGCTATTAAGAAAAGGAGCGAAATCTCCATAAACCAATTTGACTTTGTGGTGATGTACTTCTCCTAGATCCTTCTCACCTTCATTAACGGAGGCTACTAACACATGGATTTCATCTCCAACCTTAACAACTCTTGTGTTTAATTCAGATACTCCCTAAGCAATCAAGTATTTGTCGACAGCCTCCAACAATTCCCCACTCAAATTATTACTATAATATGAATTTGAACCGTTCTTATCTTATAAATCAATCAATCCATATGGTTTTTCGTAATTGTAGATATATTTACGAATACTATCCCAAACTTAATCAACTTAATATCCTGGAGATGTTGTAATGAATTGTTCAAACTTCTCCTAACTTACCTCAGGTACGAATTTGGAATCTCCAAAATTTTTGAAGTTGCCACAATTTTATAGAACAGCAGCAATATAGACAAATAATTATTGAACTTCGTCTTCACTCCACCCATTCTATAATAAACGCACTCTCACAGCTTAGGGTTTCTCAGTTGAAAAGATCTTATGGAAAATGTAGAACAAACCTGGTGACTCATAAGATCTTTGGAAGAAACAAATTTTTGCTCCTTCCCAAGAGGCTCTTGCAAAATGATATGCATAGAGTTTTTCGTCTTCATTAAGGCCCTATTGGATTCTTGATATATTTCATACCTTAAAACCTGGACTAACAAACTAATTAATTGGGGAGTTCACTTAAATGACAGGAGCTTGATTCATAATTTATTTTTTTCACTTTAAGATTCAGTCGTAGTGATATATATAAAAACAAAAAAAATACATAAGTATAATTAATTAATATATTTATGTCGGAGGAATAGGCAGTTGATTTTACCTTTAGTAGTTTGCTACCTACAGCAGAGAAGTTAATGACATGGCTTACATACTCAACTGTAATTGGTTTAATATCGTTTCCCTTGATTGCATTGACCATTGACCAATAATTGTATTAAAAGTGATCTATATGCAGTGCTATTCATTTTTGGATCTTGACTTTACTTAATGCAGGATTGTTATTCACTTTGCTTTATTTGAAGGGCCAACTTAGTTAAATTGAAAGAGAGAAAAAAGAATTCACCTAAGATGAATCCAAAAAGCCTTAAAAGAAGAAGAAGTCTCTGGAAAATGAAAAGGATAAGGTTGCTTAGAAGGCAAAGAAGGAATCATAAAAAAATAATACAAAGAATTTTAATAAATCATTAGGAAAGTAGAAATCATTCCAATAAAGAAAATGACTTAGTTGTTGTAAATAACATTATAATAAAATCAATTAGGATGTACAATTTTTTCAATAATTTATGAATCTTCTACTTAAAGACAATCAACCTCTGCAATTGTTTTAACTTCGCCTTCATCTTTTTAGTCCCTTTATATATTTATACTAATAATTATACTTGTCCTCCAAATTATCCACTTCAGGCATCAATCTCACAGGTTTCTTACATTTAATTTAATCTGGGACACTTCCTGTATGAAGCACAGTGACACCAAAGGTTCTATTAGCAAATAGTTTCTCAAATGATTGGATTTCAAAGATATCATCATAAAATTAGGTTGATTCCAAAAGGGCTGGTTAAACCAACACAATGGGATCAGTGATGTTTGAGGAAGCTAGATAGTAAAGTAGGCCTTGAGATTTGTCCTAGAAGGCAACATAATTCTTTTTGATTGATTTTCCATCAAGCAATGTGTTCTCTATAAATGATTAAAAATCTTTAAAAGCAGGATGGAATTCTTGGTTGTGTAATAAGAAGTAGTCTTCAAATTTGACCACTGTATAGTTGAGATTTAGGAATGGTTCTAATTTAAACAGGTTATCATCAGAAACATACAGTATTCCTGCAGAGTCTGGATGATGAATCAAAATGTAGGGTATTTCAAACTGGGAATGGGAACTATTTTTTGGTTTATAGATGTTTGAGACTATGGTATTATTCTTAGATGTGCAAAATTGGCCATTTGATTCTTTGCATTCCTCCACACAAGTTCCATTGAGGGAGAGATGGTAAGTTGGTTCACAAACAGAACAATAGGACGATTTTTCAACACTTAAGTAGCATCCAATGGGATTAGGTTCGCAGCCTTATTTAGTCCATGAGTGTTGTCGGTTGCATCCGAATGTAGTTTTGGTAGCATATTCAGCATGGATGGTGATTGGTGATTCATATGTAAGGTAGAAATAAAATAAGCCTGCAAAGAAGCAAAAGACTGCGAAGTAGAGGGACTTTTTGGTTGGCTGATCTTTTTGTTTACGATTCTATAAGCCTGTAGTTTCTAAACCTGGTCTCATATAGTTGTCGTCATCATCTAAGTCATCTAAATATATAGAATGGGTACCTGGCCCTTCAACTTCGAGTGGACCACGAAATTAAATGGATTCTGTCATTAATTTATTTAATGTCAAATCAATAGCAACTGAAAGAAGAGTTACAGTTGTATAGATCTTAATTAAGCAAATTGAGTGTGGAGAGAGATTAGGTATTGATCATATTGTCTAAATAGACAGTGTTTGAACTAAATAAAGTGATTAGATTAGTCGAGAGATTGCAGATTAAAATTACAGAAAAGGATGCCGAGATATTGATGCTGCATACCTAATTGGATGAGTAGGAAAAATATCATTAAATACAATTGGAATAAGTCAAGTAAGTAATCTGTAAGATGAAATAAAAGATAGCATTATGAGTATTTGAAGGAAAGTGCAATTGTTAGACTCAAGTCTGAAATGAATTTTGATTCTGAGATCATGACCAAGGAAATTCAGGAGACTAAGCAGTTGTACTAAGAAATCTTGGTAATGGAAGCCAAGCGGAAGTCATCCTGTTCTTAGGAGGAGACTCATTGTCAATCCATTAATGATTACTAGAAACTCTTTACTGAGAAATAAGAATTATAGCAATTGGTTGATAAACTGTAGAGGGTGAAGGATAGTTAGGAATGTGATCAATCTGATGAGCTCATCTAGGAGATACAATATTTACGTGAATAACTGTAGAAATTGTACAACTTTATCCTTATATCTAGAACCATTGAATTAGAAACTGCCAAATAGACCATAAATGTTCTCCAAGTTCAAATTCTTAAATAGTAAGATTTATTGAAAGAATACTACTCTAACGACTTTCAGGGGTGATTCATCTGAATTAATTTTCCCATTTCTATAATAAAAATTTAATTTGAGATTATGAGCCAATTACAAGACTTAATTGATTTTTCTAATGAGGGTTTACCTTAAGAATATTTGAAAAAAGCATGCGAAGAATTTGAAAAGGCAAACAAAGATGTCTTGGTTGACTAACCTAAATCAAATTTTATTTCCAATCTTAGTATCCTTCTCATTGGATTGCCAAAAGTCAAAGATGAAATGAAACAAAAACTTATTACAGCACTCAAAGGATTTCTTAAGAAGAATAATTACATCTAATTTGTTGACATTGAACTGAATAATTTGGGTCAGGCTCTCCTATCATATGATAATGAAGATCAAGCTCAATAGGCAGTAGAACAAATTAACAATCAAAATTTTGATGCAAAACATTAATTGCTAGCTTTTACTTAGAAATAAATTAATACTATTAATGAAACTAAAGAATATATCCCAATTATTTTGAAATCCAGATAAGAATTGTTAGCATTTCATAAGGATCCAAGAGCAGCAGTCACAATCATTTAAGAAAAGTCCAAACTCTCACTCAAATGGTTGAATCCCCTGGAGAAGAAGTTAGAAGATAATGTCAATGAAAAGAAATTGCCACCATATGACAAATTGCAATGGTCACCTCTAGGATAATATTTGGTTTTATTCACAGAAAATGAATTCAGTCTCTACGGTGCCTAAGATATGGAATTATTACACAAATTTGAACACAAGAGAGTATCTGAATTGTTATTCAGTCCAGATGAACTATATGTGATAAGTTATGATGGATTATAAGTAAAAATAGTTAATTTATATTTAAGCAATTTATTATTTGGAATATTAGAGAAGAGAGACAATTGAGATAGATTGTATAGGAACAATCCTCCATCAATTCTTTCAAGTTTAGAAAAGATAATAAGTTGTTAGCCTTCTAAGCACAAGACGAGATTCAATTTTATGAAGCCCCAGAGTTCTATCAAAAAACTCAATTAAATCGTAAAGCTGTTGGAGTTAAACAAATTGAATGGGTTCCATAGACTAACTATTTAGCTGTTGTTTGCTATGGTAAAGATATTAAAACTCAAATCTACTTGCATGATTATTAAAGGAATATTGATGTCAAGTGGAGAAATATTGCATTCGAAATTGAAAGTATTCAAATATTTGTACATACTTATGGCAAATGGGTTGCTACTTTGATTAAAAAGAAGTAGAAAAATAAGGTGTTTGCAACTACTCTTCAAGTTGGTAATTTGAGTAAAACTGATCCATTTGAAATTGATGAACATACTGTTAATGAGGATGTTGAAAATATATTCACAGAACTCAATACTGGAAAATTTGCATTATCTTACAGAGAAAAAGATAAACAATAAAAACCAACTTAACAATTCACTTTCCATCTCTACTCAGTTTTAGAAGATCCAAAAAAAGGAATCAAATTATGTCAACTTGGAGATCAGAAAGGAAAAGACACAAACGAGTTGTTATGGGCATCCAATGGAGTAATAAATAATATATACTTAGAGTTATTTTGCCATGGTCAATAAAACCAAAAATTCCCCTGATCAAGGAAAAGTTGAATTTGGGCAAATTTCTAAAAAGAATGAATAATTAGTAACTGAAATCACTAAATCTACAAATCATTTTTATATGAGTCATGCTTAATGGGATCCAACAGGAATTGTAATCTAAATTTCTTATTTTAAGCACTTTATAACAATGAGTGATTTATGGCATAGTGTTAACATTTGGAGTTCTATAGGAGAATAATTAGTCAAAGATACTATCACCAAGGTTACAGATATCCACTGGAGAAATAAACCAATCCATATTTTACCATATAAGGAAGAATAAGAACTATAAAATAACTCTAAATAATTTACCAAGAAGTATGAGAATGAAGATGATAAAATTCTCAATAAAGCTAAACATGAAAAAGAACAAAAGAAAAAGGAAATGTTAAATCAAGTATCCATTTTAATAACCATTTTAGTTCACTCAATATCTCAACGAAAAGAGAAAAATTTATGATGACAAAAAAGAAATAAGAAAGAAGTTGCAAGGTTGGGATGAAGAGGATCCAAATAGCTATGTTTCTTATAAAAAAGTAATTAAAGAAGAAGTAGTAAATTCATGATGTATATCTTAAATAAGAATAATATTATTTATGTTTCTTAAATCAATTAAAATATATTGAAAAACTAATAGTTTTAGCTAATTTAATCTGAAGTTTTGAATTAATCAATCTTTACAAATAAATTATATTTAAAAATAATATTGAAGAAGAAATTGGATTAATAAGGACTTTCTTTTTAAGATAATGATTATATGATACAAAGCGTAATATCAAAAAAAATAACTTAAAATAGTATAAAAATTAATATAAATTATCTGCACAAATGTTGGGAAAAATTTTAGAATAATTAAAATTGTTTGTTGAATCAAAAATTGATGCTAACTCAACATAATATGGATTTTAAGTAACATGGAAAATTTAAATTCAGGAATTCTAATAAACTCGATTTTACCTATAAGTTCTAATTAATTAAATTTAGACCAAATGACATTGACTTTTTTTTTTACGTTGAGCCATTTACCAATAGATTTTTTAAAACTAATTGATTCTTGATTTCAATATTTTAGATAAAAAAGAAATTAGAAATTTTAAAGAATTTCTTGGTAGTTCTTAATTGACTAAATAGTTTTCAGATAACAATATCTACACCAAAAATATATCTGTAGAGGATTATCTCAACACTTTTTCCTGCATAAATACTTCAAAATTAGACTTTTTTAACCTATGATGCAGTAGATAATACATTTAAGAAATTTACTTATTGGCATGATATGCAAACAATTATTAAATTAGTATAATACACTTTTTTCCAAATGCATTCTTAATTAGGTATCTTGTCACGTGTTGAGGGAACTAATGGATTAGAATGTTTTTTGATAGTGATTCAAAAAGAAATTATTTCAAGTTTGGATTTACGTAATTAGTAATATGCAAAAACAAGTTTACCCTCTAGATTTCTTGACAATTGGCACCTCCAAAGTTTTTGGTATATAAATTAAATTAAATCTTCTGAAAGAGATATTATTAAACTTAAATCAAATTATTAATGATAAAAATATTCTTCATATATCTTATTTTGGTTTAAGTATTTGGAGATGTGATTATTAATTTGGATCTTCAATATTAGTGTGATTGCGAATCATTATTGTATGCATCAGAATGTAAAATGAAGAAATGTGAATGGACTAATGATGGGAAATGTACAACTATTGCATGTGAAGAGCATTTAGATAGAAATTCGTGTAAATCAAATCTAAATTGTGCTTGGTATTAAGATAAATGTAGTACTTTCACATAATGTTCTTCATATAAAGTTGATTCCTCAATAGATTGTGAAAATTTGAGTAGTACTTGTCATTGGAGTACATTTAACACATGTGTAGATCATGAGCCAAGTTTAACTTGTTAAGAACTTTAACATTTAAATTGTGATGTTGGTAAATAAGGAAAGTGTATAGAAATTTAAGGCATATGCAAAGAATTTACAACATGTGAAGATGCTGCGAAGAATGAAGCATTGTGTAAATAAGCATCTCCAGCTTGTTATAGTACTTTTATTGATGGAAATCATTATTGTCCATCCATTATGACATGTAAAGATTAGTTGTAATTTGGTTGTGTTAAGGCAAAAAACAGAATAAATGGTTACGAATACACTGTTTGTGAAAAAGAATCAGAAGAATAGTGCAAGAATTGGGATATAGCAACTGCAAATTTGGAATCATGCGTAACCAAAACTAATTATAATTATCATTGGGTTGATAATGAATGTAAAAAATGTGAATAGTCTCCTCCATTAGCAGGCTTCCTAATTTCTTCTTTCCTAATTTGGATTTTAATGGAATGATATCGAATATAAATATACATTATTAATAAAATTGTTAATAGATATAGAGATATCGATTAGATTAATACGTAAGTATTATTATCAAATTTTAAAAATTTAATTAGAATTCTTGTTAAATGGAGAACAAACAACCTAAATAGAACCTGTTTAATCTAGTTATATCACTATTATAATATTCTATCAGAAGAACTTACCAATTTTTATTTTTACATTGTAGGTCCAACGGTATAACATTATTTATGCAATCGTCTTAAATAAGGCTTTTGAAATCGTTATAAATAATAAGGGTTGTAATTTAATTTTCTTTATCATTCAGTTGAGAATAAACTCTTAAATTATAAATTTATTGATAACTAATTTGATTATATTCATAATTATCATCAATTGATTTGATTTCCTCCGACTATTCTTTTTGGATGTACAAAATTTAAATACTATTTCTTTTATGACCTCATACTCAACAATCCTGATATTTATAAATTCTTTTTCATTCTATGCTCATTTGATAATGGTTGAATTTCTGTTAAATGATGTTATTTAGGTTAAAATCGATTTTATACATTTCTATACGACGCTTAAATTACTTGCTGAATTTCTTTAGCCTTCTTAGCAGGATTCTCAGCTTTGTAGGCTTATTAATACATCAATGATAACACTAAATTATCCTTTGGAACTCGAGGCAATTTACTAATAGATTCTAACACTGTGTTCAGAGATTAAGGTTAAGGTCCTACTAGATGTAAGGAAGGATGCAGAGATGGAAGAGTAATCTTTTGCTAACTCTCCCTTTTGATTATGACAGATGATCTATTCGAGCTTAATTTAAGATCAACGCTATTTTCATTTAAAGGACTTGTAGTCGAATTGTTGTCATAGTTAATACTTGTGTTTGTTGGTTATTTATTTTGATTTTGGTTTCTTATGCATTATGAGTCCTATTCACAAATAACCATTTAAGGTTTCTTTAATAATTTAGCTTAGTATTGTTGGAGTGTGTTACTATACACTCTTTACAGAAGATTATGACTATCATTATTAGAGTTTTTTAAATCCTTTAGATTCGAATCAGTCAGATTTTAAAATACTTTGATTTGACTTAATTTCTAACCTTGAGACTCTATCAGCTTCTTATTTAAAATGGATTTTGCAAGTAAATTAGGTTTATTTGCATTATCATCTTAAGCAGCTTCATAAACCTAATGAATATTAATTGTATTGTACTTCATCTCTTGGATTAATTGATTTTTAAACAGCATTACAAATTAATTACCAATGCTTATAAATAACACCTGAGTGTTTTTTCATATTTTCATAAGTTCCATAACTACCTAAATTATCAAAAAATATTCGTTTTCTGATCCTATAACAGTTGACTCTTGGTGAAATCACTTTGGCTTTTGTGTACCTATTAATTTTCATCATGATCTCCACCTCTCCAAAATTTTGGAATTCCCCATATGAAGACAAAATTATGGACTTCTTTTTTACTTATTTCAACAACTCAATTTCCCCACTGATTATAAAGTATATATATTTAGTTTTCTCCCCCTCTTCATAGACTACCTCTCCTGCCTTCATGGTGACCAATTTGCTCTCCAATACTATACCCATATAATCCTCTGGGTCGATATTTTGAAAGAGTGGAGTCTATCCAAAATATTAAATTTTCTTATCTAAAGCAATACTTAAATAGGGACTTAAATATTCTAGATAAGCAGTCTCATTTAAGTAGAGTAAGTGAGTATCTTCTAATGTAAACACTGTCGATGATCTTGCTGTGTCCAATTTTATGGCTGCTTCTCCAAAAGAACTAAAATTTAATATAGTTATGCATACTCTCCTTAAAATAGGATTTTTAAAATTATGTAATCTGGAAAGAGAATCTTTAGGCCAAATGGATCATCATCGTTTTTTCCCTGAGATTTTTATTACAAATTATCATCAAATTCTATTTTACTGGACCCCACCATCTTTAATTTCGGTTTCATCACTACTACCTTCCCTTCTAGTATAATATAAAACTTTTTGTTCTGATCTCCCTATCGATACACTGGATTTAAGGCTGGCACAAATTCATATCTCATAATTGTTTATGAAAAATTACCTGAGTTCTGAGTAAATTCTTCCCATCAATTCTGGAGGCACTTCCGAACGTATCTCCTTTATTTTCTTCAAGTTTCCTAATTGGTCAATCAAAATTGGAGATGTGGGAATAATTAGATCATTAAGAGAACGGACACTTTTAATTTTAGAAATTTTTTTCTTTTAAATTGAACTTAATTTCATTTCAACATTGGGTCTATTTTTCAATTCTTCCTTCACCAAATCTATATCAACTAATTTCTTAAATTTTTTGTGTTCTTTTTAATTTTCATGTATTTATTATAATCTCTATTTCTATTCTTCATTATCTGAATCAGACTCTATCTAATTCTACAAAAATTCAAAATTCGGCTTTGCAGATATTGCAAATGTTGATTAAACGAAGGATGTCATATGCTAGACCTATTATAATTATTTTTGGATAATAATATTTATAGATTTAAAATGTATTTTTTGTCTGATAAATAACTTAAGAAAATAAGTATTTTAAATCAAAATTTCGTAATTCTTAGTAGATAGTATCAGATGTTTAAGTTTCTATGATCAATGATTCTCTACATCATTGCTAATTTGAATTAACAACAATGAATTTAACAACTATAAAAAATTAATATAAAAAAAAGGGTTGTCAACACGAGGACTTCCCAAGCGGTCCCCCACCTTAGTACTAACCTCGCCTTAAGCCGCTTAACTTCGGAGTTCGAATGGGATCCGGTGCTTTAGGCTTAGTATGGCCGACAACGATATTTACTATATGCTTCTCCTTTTAAACCCAAGGGTTATCCAATCAGAATAAAGAATTTATAAACCAAATTTTATTCAATTAATAAATATATGAAATTGAGGTAAATTCAATATTTGTTTTCTTAATACCATATTGGAAAATTATTCAAATTGGAAAGAATATTTACAGAAGAAGATGTTAGAAATTACGCCAATCTCATTAAAGATTTCAATCCTATTCATCTTGATAAATATGCTGCTTCTTAATCCATCTTTAAAGAACGCGTTGTTCATGGAATGTTATCAGCAAGCCTTTTCTCTACGTTGGTGGGTACTAATTTTCCTGGGTGCATTTATTTAGAGCAATCTATAAATTTTAAAGCTCCTATATTTCTTGATGAACAAATATTAGCTTAAGTGCTAATACAAGATATCAAACATACAAAAGGTAGATAGATTTTGAAATTGAATACTACTATTGAAAAAATGGATTAGAAAATTGCAGTAACAGGATAAGCAACAATTTTAATTAATTGATTTAATTAGTTCTATAAAACATATTTACAATATTATTTACATTTATAACTTAAATAATAAAGTTCATAATATGCTGTTTCTCTTAATGAGCAACAAAAATGTCACATCATCTAATTTACAAAGTCTAAAGCTCAACGTGCAAATGCATCTATCTTCATTAATTAGTAATCTAATATTTTATAAAGCTAATAAAAAGTATCATTAGAAAATAATCATATCTTTGTTATTAAATTACTTCGACTTAGAAATTCTTATAAAATTCCTGATTTAATAAATATTTAATATATAACAGAAGTTTTTACTTATTTATAATTCAAAAAAAAGTAGCAATAATCATGATTAATTATTAAACTCTTTATCTTCTAAATCTTAAAGAAAATGTTAGTATTGCTTGTAATTTCTATCATCGGAGAATGGATTAAAAATAATTAATGGTTTTATTCTGATACGTGATTATTGAGCAGGAAGAATGTTAGCAATTTTGTATTCTCTCTTAAAAGATTTGAGTCTCGCTTTTTGTAAGAGATAATTTTGCTTACTAAAGTAGTTTACTTAACCACTATAAATTCAAGCCAGTCTACTCATTATAATATGACAAAGGATAATTTGACTTTTTATTTGATACAATTGGTTATAAAATTCTGAAAATCTTAATTGGCAGATGTCAAAGCAGTAAGTGTTTGGAAATTCACCAATTAACCCTAAATGAATATAAGATCTTCAATCTTCTGCTTTAGGTTATAATAGATAATTTTTTTGATAAAATAGAATAATAAATTTATTATTTGAAGATATATTAATAATCTTAATGAGCTTGCTTTAAATATATGACATTTTGTTAAAGCTTCCTTAAAGAAACTGTAATTTGAGTTGAATAATTTAAAGATATTAATTATTATTTAGGAAAGATACGAGAAACTATAACAACTAAATAGGTTATAAGAAAATTAAAATATATAACTAATACTGCATCTTTGTAAATTGTTTATTATGATAGGATTAGAGTTTTTGACAAGAATTATAATATATTTTTAATTAAAAATATAATTATGTATTATAATTTAATATAAAAAAAAGGGTTGTCAACACGAGGACTTCCCAAGCGGTCCCCCACCTTAGTACTAACCTCGCCTTAAGCCGCTTAACTTCGGAGTTCGAATGGGATCCGGTGCTTTAGGCTTAGTATGGCCGACAACGATATTTACTATATGCTTCTCCTTTTAAACCCAAGGCTATTTAATAGAAGAAGAAAAATTTATACAAAAAAAATTACAATTAATATAAGCAATTTCTGCAAAAATTTAAGACAACAAACATAAAAATTATCATTCCTTAAAATCCTTGTTAGTATCCATAACTCCCATATACAAATCCTTAAAAAGTTAAATATTTAATAATTACCAGATTGATCATTTTTTATTATCTTCCGGTTCTTCTACAATACTTTCTTAATTTAGGATCTGGTATTAGATCTTTTATGTTTCTTCTAATTAATGCATTTTAATCGTCAATTTAGAATTGTTTTAAATTATCAGTATTTTCAAGCTGTTCATTTGCTTTTTTAAATTCTGGTAAAAAATGCTGGATTTTTTCTAACATTGATGATTAGAAGAACTCAAACTTTGGTTTAGGGTTCAATAATTTTGTGATTGCGAGTTCACTAGGGTTAATTTCGATTTCACATCTTAATAAGTCTTTTTTTGACATATATTATAAAATAATTAATTTTTAACAATGAACTAGAATAAAGAGATATAAGTAAATAGTATATTAATAAAGTTTTAAGTTGTTCAAAATTTGAGTTAGAAATATTAATTGTTGAATAGGGATGAGTCATTCATTAGGAAAATATGATTGATTGCTCTAAATGTGAATAATATAAAAGAGAAGCAATTTATAAAATTTGAATTTTAAATATAATAAGTCAAAATGTCAATTCAAAAAAAAGTGACAAAATTAACAAAACAATAGAGTGAACAGGGGAAATTTTAAAATATGTATTATGAAGTGCAATTACCATATTTCAATCCTCAATCCAACTCATTATTTGCAACATCATTATTGAATAATCCTTCATTATTGAATATTTATCAGTAAGCAATGAGCAGTTATTTGCAAGGATATTATAAACAAGCGATCTTTTTTGCAGAAAAATTGCTATGTTTAAGCTAAGATTCAACAGCATTGCCATATTTAGTATTTTTGCTTGGAATGGTATTAATTATTACATAAAATTAGTGCCATTTTGCTAATTAGGAATTCTCAGGAGTGTATAATCTGTTTTTAAAGCATAAATTAACATAAGGAGATTTTGCAGTATTAGGGGCTAGAGCTTTATATTCAAATAGACAATATGAGATGGGAATCGAAATTCTTTAAGAAGAGACTAGCTCATAAAGCGATTGGGTAAGAGGATAATGTTATGAAGCCTTAGAGAATAAGTAGTTAGCAGTTTCTAATTATTTTGAATGCTTATAGAAAACACCAACAAATGTTCGAGTGTTTTAGCAACTAGTTGATTCATATTTGATTTCTTCAGATGAAAAGGAAAATTTAGTCTAACAAATTTAATTATCTTCTGATGAAGCCTGGCTAAAGGATTACTATTTAAGCAAAACAATAAATTATGACATAGTGAATTCAAAATTAGCTGATCATTTGCAAGAGGAGAAAAGGAAAATTGTGTAATAGTTACAAATTGTTGATAAAGTTGAAACTCAATAATTGAAACCATCCCCAGTACGAAGTCCATATATAAGAAAAGAAGAAATTCCAATTCAAAATGACTTAATTTATGTAGCTTTGGAGAAGAAGAACAACATAGACATCTTAAATGTTAAGGCGAAGAAAGCATATTACAATTATGATATAGCATCTGCTTATGATTGGTCATTGAAGGCAATTAAGTAGGACCCTTTGTATTTTGAAGTGATCCCTACATATGTTTCATGCTTGTTGGAATTGGAATAGATAGCCGAACTTTATTATTGTGCTCACAATCTAATTGAGAACTATGCTCAGAATGCCTTAAGTTGGTTTGTAGTAGGAGTGTATTACTTTTCAACCAAAAAGTATGAAGTAGCAAGAAAACAATTTTAAAAGTCCATTTAGTTAGACTAGCACCTAATATACAGCTGGATTGGATTAGCACATTCTTATGCGATATAAGATGAGTCTGATTAAGCAATGTCAATATATAGATCAATAACAAGACAATTTCCAGGATGCTATTAAGCACATGTGTATATTGGTATGGAATACTTGAGAACTAATAATTTGCAAACTGCTATTTTATCATTATAATAAGCCAAAGATATCAATCCAACAGATCCTATGATTTAGAATGAATTAGGAGTTATAGCTTATAAACAAAAGAAATATAATGAAGCCAAAGATGTATGTTTATCAATCTTATTATAATAGTATTTCTTAAATGCCTTAGTATTTTGTTAAAATTCTAATCATAAAATTAGGGAATCTGCTTTATAGAATCTTGGACATACATTTAGAAAGTAGAAGGATTACAAAAATGCTATTTAGATATTTGAAAAATGTATATAAGTAATAATATCATATTACAATTAGTTGAATTCAGTTTCTCCATAGATATTCTTTGGATTGGCATTCTCTTATCATTTAAGCGAATTACCAAACAGTTTAAGCAAAGCCATTCATTATTATCATAAGTCGCTCTCATTAAAATCTGATTAAACTTTTGTTTAGGATATGCTAAGCAAGGCACTTTAGGAAGCTGCTGATATGGGATTATCAGAATATATAAATTGAATATATATATCTATTTAAAGAAAAGTAATTTCTTGATATTATCAATAATAAAATAATTTTGTAGAGTCCAAAATTAAACATAAATAAGTTTCTACAAATAATATTCAATATTACGACCATTCTGAAATATCATTAATGTCCTTTTAATTGTTTATATTTCTTGAATTAAATTGATCTCTAGCAAAAATTTATGAGATTCCAAATCAATATACATAATATTAGAGATTAAAAATAATTTAAGAATTATATACTCATAATAAGTCTAAAACTGTATTAAATATAAATATAACAGAATCTGTGTAAGACTCAAAGAGAAAAATACTTTAATTTAATAGCTATTATATTTTATTTGAATGTATTGCAGCTCAATGAGTAGCTGATTAATTGTTTGGAGCTGTAAATGGTCTTCTCTACTCTAAGAAATCATCAAATTCGCCATCTGCACGTCTTATATTAGAATAACTTTGATTACCTATTATTAAGATTTGGCCTTTATTATGCAGCTCTCAATTACCTCATAACATTCATCACTATTTCTGCAGTTCGTTCAATACTTAATTATTTGCCTGCTCCCAACTTAGCTTTCTCATCCTTTACTAATTCACTTAAATTTACATTAATTTTCATACCTGATGTGATCAATGACTTGATCTTCAATAGCTTAACCACCATTCTTTCTTTATTCATAAGCTTCTTATTGATTTGCCAAATATTGATTCCAGACACTGTAGGTGAACAATTAATAAGGATGTGAATTGTAGGATACCAATTCAAAGTCTCTGTCAATCTAATCGACCATTCTTCTTTCACCACCATGTTTGATTTAAGTGACTTGGCATTCAGCGATGTGAGGTACAATGAAAAATGTTCTCAAACCCATCTAAAATAATTCTTCCAACTCTTTGTTGCCAAAGAAATATTACTTGCAATGTCTGGAGATCTTTCTGTATGAATGATAAGCTATTCAATATGCATTTGATTTCAAACCTCTCAAAAATGAATTATGGTCGTAACGACATCTAATACCAATAGTGAATTCTGAGCTTGATGGACGTGGGGCATTGAAATTTTTAGGATGCCAGTTATTTTTCCAACCTGCTCTAGTCCAGAAGAATGACTTATTTCTGATTTTGTAAACCATAAATTAATTAATATCTTTTATTATTTGCAAATCAATTACATTAAATTCATTCTTCTTTAATATATACTTTATTTTCAGAAGACTAGACACATCACATAGCATTGAGATTCATTAAACAATTATTTCAATATTAAAATCAATCAAACAACATTCATGATGATTTTATTTATTTTAGTCATAAAATTGGAAACATGTGAATCTTTAAGGATTTTGAATTATACAATTAATTTAATTATAGCAGAAGTACTTTGTTAATTGAAAAGTCTATCCTCTTAAAGAAAATGATTTTTGAAAAAAATAAAAATAGGCTTTTGTCGATTTTAAACTTTTATGCAACATAAAAGGAAAAACCTAGCTTAAACTGTTTCAGGAGATTCAATATTAAAGATAATTCAAATAAGTTCACTCCTTCTCAAATTTTAGTAGAGTCTGAGATCTAATATAAATTGACTGCTTATCCTGAATAATATTCAATACTACAATTAGCTTATTCTAATGCTCAATTCAATAATAGTGTGTGTAAGATAAGATAGAATTTGTAATTACAGTCTATCTTGAAAAAAAGTAATAATAATTTTGTCTAAAAGTTCTTAAGGTTAATAATAATGTGAAATGAAGAATGATATTATTAATCATAATGTGATCAATTGATGCTTACTTGTATAATTGCATAGGAATTGATGTTGATGGACAGCACTATGCCATAAGGAGTTCCATAAATACTGAATTTGGTCATTTAAGGCAAATGCAAACAAGGATAAGTTTGTAGTGCGATCGAATAACTTTTAAAAATATTTTTAAAGATTTTTAATTTATGGGAAAGAAGGAAAAAGGAAAGCCTAATCCATTAGGTGAAGTTAGTAGAGATTACACCATCAATCTCCATAAGGCAGTTCACAAAGAAACTTTTAAAAGAAAGGCACCTAGAGCTGTCAGTCACATTGTCAGATTTGGTATTAAATCATGCACTATTTAGCCTAAAAAAACATGTTAACTGAGGATGTTAGAGTAGATCCACAATTAAATGAGGCAGTTTGGGCAAGAGGAATTCGTAACTTGCCTAGAAGAATTAGAGTAAGATTATAAAGAAAGAAGAAGGAGGAAGATGATGGTAAAGGTAAGTACTATACCCTTGCTCAATATGTTCCAGTCGATTCCTTTGATAACCTTAAGACTGAAATTACAAAATAATAATGATATATTTTATGTACAATATATAGACAGACATATAATCAGCTCATTTGAAACTTAATTACCATAAGGCATCGCCAAGATGATGTACTAATTAAATTGCATGACCTTTTGGGTCTTTTTTAATATCATCAGAATTTGCAGTCATTATTCCTATTCCCATTGCATTTTCCTTGCCTTCTCCATAGATGCCTACAACCTATCCTTTTTAAGCCTAAGGAATATATAAATTAACTTACTGGATTAAGTTGTCCTCCTTAAGAAATGAGTCCTGGAGCCAAGACATCAGAACCACTTAAAATATGCTTGATTGCTCCTGCATCAACCTATTATTTGATTAATAGATCTGGGAATTTGTGGACTAATTTCAAATGCGGAATGACTAAATCTTCTTTAGTAAAACAAATATAATCTTTGTCAACTTAGACAATTTCGACTTTGTATTCACTTCTTAATTTAAATGATTAGATATTGGCTTTCTTAGGAAATACCTCATCCTCTATTTCTTTGAAAAAAGGGTACTAATCATTGAATGATTGCTTCAATTCCTTGACTCCAGTCTTGGAAAGTAATGTTGGTTTGGAAAGATCCTCTAGTTTCTTGAACATAATTTAATTAAATATTCAAATAAATAAATATCATAATATGTAATCCTGGTAAACTTGTGCTCTATCTGGAGAGTTGATAGAAACTCCAGTCATATCTAAAGTGAGCGGACACATTTATGAAAAGAGATTAATCGAAAAACACATAGAGAGCACAGGCACATGTCCAATAACTGGAAGACCATTGAATATCGAAGATCTCATCGAAGTATGAATTGTATCAGAACAATAGGTGAAAGTATCTAGAGTTTAGAAACCAAGGCCAGTGACAGCCACATCAATACCGTCGTTATTGTCATTGCTATAAAATGAATGGGATGCATTATTATTGGAATAATTTTAATTAAAATAACATTTAGAATAAGTGAGACATGAATTAACACATGCATTGTATTAGCATGATGCAGCTTGTCGAGTGATTGCTAAATTAATTAAAGAAAGAGACCAAGCTAGAATAGAATTGTCATAATTATAGCACAAATTAAATCATAAAATTGAAGTAGAAGCAAATAATGCCCCTGAGAAGTTATCATCAAATTAAATTGCTGAAATTGAAGAAAATGCGATTAAATTAACAAATCAAAGAAAAGCCTAAAGAAAGTAATAGTCGTACTTCGATTAATTCCCAGGCCCTGAAGTAATAGATCCTAATTATAATAGATTCTATCAAATTATGATGTAAAATAAGAATACCAACAAACATAAGGAGGTACCTCCTTGGATACAAAAGACAATTATGTGTTAGTAGGTGGATAGGCTGGATTAATCTAATTGTACTCTCATGAAAAATTAGTTTATTCTGCTTAAGAACATACATAGTCTATTACTTAAGTGAATTTCTTTACTTATGATGAGCATCTTAGGTTTGTGTCGTCTTCATAAGATGGAAATCTCAAATTATACTAATTTAATTCTCAAAGTTAGGAAGGTTAGGTTACTTAAACTATTAATATCGGATAAAGTGTTACAGGAGTTGCAATCCATCCATTAGGATATGTTGCTATTATAGTAACCACTAATGGAGTATTGGCATATTATAATTTAAAAAATGGATAGCAATTGAGTAGAGTTACTGACTTTGAAGGTTAATGTTAATTCACTTCAATATCTGTTCATCCTGATGGATTATTATTGGCTATTGGATAGGCAGATTCCTAAATTAAGGTTTGGAGTATTGTGAAAAGTCAATTGCTGGCCCAATTGGAAGGATAAGAGGTATTAATAAGTTATACCTATATAGGGAGCTGTCACGAACCTATCATTTTCTGAAAGCGGAGCAAATTTGGCTTCAAGTAGTAGCAGTGAAGTTAAAGAATGGGATTTAAGACGTCCTGGTTAATTCTCAAAGATTTATCAAGGCCAAAAGATCGGTAACTTATGATCCTAAGTTGTTTTAGGTGGTTTATCTTATGATCCATCAGGATAATTTTTAGCTGTCGGTAGTAATAAGAGTATTCACTTTTTTGATGTTAAGAAAAAGTAGGAATTCTGCAAAATTGACAGTCATAGAGACCTTGTCACTGGCATTAGGTATACAAATAATTATAGGATTATAGATTTGGGCAATTAAGCAAGAATATCTATAGCTGCAGTGTTGATAAATCAGTAAATATCTATGGTAACTGAGTAGATTTTTTAATTATATAAATAATCAGTTAATTAAATATGTATTAAAGGACATCGATCTCTCATTGCTAATTGTGTAAGATGCAAGCCATGAAACCTATCTCATTAATTTGCTCTCATACACTTTGTTTCAAATGCGCATAAAATATATCTATTTAGGAAAATACAAGGTAAGAGAAAATTTGAATTTGTATTTTAGTTAAATACAGAATAAGTTCAGAATTTAGTGTCCATTATGCCGTAGAGTTACTCATACCTATGATATCAATAATCTCTTAATGGAAAATAATGAACTGAATCTGATTACAGATTCAAGTGAAATGGATAGGGAGATTCTAAATGAGGTATTTACTTAATTACATGTAGAGTTAATTATAAAATGATTCATAACATTGCAGAAGGTATTCTAATTTTGATATTCCAAACAAAGCTCAAAATACAGCTCAATAAAAAATGTCAGAATTATTAACATAAACTAACAACGCTATGAAATTGATGAATGAAAAACCTAAACAAAATAATACAACAGTTGGACACATCCACAAATAATCAGCCACTGTTGCCGTTATCCCTGATGACAGTATTTTTTTATTTGAATTATTAGATCGTTCCAAAGTTCAACTCAATTAGCAACCATATGGATCCTAATTTTAATCTCAGATCTAAAAAACCTTAATCTAATATCAACAACAACAATAAGAACTTCAATTACAAACTTAACTAGTTAATAAAGATATCTTAAAGCCTAATAATAACACTCCTAATGCTAGTCCTTATTCAACTCCACTTGCATCCCAATTTCACATCAATTTCCAAAATACCGATAATAAAAAACAAGCACAGAATCCTCTTCAATTCTAACCCTTAAAGGATAAACCTTATTATTTCGATGATAAAAAATACACTTAGGAAGTTAAAGAAAATTAATTTCAAAAAGATATACAGAAAGAAATTACAGAACCATCTCGACACAAAAGAAGTGCTACTGGAGTTCCTAATAAATAATTAACCAATAATAATATATCAATCATTAATAATGTACCTCAAAATAATAGCAATACTGAAAGTTCTGAATAAATTATTACTTAATATTTCTAAATTATACAAAAAGGGCTATAAAAATTAGAAAAAGACACTTTAATGATCATTAAAAACAAAAATGTTCACCCACAAGCTCTATATTAAAAAATGAAATAATTAAATCAAACAAAAGATCAAGATGGAGAACTCATTTAATCAATCAAAATAATACTCAAATTACAAACTGAATTAAATGGGCTATCAACACCATCTTGTCATAGAAAAACAAGTTCTCATGCAAGTCATAGATATTCTAATAATACAACCAATACAAAAAGTGATCATAGTTCTACTTCAATTTTGCAATAAGAATTTAAAAACTTAAAGAAGTTGTTTTGATAAATATATCATTTTTTTTAATTAAATGTATTTCCGCATCTAACAAAACTTAATTCAATTTACTTAGTTTAATAGATAATCAATTTGATAAAGGCTAATGCAAATTCTTTTCAAATTTAATCGCAATTTCACGATATTCCATGTTAATTAAAGCCTAAATATTTTAGTTATAATAACTCTTAATAAGATATTGAGTAGCTTAACTCTTTTTAAATTAAATTCTATCTTCAAGAATGCATCATATTTTTAAATCAGGAACATTTTAATTTTGATATAAAAGTTTTCAACAAAGCAAAACCCTAAGATAAGTTAATCCTTTGACTAAAGACTATCTAATTTATTCAATGAACAGGTTTATCTTGTAATTTTATTTCAGAAGGAGCAATTTTAGTTTAGATTAATTTGGTTCCTTTTTTTGACAATATTTAAGGTCATTGCTATAGAGATACAATTTCCATACGTTAGATTCATCTTTGAAAAATGGAGGCTATTCGGATCATTTTGTATAGAAATCAAACTTTTGGTAATGACTGATAAAGAAATTTTACGAATATATATAATAAGCTTCATTATTTTTCTTTTAAACAAATAATAACAGATTGCAGATCCCTGTTCTAGACAACTTAATAAAGGTTTTAAAAGGAATCCCTTTTTTAAATAAATCATTAATTTTATTTGTTCTGTGAAGTATTTGTAAATTAAGAGTAAGAATGAAAAAATTTTTAAAGATATATTCTCAAATAAAGTTTATTTTTAGTTTAACATTTATTTTTAATACAAATATCAATAAATTAATAGGAGTAATCTGGATATATTTATTAATCTGTGTGACCTTTGTGCAATTACAAATCATTATTTGTTAATTATTTATGATATGATGGAAAATAAGAAAAATATACTATTTAATACATTAATTTTATTGGCAATTGAAAAAATTAATCCATAACAAGATTTAATTTAATTAAATTGAGATGATGTTTATCAAAATAAGTAATATTCAGAATTCTATTACCTAAATATAAGATATATAGAATTTTGCAACTTATATTAATTCTGTCATGGAATTCATTGAATAGAATAAAGATGGATGAAAGCAAAGTGAGATTTTGACCCAAAAGGATATTAAAATGACTAGAAGAATAAGGTGATAATATTCAGATATATATTTTATTATGTATGTGCTATACAATTATAATTTTAATCATTGTTGAGTATTAAATTAAGAAAGAGTAGATTACTAGTTATTCAGTGTCATTTAGGATTCAGCTGCTTCCATACTGGATTCCCTAATGCTAGATTTACTGAAATACCTTTCAAACAAATGCTTTTCTGAATCTGAGGAGATGCTACTCTTAAAATCAGAACCGCTTTCAGATAAATAATGCTCGTTTTAAATTTCTGCAAGAATAAAATTAATTATTACTTTCACATTCTTTTATTGCTCTAGCAAATATAACCGATCGAAGACTGTCATAGCCAAATGATGAATGAAGAGACATATTTTGAACGTTCAAATAATTAGAAATTTATTTATTGAATTTCGTTTTTAACTTCTATAAATATACTTAATTAATGCGAATAAAAAATGCGTAAGTGATAAAATAATTGCTCAGCAGAATTATTTATTTAACTGGCTAGATAATTCTTGTAACTATATGGCAAGAGTGTAGATCTTCAAAGGAAAGACACGATTAGAAAAATTAATTGAATTTAAATATAAATAAAAAATTATTTTGGATATTCAATTATTGGTTATTAGAGTTATTCAGAGACTTTATTGAAAATAAAACTTAATATATGCTTTCCTGACTGGTACATTAACTTGGTTTAGAAGCAGTAATGAAACTAATAAGTACTTATTACAGATTGCAGGTATTTGAGTTATCTAACAGTTATATTTAAAATTTGAATTAAATTAGGTTTGTTTTAATATCTGACATAAAGGGTAAAATTTATTATTTTTTATCTAATTTTAAGTTAAAATTAATATTAAACAAATTTTGGTTCTCATAATTGAAGAAAAAATATGTGAGTATTTCTCACTTTACTTGCATATTTATAAAATACAAATTTTTTGAATTAATTAGAAGGCAAAAAAAATGTATTACTTATTATTAATAATAAATATTTTTAAATGATATTTTATTTCAAACTAAATTTATGACTTTTGGTATATTTATATTATATATAAAAATAGACTTCATGGTATTAAATGATAGTTTTAAAAGTCCTGTTAACGTAATTTGAAATCATATTAATTAAAAGTAGTCCTATATAGTATCTCAACATTAATCCACTTGCTTATTTAACTTAAAAATTAATAAGAGAGAATTTCATGTGAGATGCAAATATTTTGATATTGTGAAGATAGTCATTAAAAAGGAAAGGTCAATAAAAATCTAATTTAACCTGTCTTTTATTAATATATCTTTGTTCTTGTTTCTTAGATTAAAAAGAAATTAAATTGAAGATCACTATTTTTAAATAAGAAATTTTAAGTTTTGTATTGATAGAGATAATAGGTGATCTATGATCTATAGTTTTAGCTTTAATAGATATAATTGAAAGTAATTAAATACTGGAGTCTATTCATGTGTAATTTAATATCAAATTCGGGAGTGATCTTGGTATGGGTATACTATTTCTGCGTCTATCATTAAGTTGACTATCTGTTTTCCATCGGTGAAAGCATTTCATGGCAGAATGAGTGAAGATTTCAATTGGATTTGCATAAATAGGTTTAGAAAAGGTTTCTGGTGTTTCGAGATTTAAAAAACCATCCATATCATTGGTATAAAAGTTCAAGTGACTCCTTTGGGATTCTTCAAATTCTTCTATCATACTCAAAGTAGATTTGAAATTGTGGAATCCGGAATCAAAGATGTGCAATTCACTTTTTATTCTATCAAACTGCTCTTTAAATTAATTTTGTTTTTATTGATTAATTTCATGAAATTATACTAGAGTCTCATTGGTGCAGAAGTAAATGATATTTTTATTAACATTCACTAAACAAGGTATTAATTCTTGAATATTATACTCCTATTCGATATTTCCGATAGTATATGAGACAGTAGGCTAATTTCGTTATTTAAATGCCTATTTAGATTATTGTTGCTCTGATATTTCGATTGATTATTTGCGATTGCTTTTATTTTGAGTTTCGGCACTTCTCCACTTGAGCTTAGCCAAAACAGCATCAATAGCCTGTCTTTATAAATCTGTAATTTCTGGCCCGTTGCAACCTGACAATAAATCATCCAAGTTAGTAGCTGATCCATTATACGTTTACCTGTAAAAAAGAATATATAATAAATACTACAGATAAGGCAAATCTTTTTCTCTTTTGATCAAACTATTAAATCGATTTTTTAGATTATTTTCACTTCTTCTTCCATCCATAATTTTTGATATTTCTGACCATCTTCGACCAATTTCTTTAACCGTCTATAACAACTTTATATCTTCATCGTCTGTCCAAGGTTCTCTACATAAAATGCAAAATTAATAATACTTTGATATTTTTGGATTGAGGTGATTTAACCATCTTTCTCTACATTATTTACTAGATCTATAGGCCGAAGAATTTTGATTTAATTCTTATGAAATTAGACTCCACTTTTGACCCTGATCAGCAGATTAATACTTCATAATGATTTCATACAATTTTTAATCCTCTTCTGGTCTAAAAGGTTACTACTACAAAGCAACCTTTTACATTTAAGCCCACTTTTATTTGCATTGTTCTTTATCTCTGCGACATATCATCTTTGAAACTTCTTCGAAAAGTTCAGTTGACAAATCCCTCAGATCTTCATTTCTTATTTAACTTAGTTTCCCTATAAGCCAAATTAGCACTTTCTTTTCATTGAGAGTCCAATTTTTCTTGAGATTAGAATTCCATCCACTTGTAGTCAGAATCTCCAGTTATATTTAATTAATTTCTTCGTCAGTTGGAAATTAGGTGAGTCCTAAATTGAAAAATTCTTTCATGTATTCGAATTTAGTAAAAGTAGTGTTCTAAGCTTGAGAGTAGAAATTTTAGAATTCCTAATAGAAATTATTATCATATGAATCCGAATTTTTTCTTTAAGATATCGCTGTCTTTAATTTACTTTTAGATTTCTTTCTCTCTACCAAGCTATTATTTCTTTTACTCATATAATAAATATTAATGAAAATAACAAACTATAAACACTTCATTTACTCTTCGCCTTTAATCTACTTAATTTCTTGCTCCCATTTTTATCAAAAACGTATAAACTTATGGCAATCACAAAATTAAAACAACTTACACCAACAAAGAAATAAGATTGATAAACATACCTAAATAATAATGATTTCATAATGTTACCCTTGAAAAGGATCTACTTGTCCTTCTTCATTGATTAAATGGCTATTATATAAACTTCCAGTAATGAGAGGAAACAAGGCCAAAGCTGTGTTTTACATAACTCCCAACAAACCAAAGGCAGTCCCTATTATTGTATGTTTATGAGTACCTATCATCTGCGATTTAACAACCAAAGGGATGGATGGGATTAAAATGGCTGAGTAAAAAGAATAGCAAATTCCCAATGACAATAATGGTAGAGCTGACACTCCACAGGCAGTCTAATTTAGAATATATCTTATAGATTTACATCACAATAGATAAGGAGAAGACACAAATGAGTGATGATAAATATCACTGTAGTAAGAACTATCAATAAGGAACGTTAACGAATCTTGTCACTGTAAATACCGACAAAGGGAGTCACACATGCTGCAAACACATAGGGAATTGTGAGTAAAACACCTGCTGATTATTAACTAAACCCAAATTTGACTTAAAAAAATGCATTTCCATTGTCCAAAAATGGTACAAAAAGTGCTTCACTCAACATAATAATGCATGATAAAATCCAATATGATCCATCCAAATGCTTCAAATCTGATAACTTAATCTCTTCCTTTGCTTCATGAGCTTCCGCTTCTTCTTTTTCTTCCTCTTCATCATCGTCATCCTCCTCCTCTAATAATGATACTGATCGATCACTTTCCGTTGATTCGCTTTTTCTAATCTATAAACTCATCTCTTAAGCAGAAGGCTATGCTTCTTTATGCTCAGGATTTCCATCCTCTGGATTGAGCTCTCTCCAAATTATCATTAATTCTTCGTTTTTCTTGTCTAAATAGATTAATGCCAATCCACATCCCCATGAAAATATTACTATAAAAAGTCCCACTAAGAATGTGAATCCCAATTCCCCATGATTTGCTTAAATCTGAGGACTAACTACACTATTTAAAGCACTTCCTAATTTGGGTATCGATAAACACAAACCCAATGCCAAACTTACTTACCCTCCTTAAAACCATTACGACATTATGGCTGCTTATGCTGCATTCAGACTTTCAGAGCCAATGCCAAATATGCATCTACCAGCCAACATTGTACCATAAGAGAAAGAGTATCCACCAATAACTACAATAGTCTAACCCAAAATAAGAATAGATGAGAATATCAATATACTCACTCTCACTCCTATCTTGTCAATAAGGATTCCTCCAAAAAATGGCAAGATGATATTTGGTGCAGAATATATTGAATAAAGCATGTTGAATTAAACATTGTTTAGGTTCATCTCTGTTTAGATCGTGGATTGTAAAGCCATAGGATTATCGAAAGCATAAGCATCTCCAAATAATAGAAAACAAGCTAAAGCAAGTGCCAACCATAATACCCATGTCTTTTGTAATGGTAATTAGTAGAGAAACGACTGCTTGCTTTCTTTTTCTAATTACATAATTAATTATTTTTATAATTCATTTATTTTAGTTCGTACTACTCTTTCAATAAGATAGTATCTCATCTCGCTTACTTTATCTAATTAAATTGGATCAACCCATGTAGCTTACTTATTGATTTATTTTAACTTTATCATTCTCTCAAATGTCAGAAAGTAAATTATATAATGTGAGTAAACAGATTTTGTTTAGAATAAAAATATGCATATTTAGAAATTACAACAATAACATTTTTGTTAAAGCCTAATTAAAAAATAACAATAAAGAAATTTGAGCGTTGCAACTATTTTGAAAGTCTCCCTATTTATAATTATCATTTGAATTACGGATTGTTTCCCAAATAAAGTCACGCTATCTAATATCACCTTACAAGGAATACTTTAAGTAAAGCTACAAAAAAGACATTAGGTAAACGACTTAATTGAACTAATTCCAAAATGGTTTTAAGATAGAATTCCACCAGATTTACATAAGCAAAAATCCAACTCAGCCTCTCATTAATCCAGATGTAATTAATAGATCACTTTATCTTCCGTGTGAATTTTATCAGATATATCTGATGTCAATGATTCCCTACTATCCCTGTAAAAAGAACAAGATGGCATTCTCTTAAACATTTTGACAATAGTCTGCATTCTCATATTAAAGCTTAAATTTATAATTATTTTTGTCTTATTTCATTTTTTTATAATTATTTTTCCTCTCTTTTATTTCATTTTATTATCAATAATATACAAAACTTAGAATAAAAATATCCATATTCAAAATATGCAAAATTTCATACCTCGCTACTTCTATTATCAAAAATTAAGTCAACATATGGTATTATTAAATTTAACTAGAAAATTAGAAAAACTTTGGATCGTGAAAATAGAAAACCTAAGAAATGGCTATAAAATTACTTTGTTCCATTTATTCCAAAATGGACTCAGAGAATTGTTGACAACAAAAAGAAATCTATCTTTTTTCTTCTTTGTTTGGGATTGTTCACTTATTACGAAGGATTCTAATGTAAAATCGCATTTTTATTATTTTCAGATCTGCACCATAAAATACTTTATCGAGAGCCTTTTAAAAGCAAATTGGATAGATGGATTTTCAAAGTTAAAAATCTACCAAAGTAATCCTTAGTAGAATTCTAACCAATTACAACTCTGAACCAGAATACTATAGAGTAATTGAAAGAGATATATTTAAAATATGAATCGGAAATGAAATATGGAATGTCTCGTAAATTAATGTTTGAGGTTTATGAATCTCTTAATTTGTTCTAAAAGGATGAGGAGAGAATCGGATTCTATAGACAATCAGGATATTATAAAAAGGTAATTTCTACCTTATATAAAATTAATAGAGAAATTAAAAGGTTTCAAGCGTGCATTTCCAATAATTTGTGAAAATATTCGAGGATGCTTTGAAAAAATTGAATAAAAAAGGGAATACAATTACAGAATCAGAATTAGTTTCCTAATTTATTTAATTATGTTCAGATAAACAGAGTGAAGTAAGAATTCATCAAATTATTATTATAGATTTAGAAATGGGAGAACAAAATCTAATAGAAGCGAGCAGAGTTTGTAAAATTGCTTCCTGAGTTGCAAGATTAAAAATAGGCGTTAATTAGGTAGATGCTAAGTGAGAATCCATATGTAACTGAAGAGCACATTCAATAGGAAGTAAGGTCTTATAGTGATTTCATTTTAGCTTGAGAACAAGGGACTCTATGGTTTGGGAACGAAGGATAAACTATAGATTTATGATCTTCAGTTGTCACTTCATAAAGTTCTGTTGGATAGCAAAAAGGCAAAATTATACAATAGCATGCTTTTCGGGTAGTCGACTTTGAGTGCGCAAAAGGAGAAAAAGTTGAGGGACAAGATAATGATTGAGGAGGAGAAGGTGAATCAACTTCAAGCCAAGAGAAATGAAGTTGCTGAAAAGTTTAAGGTGTTATTTAAGAAATAAGAGATATTTGATATTTGATTAATAAAATAATAAAAAATTAAATGTCTGAGGAACAGTAAGAATTCGAGGGTTAGGAAGGATAAGAAGGATAAGAGGGATAAGAGGGATAGAATGAGGGATAACATGAATAATAATAACAATAATAACAATAATAAAGTCAAACATAACAAAAATAAAAGCCTGTTGTCCCTAAAAGTGATCCTCCTCCTGAAGGGGCAATCATAATTGATTTTGAGGTTTGTATGGATTGTGCTTCTCATGCTTGGTGTACTCATCATGACGAAAATAAATACACTTAATTGTATTTGGATTGCATGGCAGGTATTCAATACACAATTAAATCTAGAAATTCATGCATAAATTCCAAATTCCTATTGCACTTATAATGCTAAGAAAAAACCCTCAACAGGAGCTTTTGAAATTTCTCATAAAGGTAAACAGTTATATAAATTATTAGGGGTTATTATTTTTTCAAAGAGAAATTCTTAGCTGTTTCCTTAACCTAAGTTGCTACCAGAAAGAATTAGACAATTCTTAGATGATGTGGAAAATAAAAGAGATGTCACTAAATGGGCTACAAAAAAAGAAATAAAATAAGAGTAACCAAGACAAATCAAGGAAAGACCAACTTTCTAAACATACATGAAACAAAGAGAAGAGTAGGAGAGATTGGCAAAAGAATAAAAGCAAAGATAGGACGAAGAAATCAGGTTGAAATAAGAACAAGATGAAAGAGATAAGTAAGAAAGAGAAAGATAGGAGGAGGAACAAAGGAAAATAGAGGAAGAAAAAAGAAGATAGGAAGAATAGAGATTGGCTGAGGAAAAGGCAGCTGCTGAGGAAAAGGCTAGATAGGAATAAGAGTAAAGAGAACTTGAATAGTAATAAGAAGAAGCTAATAAATAAAACCAAGAGTAGGAGTAACAATAAGAAGGAGAAAAGTAACCAGAATGAACACATTCAAAGTAAGCAGAATGAGATTATAACATTAAATAAAACTATTTGTTAATTCTTTTTAGTATCATGGAATCCAAGTGCTATTTCTGAGTGTGGATGGCATGGATGGAGTTTTAATTAAAGACAAAGTAAAATTTAAAGTATAAATAATAAGAGAGACTATTGCTTAATTATTGGATACTTTAATTATCAATCTTCATTTTAAACATAATTGATTTAAAAATATTATTATTTTTAAGTTTTACATGTAGTAGTAGAAACTTCAATCTACTTGTCCTCATTTTCAGAGGATTTTACTTTAAAGAAGCATTCCTCAAGTTCATAAATCTCTCTCTAAATTATTGGTATTGCTTATTAATGAATTTAGGTGTTATTCAAGAATAAGTAAGTTAAATGTGATGTTTGTCAAAGAAAACAAGATTATCTGAATATTTGTTTGAAATGCGAAAAGCCATTGTGTGACATAGAAAAAATATGTTCTGCAGAGCATCTAAGATGTAAAAATTTTGATTATATTATTAGTAAATAGTCCTGAACATTGTGTGATAATTAATATCCACTCAAATTTAATTGCATGTCTGATGTGTAAAATAGAAATTTATGATTTTGAGCAAACCTTATAAAGTGAAGAAGATCAATTTATTGAAGAAATCATTAATCCTTAAAAAATACGAATGGAATATCACAAGTTCTTTTATAAGTAAGAAGCTCAAAATATATAATTTAAAAATCAATAAAATGTTCAGCATGCAGGAATGTTAAACATCTGCAATAATAGCCATTTGAACTGTGTTCTATAAATATTACTAAACTATCCTGTCATTTAGTAGATACTTTAAAAAATTAACTCTGAATATGAAATAAATGAATATAGTTTGAAATCTAATCGCAAATAGATTCTTAGAGAATTAAGTGCCATGGCCTCAATCTATTCATAACATCAGTATAGAATCATAAATCCCTCCAAAGTTATCAAGAACCTTGCCCAGATAGACTCCAAAATTATTGGATATTCCAGAAAAGATGCTTATGTATTCATCATTTAAATTCAATTAGGATGCTTTCAAGACAGTTATCAACTTTTTAAATGAAGAATTCAAATTTTCAAATTTGAAAGGATACTTTAAAAGTAACTTGATCTACACAAAACAAGCTCTAGGACATGATTGGAACATAATGTACACTCTAAAAAGTAGTTAGTGCTGATCCTAGTTTATATATGGAATATTCCTTTATTCAAAGTATATTCTCTGGAGAGCTTATTTCTAACCTACAATGCTTGAATTGTAAGAAAATTACAAAGTCTGTTGAATAATTTTCAGCGTTATCCCTAGAGCTCCCAGAAATAAAGCAACAAGGATTCTTTAAATAATTTGTCAATAATCAGAAACAATCTATTTCCTTATAAGAGTGTCTTGATTATTTTTATGAGCCAGTGATCGATTCATTAACTCTTTGCAGTTGTGGTGCAAGATCAGGTAAGAGACAATATAGTTTTTAATAATAATCCAATTTGTTATGTATTCATCTACAAAGGTTTCTGAATAAAAATTAAAAGGACACCAAACATGTATCATTTCCAATTAAGGATCATAACTTTTAAGAATACTTTAACGTATCATTTCATTTAATAAATAATAGTTGGATAGTGAATAGAATTATCGACTTTTCGGTATTATTGTGCATTTACACGATTAAGGAGGTGATCATTTTGAGACCATATTGAAATATCAAAACTCACAATTTCTTAGCATCAAGGATGAAATTATTGAAATAGTATCATAAAAATATGTAGAAGAATGTGAAGCTTTATTATTATTTTATGAAAAGGTAGATAATTAGGTAGATCTATTTAAAACAAGTCTTCGAAAAAATCTGCAAAACTAGCATAATATGATAGCCAATCAGGAGTTATAATTGAAAGATGAAGACCAATGCTATTTACCCCATTTCTGGTTTGAGTAATTTTTGCATCTTGCTAAACCACCTTCAATTATAACATCTCATTTAATTTGCCCTCATAACCTCTTAAAGCCAGATTATTGGGATTTTAGAATAGAATACGAAGTAACATTGCATATTTATATAAGAATGCTAAATCAGCTTAGTACAATTCTCAATTAGATACTAATACAAGTTTCATTACTATAGGAGAAGTGTAAAACTCTAATTCTCCTGCTTATATCTAGGAAAGTTCTGCCTAAAAATAACTCTAACTCACATCAATCATAATCCCAAAAGCAGTTTGCGAATTTTTAATTGAAAAATATGGTGGAGGTCCAATCATTCAGAAGAATATCAAAACGTGTAGTACTTGTATAGAATATGCATAATAAATGAGTAGAAGAAGGAAATTAGAAAGACAATTAATAATTAAATATGAAAGCCTTCAAGGATATGACAGAATATTTGTTGTTCATGAGGAATGGTTAAAGAAATGGCAAACATATCTTTATAATTCAAAATAGATTTTACAAAGAAATAATTTATTTGGTTATCCTCCTCCAGGAGAAATAACTAATTACTTATTGTTAGATAAAGATTAATAGATCATCTAATAAAAAAAGGAAGGCTAACATTTCCATATGATCACTGCTCCTATATGGCATATATTATAAGAAATTTACGGAGGAGGTTAGATATTTAATTTAAGTTAGGACCCACAATTTCTATTAATCCTCATTAATAATAATATGAACCTTTTAAACTATAAACAGATGATCTATTTTAGATAAAAGAGATCAAAACGTTATATCAAAATTGTATCAATCAGTACAAATAGGAAATTTAGCAATGATACAAATGTTTATGAATTTTATAAATTATATAAGATAAAAATAAATCAAATCTATAAAATAAAGCAATGTATTTAAAATTGTTATTTCCCGAATAATTTATTATTTTTACATAATTCTTTTGTAAATCCTAATACTATATACTTTAGATTTTGTTTTAGAAAATGGCTATTGTATTGAATTTATAAATTTTTATATAAAAAACGATCAGATTTTTTGTTTAAATAAATTACACTTGTGTTTGTTAATTTTATTAAAATCTTCTGATTTATACTAAATGGGATCTACCGCATTGATTTATGTAATTAAATCTAGTTTTTAGACATTACTCTTTAATGTATTTATTGGCTAATTTAATTTTAAATTATAAAACTTTTAGAATCCTTTTAGGAATATTATTATGGCTTAGTTTTCATAATTTTATTATTTGATGCCAATTCATTAATTTTATTAAATCAAATATTTTCAGGTAATATCAAAGCGATGGGGAATTGTTGCAATGGTGGAGGATAAGTTATGGAAAGAAATGTGTAGATAGATGTAGGTTAAAATATCTCGGAGAAAACAGCAAATTAGGATATACTTAATAAAAAGGCTATAATAATATAAGGTATTTTTGATATGCAAGTCAAGCTCATTGTAGAGGTCATTTAGTTAGAAAGAAAGTGAAAAAAATATAGGAATAGGACAAAACTGGGAATAAAAAGTCCTAAAATAGTTAAAGTAAGGGAAAGAACATTAACAATAATCAAAATCTATAAAATAATAGAAGTGCTCATGAATCTAAAGAGGAAAACTATTAAAATTAGTCTGATTAAACTAGAATTCATGCTCCAAGCGAAAAATGTAAGAAACTAGATAGAATGCCAGATTATTTGACTTCTAAAACTAAATCAGTATTTAAAGTATTTAGGTTAGGTTTTAAGTTCAATCGAAGCCTTTGTATATGATTAGGACAAGGATGAATTTAAAGAATTACCATTTTTAGAACCTTATGAATTAGACGGTGGTAGTGTTTATAAAGGATAATGGAAGAATGGGTAAGTTTTAAATTGAAAGTAATTTTAGACTTCGACATGGTAGAGGAATCTAAATTTGGCAAGATGGCTCAATGTATGAAGGATATTGGTACCAGAATGTTGCTTGTGGAAAGGGAAGATTGATTCATGCTGATGGAGATAAATATGAGGGAGATTGGAGAAATGACAAAGCACATGGATTCGTAAATATACGAATCAATATTATAGGGTATATATGTGCATATGGATGGAGCCTAATATGTGGGATATTGGGAAGAAGATAAATAGAATGGACATGGGAAAGAAATATGGCCAGATGGTGCTTGCTATGAAGGATAATATAAGAATGGGAAGAAACATGGCAAGGGAACATTTAAATGGGCTGATGGATCTGTATATGTTGGTGAATTCGATTAAAATAATATTCATGGAAAAGGAGAATACTAATGGGAGGACAACAGGAAGTATGTTGGAGAATGGAAAAATAATAAAATGGATGGAAAAGGAGTAAACATTTAAATTATAATAAGGTGTTCACTTGGTTGGATGGTAGGAAATATGAAGGAGAATATAAAGACGATAAGAAGCATGGATACGGGGAGTTTCAATGGCCTGATGGAAGGGTAATTGCATTTCATTATATCACTAGATGTATAAAGGATAATGGGCGAATGGGAAATAACATGGTATCGGAATTTATATTGGCTCTTCGAAAGTTGAAAAGGAAGGAGAGTGGTAAGATGGGAAGAGAATACGTTGGATTAAGAAAGGGGGATAACCCACTAAAGAGGAAGGAAATTGAAATTCACTAAGTTTATTATCATTTTTATTGTTCAATTAACTTATATAAATGTAAATTTATAAATCCATGATTTAGAATTGCAATGTCATATTGAAAGAAATTAACTAAGAAATTGAATGCAGTTAATATATATAATTTAATAATAGAACCCCCTTGTATTTACAACTATTCAACTTCATTTTTTAATCTCTTATATGCAAATTATTTAATAATACATTATGAAAAAAAATGAAAAAGTTGAACTACTGTTGTGTAATTTTTAAACTGATGTTGTACAATAGGAAAAGCTCAATTATCAAAATCAGACAACTCATCTCTAATCACAAGAAAATTATGTTCTATAAACCATTTTGAGAATCGAAAATAACACCCAAGTCCCTACAAATAACGAATCTCACTGTAAGGTGACTGTTAAATGTATGACATTGCTTTGATATCATAAGAATCTTAATAAGAAAATAAAGAAGCCTATTTAGAAAATCATAAGAAGTTCTCAGAATAATCTTCATTGAAAACTGATTATCTATCATCAGATTGTCATTAGTAAAAAAACTAATAATGGATGCATAAATCCTCCTCGTTGACTCAAATCTATCCTTCTTTGGACGATAACTTAACTTGTATTTCATAAACGTCATCAGTGTATTTGATTATTATAATTTTTCAGTATTTCAGTGAAAGAACCAAAGATACCAATTGAAACAAACAAGAAAATTAAGAAACGAAAGAACCATGCTCATAGAAATCTTAAAACAGCTGTCAGTAGAAAATAGATTGAAATGAAATGTCAAACCGAAAAAAGACCAGAAAAATCGACTGGGTAGCTTTTACACTATTTACATGAGAAAGATGTAAAAATTCCAATTCCATCAATTGAAACCATTATACAATAAGAAGCTCTTTTGAGTGAATAAAGTAAATATTAGTTTCATTCTTTATTTTAGTTCTTTCCTATTCAAACTATTAATACTATATGCACAATTTGATTGGCTATCTAATGGGATCTTTGAAAGACTCTTTTATGGCTTAAATGTACATAAACCATTTCTCTCAATTATACAGTAATCTGTAAAAATCAAAATTAATTGTGTGCCCATAACAATATTCATTTTCCATCAAAATTTAGCCATAAAAAAGTATATATAATTTAAATAAATTAAGAAATATAGAAGACTTTGATAATAGATTTAGATGAAACATTAGTACATTGTAATGAATTTAGTTGTTTAAAGAGTGATTTTTTCATTCCATTAGTTTATGGTGATAAAAGCTTTTAGGTATATCTCAAATCGATTTTAGGTTGGCATAAGCATAAGACCTCACGCATAATAATTCTTAAGGAATATGGCTAAGGTCTATGAGATCATAGTATTCACTGCATCAAATCCAGACTATGCGAACAAAATTATTGACTATCTAGATCCAGAACAAAACCTTGTATCCTATAGGTTGTTTCGAGACGATTGCATTCAAATATCAAATAATTGTCACATTAAAGACCTAAGAATTCTTAATAGGAATATGTAAGATATTGTCTTAGTTGATAATTCTGCTTACTCCTTTGCTTTTTAAATTGATAATGGAATTCCAATCATACCATATCTTGATAACAAGAATGACAAAGTATGAATAAGGCTTATTATTCAATAGGAATTATTACATTTGGAAAATTACCTCCATTATGTGAATCAATTTGATGATGTTCGTAGTTAAAACAATAAGATGTTTAATTTGAAAATAGTGTAAAATTGCATTTCAATAGCAGAGGCTATTAAATGCTTAGCAGCCTCAATCTCAAAGTGATAAATTGTATGAAGAAAATCATTGATAATTAATTATTATTATGTTTATTATTCCAGTTAGGGATTAAATATATATATATAATATGAAAAAAAATCAAATATATTCTAAAAGTATAAACATCATAAGAGATCGTTAATAAGATTATAAACCTTCCTAACATTCAGCATCAAAGTCTAAATAAGAATCAGATGAGGAGAATAGAAAAATGTACTCCTCCTAAATAATGAAATAGGATATCAGGAAATAGGTGATTAAAATTCAGAATCATGGTCATCAATAATATTGAGCCAATACATAAGTGCATCCATAATAGCCAAAGAAGAATGGTATTTTAAATATACGCAGAAAAGGTATATCGCTATCCTTCATTATCTTTTAGATTAATAATAATAACATCAATAAGCAGGATCATTTCCTTTATACATTAGAAATATTAGAGAAGGATCCACTTCAAGCGACTTAAAATAATTAATAAATGACGATGGCAATATATTGGGAGTCTAAGTAAGGCAATCTAGTAATTTAGGTTAATGCTAAATTAGCCACCATCACATTTTCGAATTAATAATCAGCTGATTAAGCAATTTGGATTTTATATTTGATATTGTTTGCTTAGAACTTATAAATAATTACAAAGACAAAGGATATCAAATGAGTGCTGTCCCAAATTATTAACAATCTAGCAAAGTCATCGTATTGGGATAGTACTAATCAGGAAGAGGATTCAAAGAGGAGGGAAGACTTAGAATGGATGCCAAAGAATCAATATTTGAACGAATACAAATAAATAGTAGTGAGGCATTCAGTCGAGTTCAATTTATTTCTATAAATAAAAACAATATTTAAATGGACAACTTATTCTAAATGGAAGTAGACTCAATTCCATTTGTTAGGATTGCTGAGGAACGAAGACAGCAAACTATAAAAATAATATTATATTACAAATATTTATATATATTTAAATTATGATATAATAGTAACGATAGGTGTTGAATGATAATGATTTGCATACAATAATATACAAGGGCGAAATTGGTATCAATCAATTACTCATTTCTAGATTGTCAGGTATGCATATATTGGATGCACTCTCTGTTGCCAATTTCCATAGTCCTGATGCCTAGATCAAAGAACATTTGTATAAAACTGCCAAATAGAATTACAAGTCAGATTAAGAACTCCCAAAGTTAATGTAGAGATATGAACTATCTTTGGCAATAATAGAAAATGATTCGCTTAATGCAAAAGTAATTTTCATCACAAATTAATTTTTAGTAATATATATCCCTTTATGCAACAATCATGAAAACTAAGATTAAAGAGTTCTACACAAATTAGAAGAACCAGCTATTTAGTAATGTTTATGTTCCTCCAAAATATTCCAGAACTTTAAATATATTCTGTTATAGTCCTAAATCAACAGGTTATTTGGCCTTGGTTTCAACAGTGTAGATGAATACATTAATTGCAATGGAGGAAATGATGGCCTAGCTAGACTAATTGCAATAAGATTAGTTCTACACATTCGATTTGATATTTGAAGATGTAAATCTACCCTTTAAGCTTTAGAATGTAATACCTTCGATTAATTTTACTCCAGAGAAGGAATAGTAAAAATTGGTTAGAAGACATAAGAAATCGGTATCAGAACATTAAATTTTTGATTTTTAGAGGGAATAAAAAGAATAATCAATTATTAACTAAATTTAATCTCTTCCACAAGACAAAGCACGTAACAATATGTATTTATTTTAGTGTTTTTTTCATAAACAAAATAGCAGTCATTCCTCTAAGATGATTATCAGTTTCCATCATTAGACTAGATTAATTCATTTAAGCCGTTTCCAATTTAAGAAGATAAGAAAAAAACTGAATAACCCTAATATTAATAATTATCTTTCGATTAGTAGAGATACGAGGAAGGAATTCCCAACATCGATGATTTAGAATTCTTTCCACCTTTAGATTTGGTATCAACTGCTAGTTGTCCTTCATTGAACAATAAATTGCAGATGACAGATTAAAAGAAACAACCAGCCAATCCTATTTACACTGGAAGACTTAAATTTTTCGATGAATAAAAGAATTATGGATTTATTGTTATGGATGAAGATAAATCAGATATATTTGTTCATTTAGATGATTTATAAAAGGCGGGTGTAACTAAAGAGGTTTTGAAAACATCTAAATAAGGCTTATTATTAAGGTATTCTAAATGATACAAAGTAGGTTTTAATTTAATTGTATGGTTTATGTGGGGAAATACAAAAAATCAAGAAAAGCTGTTGAATTGAAATTACTAGCGAACTAATAAGTGAATAATTTGAAGGGAATTGCCTGATTTAAATAATCAAATATATAGGCATATCAATAAAATTATTAATTTTAGAATCTATTATTATATTATTCACTGATATCTTTCAATGTATCAATCGAAGTATATAACTGACTACTCTATCAATCATGATGATATTTTTTAGAATATTATAAATTTATAGATTAAATTAGGATGATTGAAGAAAGAAATGCAAACTAATAATAATGAATCGTTCCTAAATAAACATAATTTATCTGATTATAATACTATATTATCTCATTTAGCATTCTTCTTGGCCTCTTATTATTTTTTGAGCTAATTAGCATCAACAAAGACAATAGTCTTGCATCTCTTAATAACTTTCAACCACTTTAATTTACACTTGACACATTCAAGCCTATTTTCCAAAAAATATATATACTTTAAAGCCACTTTTTTTGTTGTCTTTGCTTTCTTTCTGAAAATTGGCTTTGTTTATCCACCATACCCAGATTTGTTTCATGTCGTACCTTCTTCTGCCTTAAGCAAATGGGCTTTCCTTGCTCTTTTTGTATTGAGACACTTTGCAACTTTAATGGCTTCCACATTTTCTGCAATATGTCTTTCTGTTTTTAGGTACGTTCACCATTTAATATTTTTTAAATAAAATTTAATCATTTTTTAAATTACTTTAAGAATAATTAGTGAATGTTAAGCCAATATCCCTATATTAAGGTGACTCATATAGTAATATTTCTATAATTACTATGAAATAATATTGTAAGTTCATCATCAATTGATATCCTTCAATAAATTGTGTATTTCTTCAGCAGAATAATCTGGATGCTGTGGTTTAATAAATGGCTATGAATTCGATCTCTTTAAAGGATGGGATGACTCCTGCTTTTTCAAATCATCAGCTGACTTATTCCTAAAAAGCATAAAAATTATAAAAACACTCGTTCTTCATAAATTATGGATCCTATGATAGTCGACACCAATGGGAGAGGGGATTGCTCTTTCCCGATGATTGAATCTGTTAATATTACTACATTCTGTTCCTAATATTTTTGCACCATCCTCTTTGGGTTTTGCTTCCTATTCTTAATGTTTCTATCTTCAGACTTAACCATCAAGTAAAAGGCAAAACAAATAAAGCACACCAAAAAAATTCCAATCTATTGTTATTTTGACAAAAATATTTCGAAGTAATTATAAAAGGATGAGAGTTGCTCAATTAGAGTGCTTTTAGCTGCAGCCCAATTTGTTATTTCTGATTTCAGATGGTTTTTCTGCCCATCCTATTGAACATCAGTTTGATAAAGGGCTAAATCTACATCACTTAATTTAATTTCTTATGCATTAATTGGTTAATTGGATTTTGTTCTAAGTTATATTTACTTTTTTGGAATAGCAATAACTGTTGAACAAAGGAGTAAAATGCAAACAACTAATCTCATATAAAACGGAATATTAATAAAATTATTATATATAAATTATTAATACTAATTGAGTATTATACAAGTTTCAAATATTATTTTATTTTGGCATTTTATTTTCTATCCTTAAGGTTTTAAGGCCTTGTAATCCTTAAATATTTAGTTTAATGATTCTGTAACATGTATATCAGATGGTAGATTAATATTGTACATTACTATTATTGAAGATATTAAAATTAATAATTGAAATGTTAATAATTGGAGCAATCCTCATCTCAGTTGAACTAACATTAGGAAAATTGACGGTTATAGCTCCATAGGAATTAAAATAAGAATTGGATCAAAGGAGTGGAGATATATAATATAGCATAGCTAACTTTGGGTAAGTGTTAAATATAAAGAACAATATAGAAATATACCTTGGGGTCGTAGATTAAGTGGGACTCTTGATATTGCAAATCCTTTAGAAGCTTGCACAGAACTTAATTAAACTGTGAAGAGCCACTTTGTATTAATAAAAAGAGGAAATTGCTCTTTCGTGAAAAAAGTTAGACAGGCATAAAATGCAGGATATTAATTAGCAATAATAGAGGATGATAAGGGTGAATTAAATCATACCATAACAATGTTTGATGACGGGACAGGATATGGAGTATTTGTTACAATAGTATATAGTTATAAATCCCTAGCATTTTTATATCGAAACAAGACGGAGAAATATTAACAAAATATTTGAGGATGCCAAAATCAAACTTGGAGACTGAATAAATTCAATTACTCATCAAATTTGATGTTCGTAAAAAAAATAACGTAACTGCTTTGTTTGCCTTGAATATAACATCAGAAGAAACATATAAATTTTTGAGAGAATTTCAACCTTATTATCAAAAATTGAAAAATGAATAAAGTATTGTTTTTGGTAATATTGCTTTATTAGTTTAATACATTGTAATGTATCCATTGTATCAAATTGTTCCAAATCCGGATAAACCGATTGAGTATTAAAATTGTATATCATATGGTAAATACTGTTCACGAGATCCTGATGGATCAGGAATAGCAACAGGCAGGATGGTTGTGGAAGAGATACTTAGATAATTATGTATCTTTGAACAAAATTCTGAGAAATGGTTGGCTTATATGGTATATACTAATCAAAACTTTAGATATCATTCAGAGATAATTGCACATCAGCATAATAATATGAAAGTTGTTCACCTCTAGTCTAAGAAGAAGTTGGAATCAATTAATAAAAGGTAGAAAAATGCATAAGAGATTAATAAGAAAGTCATTCATTTTCAATAAAGAATGAAACCAGTAATTACAAGTAGCACAATATTTTGGAGAATTAATTATATTTATGGTAGGCTTCTGGTGTATAATAACTGCCAGGAATCATAATTAATTAATAGGATTATTTAGGACAAATCACTGGCGCTAATGTTTTTCTTGACATTTGTTATAGCTTTACAACAACGCCTGCATCTTGTGGCGAATATATTGATGGATAAACTAAGTAACAAGATTCATCATCAAATCTTTATTTGACTATAGGTATTATTATATTCGTCATGCTCATATTTTTTATACTTCTCTTTTGTGTTTACACAAGATTAATTCAAAAAGAATTTAAGGAGAGTAGTTAGGCATAGGTCAATGAAATGGTGACATAATATATATAATTTTATGAATCCAAGGATAAGAAGAGCAAAGAAGCCATATGAAATATTTTATTTGTTTGTAAAAAAATAACTTCATTATTTTTTAATTTTCTTAGACTTTGGTAATTCCGTCTTTGTTTAACTCTTCTATTTGGTTTGTGTGGTCTTTTTTTGCTTTTTTATTGTTTTCTTTGGTTCGACATTTTTATTATCCTTTGGAACTGATTATTATTCTCCCTATATTTATTTACTATCTAAGCTCACAATGGCCTTTTTTATAATATCCCTGTGCTTAGGATTTGATTTACTTTTTGTTTATCCATTTAAACCTAGGATCATGTTTTATATATTTAAATAATTATTAAATTCTATGTTGAAAATTTATTAAAGATGTTAAAAAAATATAATCATTTATTTCAAAGCATCAATGATGGATCATTTGAATTAAACTTCTTAATTAAACTAACCAAACATAAATGTTAATTTTATGTTATCTAAAGAATAGTATACTTATTCAAGTAAATGAAATCAAAAATCAATATATTTAGAAAAAAAAATATTCTCTAAAACAAATTTATCAATCAATTATCAATTCATCATCAATTCATTTATGTTCAAAATTCGAACTTATTTTTACTGTTGAAAGATTCGGTATATTTTCTCTATTAGAAAAAGTACTTAATATAAATTTTATATAGATACTTTACTCTTGTAGTTATTTATTATGAATTAAATGCATTGTATAGAACAATATTCATAGATTATTTTTTTGATGTCTAAAGTTTTTTGTAAGCTGTTTTTAACTTCTAAAAATTTTATTTGGCTCTTTCTCTGCTTTCAGCATTTGTTTTTAGTAATCTTAAGCACTACCTACTCATTCTAAACCTATATGGTAAATTTTTATGAATAGTCGATTTAACTAAATCAAACGTTTTTTCCATTTCATTCGTGTAGGCATTGAAAATGTACAACAAGAGCTTGATTAAGAAAAATATATTAATGATAATTAATGTGAAAAAGTATATGACTGAAATATTATAGAATTCTGATTATTAGCCCATGTTTAAACCAATTCCTATGATAATTGAAATCTCGCAAATAATTGTTGACTAATAATCTAAATGATTTAATCTAGCAGATTTAAATGGTTGATATTTTAGATTCAAAGACCAATAGCTAAAAAGAATAAAGTAGATTAAAGATCCTTTTAATATGATTGAATCTTCATAATAGATTAAAACTAATATTAGCAATTCCTTATCAACGATTTTGATGATTTCCCAAAAATATGCATTAGGTTTATACTCATAGTATAAATAACCAAGCAGACTCTTACCTCTTTTATAGATAAGCTTGTTTCTGATTTTACACAAACTCACAAGCATGCCTAAAGGTATCAATATACCAAATAATGACAAAAAGGGTATACAAAAAGTAAGAACCCACTTTATATGCGTAGATGTATTAAATTTAAATGCAACATTAGCTTGAATCCAAGGAACATTAGAAATTGTTCTGGTTGAAATCAGTGCTATAAGTGATCCAATTATACTTGGCTGAAAATATATGTACATATAAATGATTGCTGTCATTACAATAGGTCCTCTATAATTGAGTTACTTGGTCGAAATTAAGATTGAATAAACGATTGAAAGAATACTAAAATAAAAACAAGGGATTAATAATTGCCAGATCAACCTTAAATAGTGAATATCCAAAGTTGACATATCAGCTAATATAAATGAATATATTGATTACTTAAATAGCAGTCTAGAGAATAAGATATTCTTTGGATTGGATTGCCAATTCCATTTAAAAAGTAAAACAAATCTACTGGCAACCTTAATTTGAAAGAAGTCAAAGAACTAATTATTTATAAGTAATTTGTAAGAATTTTGATCAAATAAGGTGATTCAAGTTAATAGTTTTAAGCAGAATTAGCCCCTTTAACACTTAAAACTATAGTAATTAAAGACCTAAAAATAATAATTATTATTGATTACCAAATACTGAATCCTATGATTTAAACTAAATTGTAACTAACATTGTCACATGAACCACAGGAGTACTATTGAGATGTAGAAAAGGACCCGCCTCCTCTGATATTCTATATGTCACACTATTCACACAATGCCCCTATGTGGCCTTCATAACAAGAAATATCTCCATAATTCCATCCTCCTAAGCAGTTCTCTTCTAAATTTAAACATTCTTCTACAATATTGTTTTCAAAGTAAGGTCTCCAATATCCCTATTAAAAACTTAAAATAAATGAATACAGAACGTAAGTTCAATCCAAAAGATGTTACGTTAATTGTTGATTATTCATCTCTGATATAACATTTATTCAAATTAAGTTGATTTGAATATTAATCTAGACTTGGATCACATTCATGGCATGAATTATCTTGAATAGATTTTATCTAGCCCACACGACATTTGAAAGTGTTAATATTTACATATAACTTATAATTGTTGTGAAATGACTAAATTATTACATTGTTTTCATCATATTAAGGTATTTTTATGCAAGAGCAGGAGATGACTAATTATAAATATGTTTTATTGGTATTTTCACTATCAAAATAAATGATCAAATCATCTAGATTATAATCATTTGTATTAGAATCAAAAGAAACAGACTTTTTATTAATTAATCCCTAATTTGAGCTTTCCTGTACTTAGTTCTTTTCTAAATCAAAAACAAATGTCTCAAGAGTGCAATATGAATTAGTTAAATTATTTAATTTTGAATAATGATCATCCAAAGCTACTACTCTAAATGTGAAATTCATGGGCTCTAATTACTCTGATAACTAATTAAATTTTTGGTATTCTTTTATTGGTGTTCCACTTGGTAAATAAATAACATTGTCCTGTGATTCTAATGAATTACCTATAGATTCTATCAGACTATTTCTAGTATCTTATTCAATTATCGTGTTATAAATGTACTGATAATTATTTAAAGTAATTGATAAATGAGTCGGAGCTTAAACCTCATTTTGACCATAATACGATGCCTGATTATCAAAAACAAAAGTATTATACTGTTTCATCTCTTACCTAACACTGTTATCAAAGTATACAGCTCCAGCTATACTTGCATTATTATTAATAATCTGACTGTCAACTAAAAATAAAAATGATTGATTTCCACTAAAATAAATTGCCCCACCAGCAACTTAGGCTTGGTTTTTAATAAATATAGAATTTAATATTATTATATTAGTTTGATTAGACAATAGGCAAGTTCCAAAAGTTGCAACATTTTCTTAACATTTATAATTTTTAATGATTATGTCATGATTAACTAACTCCAAAATCTTTTCGCTATTAGATGCAAGCAACCTATTTTATGTTGACTTTACGGCTGTTACATCAAAAACATCATTATTTATATACAAGCAACCCGCTTAGCCACAAAAGTTTTTCAATATTATCAAATCTTTAATTACAATTTAGTATGCATCAAGGGTCTATTTATTAATATAAAGATTAACTAAACCACTTAAGGAGTTTGAATAATAATTATTGGAAAGATTTATGTCGAACATTTAGATCAGATCATTGCTTTTAATTTTGGAGATAGAAATAGCTGATAATTAGATAGCAGTATCTGAAAATAGCAATTTTTAGTTTAAGCATTCATTTTCCTCAACATTATCCTCTTCATCCTCCTTTATAAAACTTGGAATGTCTGAAATGGCTTTTGAATTGCACTACATGTAAATTATTTTTTGAGAGATTGTATTCTAAACAATCTCACATAGCCCATTTTATTTTTCAACCTACATAACATTATTGAAAGAGATAATTTTAATTAAAATTACTGTAGACAGATCTAATTAGATTAAATAATAAATATACCTTCCCTTGGCTATATTAGAATAATATTATTTTAAGGAGCAGTGCCTCCTAAAATTGTGATTTTATTCAAAATTACATCCCCTTAATCTACACCTTCCAAAATAGATTCTCTAAAGATGTTGTCAATAAGAATGTCTTTTAAGATTAGAACTGTATTTTCAACATAGATAGACACAAAATTATTGATATCCAATAATGCTTTCTAATTATTTATTAAATGTTTCATGTAATTAAAAAGAGCATCTTTTTGATTTTTAATAATTATCTTTTAAAGTTATATCACATTTTATAATGAGTTTTTTTAGAAAGCTGCATGAATAACAGAACCTTTTCTAGATATACATTCTGATAGAGTCAAGTTATTAATTGACAAGTTTAGTTGATCTTAATTAGAAGAGACAAATAAAAAGCTTCCGTAATCTTTCGCCAAAATATTTTATGCCACTATGTCTTAGATTTCTACTTTACATCCACTAATTGGGATCTTAATAAAGATGCACCCTCCATTTTCTTCATTGTATTTAAAGAATGTAGTTAAATTCTTGAATGTTATATTGAACAATTTAATAATTTATCCACTAATGTACAATCCAATTCCATTCAACCCTTATGAATTCTCCACTTGACTATTTTGTACAACTACAACATCGGCTTCAAGGTAGGAATTTCCGTATGCATTCTAAAAATCAAAGATGGATTTTAAGTCATTCTGATATATAATCTAACTTAGAGGGTATTGCCAATCAATATTGTTTATAAGGATTTCGATATTCTAATAGGAATTATTAACGAATTAAACTTAATCTAACATAATTTATTCAGAAATAATATTTATGACACTGTCAGTAGTGTTGGTTGCAAAATTATCATAAATTTAGTTGTTTTTTAAATTAATTATTCCTGATGGACAATAGATTAGCAAAGCAACAGATGAAGCCTTTAATAAATTTTTTTAATAGTTGTGCAATTGATTTTACTTGATTTCAACCATTTCAACATTTACAATAATTTTTTAATTAGATGTGATGGATATTAAAGAAGCACTTGCATCTTTTTATGATGTAATTAATAAGTTATCTTTTATTATAAAATATTTGATTGAAAGTGCATCTTAATCTGAGGATGAAGTTTTTGATTGAGTTGTGAATAATAGAAAACCAGAATTAATAAAGTTCATTCGAGTTATAATAAAA